TTAAAAAAAAAAACTGTTTTCTTTAACAGTTAAATTATGCTAACTGTGTGCCAGATACTCTTCTAAGAGTTTTACAGATATTAACTCATTTGAACCCGTTACAAGCTTTTGAGAAAGACACATTAGTATTTTTCCCATTTTACAGATGAAGTAAATGAGGCTTAGGAAAGTTAAATAACTTGTCTAAGCTCCCACACCACTCATCAGTGCCAGAACTGGGATTTGAAGATAAGTAGTCAGACTCCATGGAGAAGGAAATGGCCACCCACTCCAGTGTTCTTGCCTAGAGAATCCCATGGACAGTGGAGCCTGGCAGGCCATGGTCCATAGGGTTGCAGAGAGTCGGACACAACTGAAGTGACTAAGCACGCACAGTCAGACTCCAGAGTTCATGCTCTAAGCTTGCCAAATCTGCCTCTTAAAGAGGTGAATTACATTGAAAAAGGTAAAATAACAAGTGTTAAAACTTACTTCATTATTCTTTACTCTCTACACTGAATGATTGGGTGATGATACACTGGCATTATGGGTGATGATGTTTGGGCTGATGGATTTTTGAAGGAGCAAATAAATTTGAAGTAAAATATTAATAAAAGATCTGAACCTAGATTTTATAGTTCTGACAGCTAAAGACTTATGTTTCAAAAGACTCAGTTCTGTTAATACAATATGTAGTAAATTTTGTTTGAATACTGGAGAGCTGATTAATAGATGTGATGGATAGATATATAGAATGCTATATAGGATTTTGAGTTTAGAAAATGGATAGTGTAAGGTATAAATTTTTCTGTATACCTGGAAGCAACACATTTATAGAACATTCATGTTGGAGAATACCATGGATCAGGCCATAGCAACTATAGAAAAATATGTGATTCTTTTAGAAATGTTAACTTTAGATTAAAGGAGGGTAGAAATAAAGTGTTGAGGCTGAGAGTTCTGTGGAGTCTGGATCTCCACACATAGAGAAACTCATGCTTTGTGAATGACATGACATGTTACTGAAGAGAGATTCAAAGAGGGTTGGAAGGAATGTAGTAGACCTGTTGGATTATTATTAAGGTCACTTTTGACACTAATTCAGATTATCTCATCCCTTCTCAATACTTTCTACTGTGGTTTTGGAATTTTTCCTGTGGAATACTATCTCCCAATTTTATTGGAAGCTTGTGGGGAAAAGTTTGTGTTAATTTTTATTAAAGATTATTTTACAGACAACTTCAAAGGGTGATTTTCCAAGAAGTAAGGTTAGAAATTGTAAAAACAATTTTTCTTAGAGAATCTATTCCTGATAAAATATTTTTCCTATTAAGAATTTGGTACAACCTAAATGTGTGTGGTTTTTTTTTTCTTTAATTCTTTCTCAGTTCTGATTAGTGTATTTAGTGTAAAGTTACTGTAAATATTCCTTCAGCTGACAATACCATGATACATTAGTCAGTCATGCCTCCCAATAAAGTAGCCAGAAGAATTCACCAGCTTTACCACAGTCAGTTGACTGGGCTGTTTATTTACAGAAGGAGTTAACCAACGTGATGATGGCTTTTGTACGGACGTAAAGGCCACAGGGAAGGTGTAGTTTCCAGTTTTTTTGGCCACAGAAATGTGGTTTGTGCTGATGCCTAAATTGTGAGAGCTGAAGGGCTCTCTTACAGTTACTTTAAAGGGAACCTTAAGGGCAGGTGAGTATAGGTCTGCTGGATATTTGTGTCTGCTTCAGCAGGACTCCAGGGTACAGAGGACTCTTGAGTGGTTGTGTTAATGGGTAAGTTAGATAAGTTTTTTTTTACGAGGTAGTGCTTGAGAAAGGTTGCCGTCAGCTGCTGAGACTTCAGTGAATTTCTAATTGGATTGATAGGAGAAGAAATCATGCCATAAAGTATATGCAGAAGTTTCAGAAATATACCAGACTCTGAGTAAAAGAATATGGAGAATGGAAGGGGGCCTGGAGGTTCATCAGTTTCCTGGCTCTTACTCTTGATTTTGAGCATGTGGTGTTTGTCTCCTGGATAAAACCCAGAGAAATGCTTTCGAAACATATAAAACAATCTGCCCGGGAGGGCTTACTTTATAGTCTCTCTTCTCCCCATGGCAGTTGGCATATATAAATCAAATCACATCATTCTCTTGCTTGAAGCACCCATTACCTCCCCAAACTGCTTATCATGTGTTACAAGGCTGTGTGTCATCTCCCCAGTTGCCTGCTTCTTAGGACTCATTTCCTGTCACCCAGAACTTGCAAAAGTCAGCCTTTTTGCTATTTCTCAAAAGTGCTAGGTTGTTACCCTTTTACTTTCTTTACATTTGTTTTTATAGCTTTCTGCTTTGCATTATTCCCTGCTTTGCTTAAATGTTACCACTTCAGAGAAATTATCACTTAATCTGAAATAGCTCCCCTGTAGTCATGCTCTATACTTTATTTTCCAAAGAGTTATTACTTTGTGAAATTATATTACCTTATGCATTTGTTTATCTTCCTGTGAGAATACAGATTCCTTGAGGCTGGGGACTTTGTGTCCATCACTGAATTCCCGGCATCTACACTAGTGCCTGGCACTATAGTAGACACTCAATAATTATTTTATAAACGAATGAATGAATTTTGAGGTTAGAAAGAAGCAAGCAGTCTGAAGCAACTGTAGATTTCCACAACAAAAGCTGTAGAAGCAAAAAGCAAAGTGAGTAGCTAATTCCAGTGTTTCTTGCCCAGATAAAGCTATGATAGGTATTCTCTAAAGTAGAGTCCTGGCATGGGAGACCAGATGTATCTGTGGTAATTTACATGACATTCAGAAGAGGCAGAAATTCATATCCAGAAAGCAAGTGACCTGCAGACACTGCCTACCTGCCTCTTTCATAGTCACTAGAAGTCAATGTATATAACTAGAGCCTGTATATGATAATAGATGAACAAAGATTCTCGGCCACTCAGAAAAAACTGCTTAGTTGAAACTCCTAACTACAAACATGAACTAATAATAACCTAGATTTGTCAACCACTTAAGGAAAATTAATACTGTGAAAGAGAGGTACCAAATGCATCTAGCACTAAAGGAAATAGTGAACAGTATGAATTTAGTATAATGTAATATGAATTAATATAAAATACTAAATTTAGTATAATGTAATATAGATTTTAAAGGTAGAATTATTTGTAATTTCAGAGGAAATAAGGAAATATTGAAATTTTAAGAATCATAAAGGGTGAATAGCACATTAATAAATATAAAGATTAAGTGGAGTTCAAGTGCAAAGGATATCAACAATAATGGCAGAGTAAGAACCTCTGAAAATTTTCCATAAAGCAGTGAGGATACTGGCAAAAATAGTCAACTCTTTCAGGATTCTGAAAATTAACTACAGGCTTGCAGCGATCTGAATGTTTAGTCAAGAAAAATGGCTGAATCTCAGCAAAAGCAGTGAACTTTGTAGCATTTTAGCTTGCATTGTTCCCATTCTCCTCTCTCTAGCTCCAGCCTTGGAAACCAACAGCCCACAGTCGTGGTGAAAACTAGCATCCTGGAAGCCACTGGAACGGGCAGAATAAGAATGGAGCTCCTTCAAAGCCCTGTTCCCAGAGAAACATTATTATTTGACCTTCTGGTGGTTCCTTGAAAGACCTCATTTGCAAGACTGTATTTGACCTGAATGGGAACTCACCCTGTGCAAATAGCCTTTCCCCTCTCAAATTAGAGGTAGTTATTGAACATCATGGATCCAGTACCAGAAAACAGATTCAACAGTATGTTAAAATAATACTCTACAATGCAAGAGGTTCATCTCTGAACTAAGTGCATTTTATGCAGTTCAATATTCAGAAATCTAGTAACACACTATATTAGTAGTAAAGAGAAAAACCACATGGTCATTTTTGTGGATGGCAGAAAATCACTTCACCAGTGTCATGCCTAGTAGTGGTATGCAAGATGTGTTCTTATTAAGTTGAGGAACAGAAAAAGAATGCTCAACAGTTAGCACTGTTACTCAATACTATAGTGGAGGTGTAAGAATATTATTAGGCAAGCAGAAGAAATAGGTTAATATTGGGGAAAGAGGAAGAACTGTTTTTATGCAGATGGGGAAAATATATACATGAAACTCAAGAATCAACCATCTTACTATTCTCATTGTTAGAAACAATAAGAGACCTTGGTAACATGGGAGATTACAAAATTAATGTACCAATATTAACAACTTTCCTATATATAAAAAGTAATTTCTTTAGAAAATATAATGAAAAATATAACAAAGCAAAAAGATAAAATGCCAGCACAAAGAAATGTAGAGGATCTGCTAAGAGACTACAAAAATATTAAGTAACTGGAAATATATGCTCTGTTCTTAGACAGAACTCAATATTGTAAACTCATCCTTAAATTAATTTGTGATTTAATGCAATTTAAGTTACATTTTTTTTAAACAAAACTTTCATAATGTTATCCTGAAGTTTGTTTGGTAAGTATATACTTTTCTTTTAGTGATTTAAGTTTAATTTGTGTATCATCCTTTTCAAATTGCATTCAGAGAAGATTCCAGAGTTTGAGACTGCTGGCCTCTTTAGATTCGATTCCTTCATTTTAGAACAACCAGAATATAATAGCCTCTGGGAAAATTATTTCAGTTAAGAGTCTTTATCCAGGAAAAGAGTAAATTCCTAAAATTTACTCTTGTTTACTTTGTTGCTTGAAGTTAACGTTAACAGCTTTTACTGCTTCAATTAATGAAGCCTTTATATTTTTACTCTGTTTGATATATACATTTTAGTGTTTAGTTAAATGGCATTTTCAACACTGACATGAATTTTTGAAAGCAGGCAAAATACCGTAAGTAATTATGATTTCTTTCAGAATATGTCTTAAATACCAGCATATTCTATCCTGTATTCTACTTCAGTATTTTTCTTCTGGTTTCAGATATTCAATGAATATTTTATGTTGAGAAAGAATTCTAAGGCTGTATCCAGGAAATAGAAAAAAAAGGAGTTCCAAAGAAAGAAATACATGCAAAAAACCCAAAAAGGTAGAAAAGTCACATTTTTCTAATGACAGAAATTTCTGATTATCTAGTATCATTCTGTATAATCTATTTATTAATTTTCTTGATATAGTGCTTAGCACAGTGTTAAAAATTTTTAAATTAAATGTTTAGTAAGTGCTTTTATGAAGAAGCATGCTACTCTCTGGGCTTCCCAGGTGGCACAGTGGTAAAAAATCCACCTGCCAGTGCAAGAGATGCAAGAGATATGGGTTCAATCCCCGGGTCGGGAAGATCCCCTGGAGTAGCAAATGACAACCGGCTCTAGTATTGCCTGGAAAATTCCATGGACAGAGGAGCCTGGTGGGCTACAGTTCATGGGGTTGCAGAGTCAGACACGACTGAGCAACGTACGTACAAACCTTAAGACATCCAAATTGTATCCCTTTGTATCTGCTTTTGAGTCTTATTAAACTATTATTATAAGCTATAATGAGTGTAAAATCTTAACCTTTTTTTTTTCACCTTTTAAATGGACATGTATTGAAATAGGTTACAGCAAAATCCTTGGTGGTCTGTTGGTTAAGACTCTACCCTTCCACTGCAGGGGGTTGTGTTTGATTCCCAGTCAAGGAACTTATAAGATCCACATGCCGCTTGGCACAGCTTAGAAAAATTCACAATTTCATTGAATACAGAATGTAGAATTACAGCTTAGGTAAATCTCTCCACATGTTGATTGTTTCTAATTTTTCATTTCTGTGAGCAAGAAACACTCAAATTTTAAAACAGATTTAGCTTTTTACCCATGTATTTAATTTTGGGGGGAAAATCCAAGAAAAATTAATCAGGCCATGAGCAATTTTATGACATCTTTTATACTCTAACCAGAGAACAGTCTCAAGATACATATAGTTTTACAGCAAGGGCCTGAATATTTCTTTTCTTCTTATGTCTCAGATAACTTTAGGTTTTGTTGTTTAGATTATTTTTTGTAGTTTAGTATGTGTGAAGTGGTATTTTTAAAATATTAAAATTTATTCAGTTAGTAGTGAGAATCTTTTTTCCTGAGTGCTGATTTGATCTTTGTTGTTACTTAACTGTCTGTATCCTTTTGCCCCATAATAGAAGATGGGTAAATGTTGTAGACATTTAAGTTTTATCTGTCATAATTATTGCAGGTATTGCTGCAGGTATTGCTTCCATTTGTTTATATCCTTTTACTCTTACAGTTGTTATTTTTCATTGCGTTAAAGTATGTTTTACAAAACCAGATCTGTTGATTCGTTGCTTATGCTTTCTTTTATTGGCCCAAATTTAATCTCTTTCCCACAGATGAGATAAATAGGCTATTCTGTTTTCTCCAGTATTATTTGAATGCTTAGTTCTTCATGTATTTAGAATTACTTATAATGTATGGTGTGGATATGTTTTTCTCCACATTATCCTCAGTTTTTCTGACAATATTTAAATAAGGATTTTCTGCACTTTAAGCACTTTTGAGATTTGATAATTATTTTGGTCTTTCTAGTCTTGTGGATCTTCCTGTATTTTTTTTAAATTGTGGTAGGTATACATAACAATAATTTTGACCATTTTCTGTATATCATTCCATAGCATTAAGTGCATTTACAATTTTGCACAGCCATCCCTCACCACTGTCCTCTACCATCCTTATTTGATATAGTTCTACTTTAAGCTGAAACATGATTGCTATTAACCTCAAGTAGATTGTTTAAATTTCTGAATTCCACTTGCCCTGTCCATAGGGGATATGAAGATGATACCAATTGTGTTTTAAGATGGTTGTGGAGATAAAATTAAGTAAGACAACAATTGTAAAAATAGGTAGTGGGTTTTACATGCTCAGTAATCGATAGGTCTCTTATCCTTCCCACTATAGTTGGTTTTCAAGACTGGTATAGGACTGATCTTCCTTAATTGCCTTTGTTATTCTCCTCCAAGGTACTCATCATTATTTTTGTCTAATTTTCAGTAAGAAGTTTGTACATATTAGAATAAACCTTTGTTTACTTATTTGAAACATCCTGTATAGATTCTATAGATTATGATACCCAAATTAGCATTTAGTATCATCCCACTGATACTTACTACTAAGTATTGTTCTGCAAGAGACTGTTGATATGTTTTCTTGTTTTGAGCCATTTCCGTTACATCTTTTCTGATTTTGTTTTATGAGGCCTAGTTTATAAATTAGAATTTAATTTGAAAAGATATCTTTAGGCTTTATGTTGGTACTTTGGGTGTTAGGACACTTGTTTCTAAATTAATTGATAGATCCCTTTAGAAGATTTCAGTTATTGTTGAATAATAGTACTTGAAGCAGTTTTCTTCAGGCCACATAGTAGAGGGTATTTTGCTACTTGTTTTCATTCTTCAGTGTATATGTGTAATTATGTTTGAGGACAGCATGGTAAGCATTTGCCAATTACCTACTTCTTGATACCAGCTGCTTGATAACTTCTTCAGGCTACTGCTGCTTATAACTATTATTGTTGAGATTTATTTAATTTTGGGAAGCAGGCTGTTCATTTTCCCTGGGGAAACTTTGGTAGCCTTTTCTCCTCCAGGGGATCTTCCCAACCCAGGGGTCCGAACCTATGTCACTTACATCTCCTGAATTTGCAGGCAGGTTCTTTACCACTGGCACCACCTTTAGTTTTAGTTTTTCCAGATTTCTGCCCATGAAGGCATGTGGATATAAACTCTCTCCAAAAATGATGGTAAAGGGGTTTAATTAAAAGTCAGTAGTAAGAATTGAAACTGGAAAATTATGAAAAGCTGTTACTATCCAAATGCCTTGAAAGTACTTAAAACAAAAAAACGCACTCGGTATGTTTTGTTTGGCTGTTTGAGTAAGTTGTAATTACATTCATTTACACTATGTTAAGAAACTGCTTTCCACTTCTATGTCAAGCCATTGTATATTATTGGATATTTTAATTCAGAAGATATTGGATATTTCAAAAGATGAGATGGTTGGATGGCATCACTGACTCAATGGACATGAATTTGAGCAAGCTCTGGGAGTTGCTGTTGAACAGGGAAGCCTGGCATGCTGTCTTCCATGGTTTGGAAAGAGTCGGACACAACTGAGCAACTACACTGAACTGAATTTAAAAAGATGAATCTAAAAAAAAAAAAGATGAATCTCATTGAATGTAAAATAATATCAGGTTATATTAATGGTTAAAAGAAACACCCCAAAACAAAAAGACAAGCAAAATATGCAGTTAAACTTCAGATCCAGTACACGAAAGTAAGAAAACTAAAATTTGGATGGTGATTCTGTACTTTTATTATTATCAAGTACTAGAGCACCTTGTCTGTGTTATACAACACTTTCGTTTGGTGGTTAGTAAATGTTACTTTCTGTTTTAAGCATGTGCCACTTGTAGAAAATGATGTAAGGTCTTAATATTAAAAGTTTTATTAGCACATTGATAAATGCTAAGAACATGATAAATATTTGTGTTCTTTTATTTAGTATAATTCAGGCATTTAAGAAATTATTGGAAAGAAGGAAGAATACTATATTGATGGAAAGTATCTTACATGGGGCTGTTCTGGTAGCTCAGCTGGTAAAGAATCCCCCTGCAATGCAGGAGACCCCCCTTCAATTCCTGGTTCGGGAAGATCCCCTGGAGAAGGGGTAGGCTACCCACTCCAGTGTTCTTGCCTGGAGAATCCCCATGGACAGAGGAGCCTGGCAGGCTACAGTCCATGGGTTCACAAAGAGTTGGACACGACTGAGCAACTAACCACAGCACATCTCAGTATCTTACGTGCATGTTGTGATGGAATCACATATGTTATAGTCATTATTAATATATTCTATATACAAGTGTACCAGAGTGTATGTGTACAGACTTCACATATATCACATGCCAGCAGAATCCCAGAAATTCTGCAGCACTAAGTCATATGCATCCTTTGTAGTTTGCTTTTTTTGCTAATTGTAAAATTATAAAAATTATTGGTATTCATTGATTACTTGATTTTTAAAGTTTTTTTCAAATGTAAAAATTATCTATGACCCTTTTATTTTTCTCAGTTGAAAAATGAAAAAGATAAAGGTGATTTTTAAGATGGAAACAACCAAGGGTACTTCTTTTCAAAGAAAAAAGTAGAGGTAGAAAGGATTGTCTTCCAATTGTACTCTTAACGAAGGTTTTCTTGTAACTGTCATATATTTGTCTCAAGAAAACTAGAAAGCTATTCCCTTTCTGTTGTAAAATCACTGCAGTGTTACTATATTTCTAAAAAACAAAATTCAAGATTTTACCATTTAGTTTTGTATGGCTTAAGAATCTATTTCCCTGCTATTAAGAGTAGTGTCTCTTTTAGACTCCATGAGCCCTTTGATCTATAAGAGAGATCTGTGTTCTCCTTTAATATTGTTCATATTTTTAAAATAAAATAAGGAAAGCACATGTTATTGAGTACCCTCTTTTTTTTAAACACAATTTTTCTTCCCTTCCTCTTGCTCAGGAGTAGATTTATAACCCTTCCTCCAAGAGAAAGAATATCCCTTTCCTGTCCTTTGCTGAGAATCTACTGATTAGAGATTCAGTCATTACAGTTACAGCCTTCAATTAAGTAAAACATAGAATATTATTCCTTTTTGTTTAGGTAAGAGCTGGTCACACAAAATTTTAACAGATGAGGTATTTAAAGGCATTACATTTCTCTAATGATTTGGTCCTATTTTCCTGTTTTGGGATAAAGTCCTATATGTACATTATGTACATTGGCTCTGTAAAAATCCCATAGAGACAAGACATTTCATCTTAAAACTAAAACAGATATAAGCTGGTAAAACAGCACAGCGTTTCATCTTTCATAATCGTGAATCAGTTTCACGTCACACTGGTTATGCTCTCCTGAGTAGAGCAAAACAAGAGCAGGGGAGGTGGCCCCTGTGAGCTTTAGTCGCTGCGCGCTGTGATTCTGCAGCACTGCTTATCTACGTCATGCAGTTTGAGCGCTTAGCTTTTGAGGCTCTGTGGATGAGCTCCACGTGAGTGCATTGAGCATCAAGTGCTTCTGACCTTCAAACTTTTTTTTCTTTCGACATTTTAGATCAGGGCAGCGAGGAAAGCTGTGTCTGAGTCGGATAGTTGTGCATCTGATTATATCCCTTACACGTGTTTTCTCTCCCCATTCTGGAGTGTGCCCCTAAAGTATGTTGTACTGTACCAGGATAGAGCAGTAGAAGTGGAGTGGTGGTAAACTGGCACGATTGAAGTTTTTCAGTTCCCTTTTTATTCATTACATCTGCAACAAGATTCTCTACTCGCTTTATTTAGCTTTGTATGTTAAGTTGGTTAAAGTGGTTGGTAAAAAGTGAAAACAGGTGTGACCTTAAGTAAAAGCAAAAACAATCACGTATTTTGGAGAAGTACTATTTTCATTTTTGTTAAATAGAAATGGGGAATTTTTAGTTTTTGTAATTATTTAGTTTTCTAACATCTTTCTGTGTCTCCTGGCAGCAGGACCCAATAAGGTGTTCTTACCAATAAGTGTGGGCTTCCCTGATAGCTCAGTTGGTAAAGAATCTGCCTGCAATTCAGGAGACCCCTTTCGATTCCTGGGTTGGGAAGATCCCCTGGAGAAGGGAAAGGCTACCCTCTCCAGTATTCTGGCCTGGAGAATTCCATAGACTGTATAGTCCATGGGGTTGCAAAGAGTCGGACAGGACTGAGCCACTTTCACTTTCTTTTTTTTTCCCCCACCAGTAAATGTGGGGCTTAGAGTCCTGTTTTTCTTCTTCAGTTTGAAAATCAGAACCGGAAGAGCAGGGGCTGAGAAAGGAAAGATTTTGCTTTAATAATTGACTAAGCAGTACATTTAGTAGAGCTCGTTATTTCAGGATAAAATGGATCCTAGCTTTCATTTTTATTTTCCTTAATTCTGTGATTCAGTATTTCACTTTATTTATTTGCATTATTAAAATAGAGCCAAAAGAATTGAATTTTCCTTTATGTTAATTACATATATACAGATAGTTGGTTGTGAAAGTATTTACTCGATGTTTCAGTTTACCTCCTATTTAAAGTGATTCTGTGTGTGTTAGCAGTTATGTAAATATTCCATGTTAAAGCAGGCTGGATGTTATCATAAGTTATTGACTGGCTCGGCTAATGTTTAAATTTTTAATATAACCCAAATTTTTAAAAAATTGTGTCTTCGTTCATTTACGTGGCTGTTATAAAGTGTTTAATGCCTTGGGCACTATGGTAACCATGTTTTAAGTACAGCAGAAGTGGTCCCACGTGTTGGATTTTGCAAGGTTTTATAAAGTCGGGTAAACCTACCTGACTTGGTGCAGCATGTCAAGTTTAAAAAGCCACGTGCAGATTTGAGATTTTGAGATTAGAGCTCACGTAGAAAGATTGAGGTAGCAAAATATTTTAAAAATTATTCTCTGATGGCCTCAATGATAATGCTCTAAGAGTACATAAAGTGTTGAATCCCCGTTCTTTTTTAAACAGATTGTGAAGACTGCTGGGGGACACTTGCAATCCAGTCACAAAAGCATAATAAAGAAATATTGGTCCTGATGGAAGAAGAGCAAGATTTACCAGAGCAACCAGTAAGTATTTCCTTTAACAATTTAAAGTTGATTGTAGAAAGGCTAATTTTAAGAGACTTTAACTGTTATTCAGTTATACTACAGATTCTAAGTTAGAAATAAAATTGAGGAAAGGACTCCTTAATAATATTCTTCTAAGAAAACAGTGTTCTTAAATTTATATTTTGCTGAAATATTCTTCTAAGAAAACAGTGTTCTTAAATTTATATTTTGCTGACTTAATGCCCGAGTCTGATTAGAAAATTCAGCTTTACAAAATAAGTATTGAAAAAAAAAAAAGAAGTCTTGTATTTAGAAATGCCATTTTCAAAAAGCAGTGGCTAATTTGCAGCAACGTGGATGGACCTAGAAATTGTCAAGTTGAGTGAAGTGAGTCGGACAAAGGAGAAGTATCGTATGACAGCCTTTGTGCTGCTGCTGCTAAAACATGACTGTCGCTTCAGTCATGTCTGACTCTTTGGGACTCTGCAGACTGTAGCCTGTTAGGCTCCTCTGTCCATGGGATTCTCCAGGCAAGAATACTGGAGTGGAGTTGTCATGTCCTCCAGGGGATCCTCCCAACCCAGAGATTGAACCCACATCTCTTATGTCTCCTGCTTTGGCAGGCGAATTCTTTACCACTAGCACCACTGGGGAAGCCCCGACATCCGTTATATGTAAAATCTAAAAAGAAATAATACAAATGAACTTACTTATAAAACAAAACAGACTCACAGTCTTAGAAAAGGAACTTACGGATGCCTGTAGGGAAGGATGGGGTGAAGGGATAGTTAGGGAGTTTGGGATGGACATGTGTACACTGTTATATTTAAAATGGATAACCAACAAGTTCTACTGTATAACTCAGGGAACTGTGCTCAACGTTAGATGGGAGGGGTGTTTGGGGAAGAATGGATATATCTATATGTGTGGCTGAGTCCCTTTGTTGTCCACGTGAAACTATCACAGCATTGTTGATCGGCTATACTCCAATATAAAATAAATTGTTGTCGTTTTTAAAGCAATGATATTCTTAAAGTTTTTAGAAAATAAAAGAGGACATTTACCAAACAGTATATACATACCATTTGTGCTAGAAAATCTAGTTTTATTTTTGCCTAAATTTCCGTGACTAAATTTTTTAAATAGTAATAGTTGAAGAAAATGTAATTTGACCACTGGCTAATTCTTTTTTTTTTTTTTTCATTTTTTTTTATTAGTTGGAGGCTAATTACTTTACAATATTGTAGTGGCTTTTGCCATACATTGACATGAATCAGCCCTGAATTTACATGTGTTCCCCATCCTGATCCCCCTTCCCGCCTCCCTCCCCATCCCATCTCTTTGGGTCTTCCCAGTGCACCAGCCCTGAGCACTTGTCTCATGCATCCAACCTGGGCTGCTGATCTGTTTCACCCTTGATAGTATACTTGTTTCAATGCTGCTCTCTCAGAACATCCCACCCTTGCCTTCTCCCACAGAGTCTAAAAGTCTGTTCTGTACATCTGTGTCTCTTTTCCTGTTTTGTATATAGGGTTATCATTACCATCTTTTAAAATTCCATATATATGCATTAGTATACTATATTGGTGTTTATCTTTCTGGCTTACTTCACTCTGTATAATGGGCTCCAGTTTCATCCATCTAATTGATTCAAATGAATTCTTTTTAATGGCTGAGTAATATTCCATAGTGTATATGTACCACAGCTTCCTTATCCATTCGTCTGCTGATGGGCATCTAGGTTGCTTCCATGTCCTGGCTATTATAAATAGTGCTGTGATGAATATTGGGGTACATGTGTCTCTTTCAGATCTGGTTTCCTTGGTGTGTATGCCCAGGAGTGGGATTGCTGGGTCATATGGCAGTTCTATTTCCAGTTTTTTAAGGAGTCTTCACACTGTTCTCCATAGTGGCTGTACTAGTTTGCATTCACACCAACAGTGTAAGAGGGTTCCCTTTTCTCCACACCCTCTCCAGCATTTATTGCTTGTAGACTTTTGGGTAGCAGCCATTCTGACTGGCGTGTAATGGTACCTCATTGAGGTTTTGATTTGCATTTCTCTGATAATGAGTGATGTTGAGCATCTTTTCATGTGTTTGTTAGCCATCTGTATGTCTTTGGCTAATTCTTTAAAATAGATAAGACCCTTGAGAATAAGTTGAATTCTTAATTTCTTTTAAATATTTAACATAAATAAAATAATTTTAAATGTACTTGGGTGCTACAGATTTATTGCCTTACCATGGTTTCTTTTTTTTTCTTTTTTTTTCTTTTGGTCTTTCTAAGTGTTGTGTGGTTTTTTTTTTTTAACCCATAGCATTTAAAAAAGGAAGACAATAGTAATCATTCTCTTAAAATACTTTTCTGTTAAAGAATCTTTTTCTTTTACTTGAGCTTCTTTTTCTGAAATAAGATAAATACTGATTCAATTTGCTCTCCTGAATAAGCCTCTTGCATTTTATTTTAAGAGAATAGTGAGTGGTACATTTTTACCTCTCAGTAAAAGTGCAGTCTAAAAAACTTTGAATTTTGAAAGCAGATAACAGAGTATGTTTTTCATGTTCTAGATGTATTCTCTACATCAATGAAAGATGGTCATCTGCTTCCATTTAAATGATAAAGTCCTCTAATATATTTTAAGTATTTTACTTTATGTTGAGACATGCATATCAGTGATTCCTTTGCTATTAACTCTTTTAGTCCCCTCATTTAAGTATAAAGCTAGGAAGACCTAAGCAGTTGGTAAAATGACCTTTTGAAACATTTAAAATGTCATTCCCCTATCCCTGGTGGAACATTAATAATCAGGGAAATGGTAGGGTTAAAAATCATCCTCAGCGATGTATCAAAGATATACACTATAAGAACAAATAGCTGAATTAGAGACACTGAATGTACCCAGGAAGATTGTGTCATTGAGTTTTTAATGTCATAAGACAAACGTCTAGTCATAGTTTCAAAAGGCTTATGTAAATGTTGACATACTGATGAAATGAGTATTATTAGTTGCTCCTTACCTGTTTAAGGTAGTGAGAATTGTGAAGCTGACCTGTTGGTGAGTCATTTTTCCCCCTCTGTTTCATTTCCTTGTCATTCTACTCAGTTTCCATAACATGACATGCAAAACCTGATTGTTATTTCACAGAGAGGTGAGAAATTAAAGTGGTTTAAAAGCAGATTTTCTGGGAATTTCCTGGTGGTCCAGTGGCTGGGAGTCTCCACTTCCACTAACAGGGACATGGGTGTGATACCTGGTGGGTGACTAAGATCTCGCAAGCCATATGGCGTTGCCAAAAATTTTTTTTTAATTAAAAAAAGTAAAATTTTCTGCTGACTGTAAATGATGATTGTCATGAGACATCTTTTTTTTTTTTAATTGATTTGTACCTGGGTCTTTTTGAACTTTTGAACTGTGGTGTTGGAGAAGACTTTTGAGAGTCCCTTGGACTGCAAGAAGATCCAACCAGTCCATCCTAAAGGAGATCAGTCCTGGGTGTTCATTGAAAGGACTGATGTTGAAGCTGAAACTCCAATACTTTGGCCACCTCATGCGAAGAGTTGACTCATTGGAAAAGACCCTGATGCTGGGAAGGATTGAGGGCAGGAGGAGAAGGGGACAACAGAGAATGAGATGGCTGGATGGCCTCACCGACTCGATGAACATGGGTTTGGGTAGACTTTGGGAGCTGGTGATGTATAGGGAGGCCTGGCGTGCTGCGATTCATGGGGTCGCAAAGAGTTGGACATGGCTGAGTGACTGAACTGAACTGAATTGAACCTGGGTCTTAATTTATAAAGGTGACTGAGTGACAACACAGAGAGAGGTCAGTGCCATAGAAAGAGCAGTTTTCTGTTACAGTTCTCTTAGAAATAAGAGACACAGCATGCCACAGAGGGGCACAGGGAGAGCACCAGTGTCAGTTCAGGAGGCAGAGACACACAGAGCAATCCTGGAAGGTAGTGTAGGGGAATGCGTAGGCCACTGCCTTAATTGAGGTTTCTTTAGGCAAGGTAAAACAGGGTAATTGTTCATTTAGGATTGGAGGTTTGAGGTACAGAAACTATCACTAGGTATCTGGCCCTGGGTTTATTTAGAGCAGGGGAATATAGTTCAGAATATGGTTCAAAATGTGGACTCTGGATTGCAGGGGAAGATGTAAGCAACTTTGGCTCTTAGTTTGGCCCTGTGGTTAATGGGTGTGAAATAGACAAATAGAGAAAATGTGGAACATGTATTAACTGTTAAAAATAACTAGGATAAGAAGAGTTAATGTCAGATGTTGAGGAAAATTTTCATAGACTGTAGTAGAGATCTGAAGCTTCAGTGGAAAAAATGGTCCTGTCCCAAGTTGATAATGATAAAGTCATGATTTTTTTAAAATTTTATTTTATTGAGATGCGGTTGGTGTATAATGTTGTATTAGTTTCTGGTGCACTGCACAGTGATTCAGTTATACATATATATAATACTTTTCGTCTGCTCATCCCAAACTCCCAGTCCACCCCTCTTCCACTCCCCGCTCCCTTGGCAACCACAAGTCTGTTCTCTATGTTTGTGGGTCTGTTTCTGTTTCATAGATAAATTCATTTGTATCATGTTTTAATTGATTTGGTATCTGGTAAGGGCCTGCTTCCTGGCTCATAGACTGCTATATTTTTGCTGTGTCATCACATGGTGGAAAGGGCAAAGGAAGTCTCCTTTATAAGGGCACTAATCGTTCATGAGGGCTCCACCCTCATAATCTTACCATCCCAAAAGCCCTGCTTGCACATTTTCTCATACTGGGGATAAAATTTCAAAATATGAATTGGGGGGGGGGGTTGGAATACAGGCATTCAGTCTATAGCATCCTGTGTACCCAGGGAGAGGAAAAAGACTAGTGAATATTTATAAGTGCATCTACCATAATCTTTTCTTTGGTTCACCTATTTCATTTTCTGAGTTAAAAAACAATATGTAACTCCTTTCCCTATACATTTCTCTTAAGAGAAACAACCCCAAATTCCATCCATTGATGCATCCAGATCAAGTCCAGGATCTGAAACTCACTAGTTTCTACTAGATCTAGATGTGACCTCTTTTGAACTGGTAGCCTGTGAACTTAAGACACATGTCTTGCCTCCCATTGCAAGTCATGTTCCGTATGCAGTGATGGAATAGGCAGTTGTCTCTGCCATGGGCATTTACCTTTCTGGTAGTTTGGAATGCTTATTCTCACTCTCTATATGCTGATTTCCTTATGTCAAGTTCTGGAAGTCAAATTAATAATTAGGTGACTGTTGGTAAGGGCTTCCCTGATGGCTCAGATGGTAAACAATCTGCCTGCAGTGTAGGAGACCTAGGTTTGATCCCTGGGTTGGGAAGATCCCCTGGAGGAGGGAATCGCAACCCACTCCAGTATTCTCTCCTGGAGAATTCAATGGACAGAGAGCCCTGGCGGGCTGCAGTCCATGGATTGCACAGAGTCGAACACAACTGAGCGACTAACATTGCCACTGCCTGTTGGTAAGTGTGATCAACGAAAATAGTATTAATTTTTTTTATGTGTGTAATTTCATTAGGTTATGATCACACTCTTTCCCCAACTAGAACATACAGTATAACTTTCTCCTAAAGAGAATGATATGCTTTGTTGGACAGTGGTGGATAAATTCTGACTTAAACGTCTTCCCTTTTAAGAATTCATGCAGACTTATGTTGGATTTATTATTCCCAAGATTACAGTTTACCAAGCTGTAGTATGACTTAGCCTCTTGTTAAAACTTAAGAAGCATAATAATTATATACTTGTAAGTCATCTCAGAATAATTCTGGAGTGATATTTGAGATGCGTAATGTAATTTTCTTATCTAGAAAGTGGTATTTCCTAATATAACAGTTGTATATCACTTTCTTTCATAAACTGCTCACTCTCATTTGTTCTCTCCCTATCCACTCCCCTTCACCAATTTCATTTTCAGAGCAGGTCTTTGAAGTAGATAGTTACGTTTTATTTTCAGAGAGGTAGACACACAGTGAATTAACTGTCAGAACTGAGCCTTGAACCTGTACATTCTGAATTCATATGTTGTGTTATTTGTATTCCTTTGCTCTGCTATATTTAAAGCTTCACTTTTTTTTTGTTGTTATGTTTTTAAACAAAGGCACAAATAGAACTCTGATTCATAATTTGTCAGTAGATCTTCCTTTAGTGACCTTTAGTTACAACATGCCCATAAGATTATGTCATTTTTTTTTGCAGCCAATTAAGCCGACTGTGCTCTTTTCCCCATGGGGGCCCAGTGTGCAATGGCTGCAAACAGCAGCCTCCTTGGTAGTGTATGCAACCTGTTGCCTGTACAGGTAGCCCTAAGGGACCTTGGAGACAACTCTTCCTAGTGGGCATTCATGGCTGGCCTGCTGTTTCTCAGTCTAGACTCCAGATGGGTATGCGCAGTGCCTTTGGAAAGCCCCAGGGCACAGTGGCCAGGGTCCACATTGGCCAGGTCATAATGTCCATCCGCACCAAGCTGCAGAACAAGGATCATGTGATTGAAGCCCTCCGCCGGGCCAAGTTCAAGTTCCCTGGCCGTCAGAAGATCCACATCTCCAAGAAGTGGGGATTTACCAAGTTCAGTGCGGATGAATTTGAGAACATGGTGGCAGAAAAGCGACTCATCCCAGACGGCTGTGGGGTCAAATACATCCCTAATCGTGGTCCCCTGGACAAATGGCGGGCCCTGCACTCATGAGTATCAGCTCTGTTCCCTCCTTAATCACGCTCACCAATAAATGCTATTTCCTGTCAAAAAAAAAAAAGATTATGTCATTTTTTAAATGACAGCTCTATTTATTGAGATATAATTCACATCCATTTTAAAGTATCTGATTGGATGGTTTTAGGATATTCACAGAGTTTTGCTGCTGTCACCAGAGTTGATCTTAGAACATTTTCATCACTCCAGAAAGAAACTGTACCCTTTAGCAGTCACCTCTCAATTCTGCCCTCGCCCCAATCCTAAGCAACTACTAATTTACTTTCCTGTTGACCTTTTGTGAGTATTTCGTATAAATGGAGTTATATAGTATGTGGTCCTTTGTGACTGGCTCCTTTCACTTAGCAAATCTTTTCAAAGTTTACCTGTATTAGCATGCACAAGTATTGATACTTCATTCCCTTTTATTGTGGAATGTTTCATTATATGGATTTATTTTATCATTCATCATTTTTATTTGTCATTATTGTGTTTATCCATTCATCTATTCATGACACTGGGTTTCCCCTTTTTTGCTATTTTGAATAGTGCTGATAGGAACATTCATGTCCAGGTCTTTGTGTGGATATATGTTTTCATTTCTGTTTGGTTATATAGTCAGGAATGGAATGGCTGTATTATATGGCAGCTTTATGTTTAACTGTTTGAGAAACTGCTAGACTGTTTTCCAAAGTAGCTGCACTGTTTTCTTTTTGTCCACTTCTGGATTGTATTATTTGAACCCATCCTTTTGTAATCCAATGAAATCTGTATCCTTTAAGTTAGTTTAATGCCTCTATACCAAGATACCATGTTTCCTATCCCTGACTTACAGGAGGACAGAATTGCCCAAATCAAGGGAAACAGTGGGTCATGAAAGGTACAGAATTAGCTGGGAGCACATTTTCCACCCCCTGACTTCTTTGTTTGGTAGACATGTCTTTAGGTTCATTTTCTCTGTTTCTGTTTGTGTGTATGTATTCTACTGAGTTGGCACTGTAGTAGATAACAAATGAAAAAGCATAGTTCTTCCTTGAAAGGCCATTATGAATATATTTTAAAATTTTGCTCCAGGGCTTTTTTTTTTTTTTTGCGTTTTCTAGCTAAATTTGTTACTCTTTCACTCTAATAAAATGAAGACTGTGGTAAGTTAGATTCTTCATTGCTCTGGTTTTCTTTGTATGTACAAGTTACTGTTGTAAACTATAGACTGTTTTAAATTCATTTCTTTGATTGCAAAAAGAGTCTTTGGGTGAGCTAAGCATAAATTCATCACCACTATTGGAAAATTACTTTATTATGTGGCATTATGTAAATACTGTCATCTTCAGGTGGGAAGGACAGCATGGTTTCTAATAGCCTGTATTAAGTTGAATTTTTCTTATCTTAAGCCTTGCAGTTTCCAGTCAAAACAGTTTTTCAGCATTATTACATGAGTGTATTTTTCTCCCATACCTTTCATTGAAGTTTTGTCATGTATTGGTAATACAGTTAAATTCTTTTGTCACAGTGTATATACTGTCATGTAATCCCTTTACCTCCTGGTTGGTTTATGGTATCTTTTATCATATGGAAGTTTTGAATTTTTGTAAAATCAAACTTATTTTCTCCTTTATGACTTTTGAATTTAATGTCATATTTACTAAGGGTTTACCTACCTCAAGGGTTTTGTTTTTGTTTTCTTTTTTTTTCATATACTTTTGTAATTTTGTTTGTAAACTTAGAGGATATTTTAATACCTCTTATTAATTTTATCTTTTTTGGCACCTATGAAAGTTAAGGCAGGATCAGTTGATATGCCATAAGCAAGGATCCAAGAGTATTTGGTTCTATTTATTTTGTCATGTTTTCTCATGAGGAATAGATGTCCATGAGAAATTGAATGGACCTGGAATTTATGTTGTATTTATTATGTATTTTGAAATTTTAAATTTAATCATACTTACTAGCTATATTCCCACCTAATATGTTTGTTTAAAATTGTTTATTAGCAGGGACTTCCCTGGCAGTCCGGTGGTTAAGACTCCCAGTGCAGGGGGCACAGGTTCAGTCCTTCATGGGGAAACTAAGATCCTGCATGTTGCACAGCATGGCCTAAAAAAAATTGTTCAGAGTTTCTGCCTCTCTGCATACCTAACTCCTTGTAATGGGTTGGCGGTACTCTTTGTACTTTGCGAGCTTGAAATACTTTTTAAGTATTCATAATTTGTATGGCTAAGCACACTAAACTTACTTCTGTAACTAGTTATTCTAATTCAAAAACCCTACAATCAGATTCTTTGTAATATTTAAAACAACAGGGAAAATCATTAGTAATGTTAACCATAGATCTTCCATTTGTGACTTCTTAAACTGTTTCAATGGAAATGCTTTTACCTTAGAAGGATTTAGAGAAGATGAAAATATGGGAAAAAACAGAATAGTGTGAAGCATATTTTTTAAATTACTGGTAACCTGATAGGAATTTATTTTTATTTTTGGCTTGTAAGTAAAAGATATTTCTATTAAATAAATGGTTAGATGTTTGCAAAATTGCCATACTTACTGTTTGAAAATATATTTATGTGTCTCTTAAAATTTAAAAGTAACCCAATTTGATTTCAAGTTTGGATACCTTATCCTGGTAAACATTCTGTGTTGAGTAAAAATCCTGGTAAACCTTTTATTTTGCCTTGAGTTTAGAAAACACTGTTTTCATTAAAAAGAAAAAAGAGCCCCATGTGCAAAACAAGCCCATCTTTAACTCTCAAATTTATCAGAGGTTAATGAAATAAATATAAGTCTAAGCAAGACAAAAGGAAACAGTTACCCTGTAATTTATTAGTTAATCTGAGGCTGCCATTTGAGTAACTAGATGATTTTAAAAACAGATCATGACATTGATGCTTTTGTATATTTATTTCACAGGTGAAGAAAGCCAAGATGCAGGAATCCGGAGAGCAAACTTTAAGGTATACAAAGTTGAATTTCTTTTTAATGACCTACTTATAATTTGTTTTTAACCTGTTGATCAGTATATGGACATGATTTGGATTGACTTACTCTCATTTTGGTTTTTAGCATCAGTTTTTATGTTTCGAAATTATTTGATTTAAGGTGAAAATTATCCTCTAAAACTTTGTCCTTAAAGTTTGTCCTTGGAACATATAAGTGCTGAATTTTTCTCGTTTATTCATTATTTATTCAGCGGAATGTACCAATCTCATGTTATCACTCAGAGCATGTGATACTTGAAAGAGACACAATGGTAAATATTCTTCAGTTAGGTGTACAGTATACATAATAGGAAAAATAGAAATTTAAAAAAATCCAAGGAGTTAATTCTTAATTACCAGATGGATATGGGACATCTTGATCATTAGCTCTGCTCCCCTTACAGGAAAGAGGCAGCTTCTTTGCATGTCATACTCTGGCTTCCACACACCATGATTTTCAGTTGTCCACAGTTCTTACCTCCTGTTTTTTGTCTACCAGCCAGATGAACCAATAACTGCATCCCCTCTAACATCTTAATTTCAAGAATCCTAATCTTACACTTCACACACTAGCATTCCAACTCATTTATTCTGTTGTCACACTAGCCCTGTGTCTTACTCTACACTTCCACTTATAATGACAGTGATCTATCGTATTTTCACTGTCAGGCATTGACCCTTCCCTCAAAACAGACTTCAGTATCTTCCTATGCTGCTCAAAAGATAAGATCTATTACTTGAATAAATTTCTTACAAACATTCTTAACTTCTTCTCCCTTTCCCCTGTCATCCTTCCCTAGCCTAACCTGCTGTTTAAAAACCCTAGTTAAACCCTCCTATTCACCTGTTTCATACTTATTCCCAATCATCTGAACACTTGTGATAGGAAAACACAAAACTGTGCTCAGTGGTCTCAATTTCTAGTCATGAGTACATCTCAGCGGGCACTTAAGCATTTTTGGTGGTCCAGTCACTCTTCCTGGTTTATTACACAGTCGTAAAATCGTTTCTCTTTCCTCCTTACTTTCCTTTATTCCTCCTCTCCTTTCCTCCCTGCCTGTCAGCCTGCCTTCCTTTCTTCCTGCCTCCCTCCCCGCTTCGTCCCTCCTGCCTCCGCCTCTCCCCCCTCCTTCCGTTTACTCAGCCCGGGATCTGGCTCCCTAATGCAGAGAGAAGTCAGCAATGGACAGGGACTGCCTTGCTTGTCTTACCACTGGACCTACCCCCTTAGCTACTTTACTGCTGCTCTCTTGTAGCCTCTGCTTCCCTTCGCTCTGAGGTTATTTCCCTTGCTCATCTCTCTCCAGTTGTACAGTGGAGCCTCTCAGCTTCATCTTTTCCTGCTGCTATTCCGTCTCCTTCAGCAGCTGCTTTATTGGGAATACAGACAACCTAAAATTCACCGTTTCAGTCATTTTTAAGTGTATAATCCAGTGGTACTAAGTACATTCACATTGATATGCAACCGTTACCACCATCTATCTCAAGGACTTTTTTTTATCTTCCCAAACTGAAACTCTGTATTCATCAGACTCTCCATTTCCCCCTTCTTCTAGCTCCTGGCAACCATCATTCTGCTCTGTCTCTATGATTTTGATTACTCTTTAGCACAGTCATAAGTTATTTGTCTTTCTGTGACTTGTTTGTTTCATTTAGCCTGATGTCTTAATGGCGGATCCATTTGTAGTGTGTGTCAGAGTTTCCTTCCTTTTTAAAGCTGAATAATACTCCGTAGTAGTCAATACCACGTTTTATTTATCCATTCATTGGTTAATTGTGTTTATTATTGCCAAGAGTTTCATTGAATGAAAAAGAGGTATTTGTGATGCTTACTTTTGGAGTTTGGGTGTTTCTGCTCTTTTTTTGGAGGAGGGAAATTTTATTTTGGAGCATTTTCTTTTCAATCATACACACGTTGTTAAGTAAATTTTATATAACAGGATGATCATATTTGAGATAGTAATAATTTTTCTAGATATAATTTCAAATATTCAGCAAAGTGCTAGAGTTAATTCACTGTCTTGATGCTTTTGTTTCTGTTTAGTCTCTCGATACTTAGTTGAATACGTAGGAGATTTTGTTGTAAGAATCCAGGACCATAGGATTTTAGAAACTTGTCCATTGTACACCAGACCATACAAGTATACCTTCTACAATACAAGATCTAGAAATAGTCTTTCAATAGTTGGTGTAACAGTGATCCCAGACTTACTCAGAGCAGTCTTACACATAGAAGACCAGTCATTAGAGTCAGAAATGTGAAGTTCTTATCTGGGTTTATACCGTTCTCCTTGGAATCCGATTTAATTAGGCATAAGATAGGGCTCAGAGGTCTGTATTTTTACCAGTCATTCAGGTAATTATAAGAAATAAGCCATTTTGGGAAACAACGATACAACTACTAAGTATGATTTGTTATCCATGCTTTTCAGTTCCCGTAGTCATATCTTGGTTAGTATATTAAGTGCTATTTTGAAAGTACAGACATTTGAGTGAATAGATTAAGGTAAACTTCATCTGGGGATTTACTTTTTAAAATTAATTACATCTGAGGAAAAATTGTTTGAACATTCAGAATATACCAGGGAAACAACCTTTATTGATAGTATGCTTAAATATTAGAGGTTCATTCAGAAAAGATACAAGAGCTTTAAGAATTTTGGTGCTTTGTACTTTTTTTATAAGTAGCGTTTCTTTTTAAATTGTTCTATGTAGAAACTATTCTTACTGTTTATTAGTCTTATCTTTTCAAAAAAGAAAAACTGGAAAAAAAATTTTTGTTGATGGCATAATGTTCCCTTGTATGAGGATACATTACATAGTTTTTACCCAGTTCTTTAACTAGTTGGACATTGGCTTCCAAAATTTTATATAACAAATCATGTTGCAATGAAAATACTTCTTCATTAGTTTATATACACCAGTTCCAGTTACTCACCCACCATTAATATGTAACCATAGTTCTTTTCATACTTCTCTGACATAGTGTCACAAACTTTTTGAGTTTGCTAACTTAATAAGTGGAAAAAAAGTTTTATTTTAGTCTTAAAAAAAGTCACATCTTTCCCAGTATGTGGAGTATCTGCGACAGTGTCCTCTACTTCTTCCTAGAGTGTAGAACAGCAAAGCAGATTTCTTGCTGAGGGAACATGAATGTGGGAAGCATACCTGGGCTGGTGAGAAGTTGTATTATAATAGTACTGGCTACAGTTATATTGTGCTTACTCTCTTCTAGTCTTTGCTCTAAATACTTTTCACATATTGACTCATTAATCCCTATAACAGCCCTGAAAGGTAGGTTCTATAATTATCCCTCATTGACGGTTGAAAAAAACTGGAGTACAGAGAAGTTCAGTGACTTGCCTAAAGCCATAAAGCTAGCTTTGGCAAAGTGCGATATGAACTCAAGCAGTCTGGTTCCAGAGCCTGCACCCTTAAGCACTGTACTGTACTAGTGGTTGAGGGAATAAGGGGAGAGTTGGAAAGTAAGGTAGGAGGAAGAGGGAGGATGTTGTGAAAGATCAAAGGGTAGTCTCCATTTCAGAATCTCAGTGAGGATCTTCCCAACATTAAAGTATCTAACATAATGATTTATCCTTCTAGTCTAAATGACACAGTCTTTTTCAGTTTCTCTTAATTTGTGTTATAAGTTTTTTAAAGAAAGATTTTGCTAAGTTTGGGGTATAATAACAAAAATTTGTTTGTTTTTAATTGGGGGAAAACAAGTACAGTGTAATGCACCATCTTAAGGTTCAGAACCCCTTCTTGTGTAAGCATTGTAGTTTGAAAAAGCTTTTCAAGTGATTGTGAGGACCATTGTCTGAAGTTAGTCATCTCACTACATTCCTTTGGTACTTTGGAAATAAAGTGAGAGCAGTTTTAGGTGCTGTAGAGTTTTTCTTTTACCATGTGGTCTTTAGAGAAAATCTGAGTTGCCTGTTATATGAAATTTCCACACGGTATAAAAACAGTCATGGTCTAGGGATGTGACAAAGAACTGGAATGCTGAAGGTACTAGGCCTGGCCTTAGCTGTTACGTAGCTGATAAAAACCAAGAATAAGGACTTCATGAAATAGACTTACCTTGCCCCTTATCTAGGAAGAAATTGGTTTGATTTAATCACTTTTAGCAATGCAGCAGGTCAACCAGAGGCTAATGTATTCATTTTGGTTTTCCCAGTCAAGTAAGCAACCCCGAAGTCAGTGATCAGAAACCTGAAACTTCAAGCCTTGCTTCAAACCTTACCATGTCAGAGGAAAGTAAGTACCGTATTCTGTGCATCATGGACATATTTCTATGACCAGGTGATGCTGACCTTTTATAATTGGTTTTCACTGATTGCCTCACTTTTCTCAGAATATCCAGAATCCTTTCATTGCCTTGTATGTGTGTTCATCCTTATGGCCTCCTATAAATCTTATTGACATACCAGCTAAGGAGTAAAATCACATGGGATCCATTCCTAGGGATTGGTGATTGTGTTTTTGTTTTGAGATTGAATGTTCTTCTAAAGGTAATAAGTAGTGCTTTACTCAAAATCAGAAAAGTTTGTGGGCCAACCTCTGACTGCTTCTCTGGATGGCTTGATGTGTTTCCACCTTTCTAATAACCAGGTGATTCTACCTATCCATCTAGGCAAAAAAAAAAGAAAGGTAGTTCCCCGAGAGCCCAAGATTGAAACTGGGCCCTGGGGGAGACACATCTCAATAGGATATACCCTCTGCTTACCAAACCTTAGCCAAAAATTTGTAGAATGTTCTTTTTTTTTTTCTTGTGGAGATCTAAGCTTTCTTTGGAATATCGTGGTTGTATGCTCCATAGGGCAGATAGTCCTCCTTGAAATTAAAAAGCTATGCCCTTTCATATTATACCACACACTTCAGAAGAATAAGTTTGTGTACGTTGCTTTATAAAAAAGACATGTTTAGGAGATATATCTTAAGATGCTTAACCTTATATAATTCCCATGTAATAAAAGATGGTATGCCTTAAAAAAAAAAAGTTATGTCTTAAGTTGTGTATATTACTTCCTCAAAGGTGCTGTTCCAGTAGTTGTCAAACTTTTAGCATACCTGAGTTACCTGGAGTGCTTCTTTGTAATGCAGCATTCTAGCCTCAGCTTCAGTGATTATCAGTCAGAACACCTGTTGTGGATGAGAGTCTGCGATTTCAAGAAGATAGCTAGGTAACTCTGATACATACGGGAACTGCTCTAATCAACGAAAGATGTCTCTCTAATTTTTTAAATATCTCACTCCAGTGTTCTCGGGCGTCCCTTGTGGCTCAGGGGTAAAGAATCTGCCCACAGTACTGGAGACCTGGGTTTGATCCCTGGGTTGGGAATATCCCCTGGAGAAGGGCAAGGCTACCCACTCCAGTATTCCGGCCTGGAGAATCCCATGGACTGAATAGTCCATGGAGTCACAAAGAGTCAGACATGACTAAGCAACTTTCACTTCACATCCCCAAGAAAAAGGTCTGTTCCTTATATACTTCAGGGCCCAGAAGTAAGTTGAGTCTTCTTGCTTCTTAAAAATTATTTCTCTTTTTTTCCTTCAAAAACTCTAGTTCCTTTGAAGTCTACATTTATGCCCCTTCTTCCAGCTTTCTTTTTACCTCAGACTGAACTCCTAGTCATTTTGCTCTTTAAAGACTAGATCTTTGTTTTCTTCTCCCTCCAGACCTTTATTATTCTGGGTAATTTGAGCGTCCATGTAGATGACCTGTCCAACACCCATAATGTCCCTCTTCTTTTCCTATCCCTTTTTACTCCACATGGATTCTGTAGTTCTTTATTATAGTTAATCCCTTACTAATACCTTCAATAATTTTGCCTCTTGTACTGTCCTTGCTAAACGCCAATCCTGATTTAATCCAACTGTCCACCTTCTCTGTAAGTATTACATTAAATAGCTGAACATTACTGGGTAGTTTATACACTTAGCTGACTGTTAACTCACAGGGCCTTAAATGGGCACCCTACTACACTTTACTCATGAGTTTTACCTTTTACTACTTCATACCATTTCTTTCCTCTCAGCACCCATACTACTCACCTTTCTTCATATTACTGATAATTTCTTCTTGAATAGAAGCTGTCTGACAGGAGGTTCCCTTATTAACCTACCACCACCAAGTCTTCAGCCCTACTTGTGTTTGTACCCATGTTACCTTGTTTTATTCTTGTCAGAATGGAAATAGTATTCTTGTTCCTGTGAAAGGTAAGACCCTTTATTTGTGCTTCATATCCTGTCCTCACCTACCCCAAGTACTTTGGTACTGTGATTATCCTAATACCATTCTTGCATTGTCTTGTCCTTCTCTTCCTAATCCATCCTGTCTGTGGAGACATGACTCAGTATCTTCCATCTTAAAGCACAAACAAAACCCTCCTTGAAGTCCATATTCCCCACCAGCTACAGACCTTCTCTTTGTCCCATGACCCCATTTGGAACCTCTGGAAAGTGTTGCCCTCACTTGCTTTGTCTCCTCCCATTCGCTCTTCATCCCTCTCAAATTTAACTTTGTCACCATTCTTCCAGTGAAACTGCTTTTGTCAAAATCATTACTTCCTTTCACTAACTGAAAGTACTAGTTCCAGTGGGTATTTCTGTCTGCTTGTATCTTGCCTCTTACCACTCTTTCTCCCACCTTTCTTCTTTGCTGGCCTTTCTTCTGCTGTCTAGTCTCTGAATGTTAGTGGGCCTCTGGGTTTGGTTCTAGTCCACCATCTTTGTTCTTTCTGTATTCTCTCACCCATTTCGTTACTTTAAATATTTGATATGTAGTTAATGAATTCCAAATTTGTATTCCTAGTCTGACTTCTTACCTTAATTTCATTTGTGTATCCTATTGCCTACCTGATATCTCCACTTAGATATCTAAGAGGAAAGTCATACTTAAAATATGTGAAAGCTTTTTTTCTGCCCTTCAGTTCAGTTCAGTTCAGTGGCTCAGTTGTGTCCGACTCTTTGCGACCCCATGAATCGCAGCACGCCGGGCCTCCGTGTCCCCCACCAAAGCTGTTCTCTTCCCCAACTTCTTCATCTTTGGAAGTATTTTCACTGCCCCTCCAATTTCTCAAGCTGAAAACCTAGAAATTATCCTGTATTCCCTGTTTTCCTTATTCCTTAATTCAAATTCATCAGGATGTCCTGTTAGTTTTACTTTCAGAGTATATTTCTAGGTTTTTGCCTTGTTTCCAGTGCTATTACCTTTTTTAAAAAAAACCAGTGCAGAGTTGAACACATCCAAATTTATTTACACAGTGCTAAAGAAATTTGAGTTCTATTTCCATTTTGTGGAATTTTATTCTGGGATCCGGCTTTGTTGTGTAACTGACATAGGTCATTGAAACTTGATTATCCCACCTCACCTGCAATTTTCTATCTCAGGGAAACAGAAGACTTGGGTTTTTAATGCACATACAATAATGATCTTAATACTGCTTTACAGTTTAGTAGGAAGGCAGCTGTCCCACAGCTTGAGGGGGAAGAAGGGCAGGCAGAGAAGTTATAATTAAGCAGATTATGCCTTGACTCTTTTATCTTTTCATAGTTCCCAAGTACCACAAAGATTAAGTCTCATTCATTCTCTAGAGAAGTAAAAATTGGCCTAGATCTCCTAGAATGTTTTGTGAATCTCTTCTAGAATTAAATGGGAGAAGGAGAAGGATTTGGGGTTTTGAAAATACTTGTCAGCAGAGAAGGAACCATTATGTAGAAATCAAATGAACTTCTGTTCTATGTAATGGACGATAAGAACCTTAGATCTAACTGAGATTCCCTTCATTTTTGTCAAAGTGATTAATGATTAATATAATCTGCAAATTGCCATGAATTATTTTCAGAGACTGTGAACAGTGGCAATAGGCAAGATCGATGATAAGCTCATTCACAGATGATTTGTGTTACTGTTGGGCATGAATCGACCCCACATATCTCGGTCAGTGTTCCCTTTGGGGGTAAGACACTCAGAGAACCCAGCTAGACATAAAGTTAGTTGGTTCACCCTGAGTCCCTATCCACAATAGAGCAACCTCCCTTATAATAGGTATTGAGGGATGTTCTCGAACAATTTAGGAATCTGGTACAAGCTCTGTGTGTTGTAGCTCTACCTACAATATGGACTGAAATACTGCTAATGAAAAGGATTCTGCTACTGTCAAACTTGAATTGAATATTTACAGTACTCATCACGCACGAAACCCTGAGGATTGGGCCTCCTGACTGTCTATTCTAGATGACATCATGGCGGCCAGGAGGGCAGGCACTGGGAAGGCCCCTTTACTTGACGGTTTATTGGAGTTACATCAGTTCCTCAGGTCTGCCTCTGCCTTACCAAACTTAAAGCTTTGTTACTAAGCTGAAAAAATGATAGTGTAAAAGCATGCTTGCATCTTTCTGCTGCTGATCATATATAGCAGCAGCAACAGTTACTGTATATAGCAGCAGCAACAGTTACTGGATACTTCTTCCCAGTCTGTCTTCCTGCAGGTCATCCTTATGACCTTTTACTCAGAATAGGGTAAGCAGCCAGAGAATGAATAAGCTGAAGAAGTGTAATGTGGCTTCCTAGACATGGATCTTGCATTTTAACTTCACCTCTGAACATAGATGAGAGCTTAGGAAGTTGCTTCATTTATGGTTTTAGAACAATGATGGTGATGGTAAAGATCAGTCAGTCAGGAATTCCCTGACGGTCCAGTGGTTAGGATTCCACGCTTTCGCTGCTAAGGGCCCAGGTTTGATACTTGGTTGAAAAATTAAGATCCCACATGCCACACAGCACAGCCAAAAATAGAGATCAGTTGGAACTGATCTTCAGCTCTTTTCTATATCACCTTCATTCTAGCATCTTTTACTGTCTCTAAAAGTCTCTATAAACTCATTAGAAGAGTGAGGTATTTCTGCTGTGTAGTCTTTATAAATGTCTGATGTCCAAGCTTTATTCTGTTCCTTAGTTTGAAAGACCATACAGTGAGACATGAAATTTCCCCCTTTCATTTTTGAAATGTTCTAACTTTTTACCTGGTTATATCTTTCAGTTATGACATGCACCGATTACATCACTCGCTCATCCAATGATTATACCTCACAAATGTATTCTGCAAAGTAAGTTGAATAATAATTTCAAAAATCTGTATGCTTTTTCTCTAGATTCATTGCAAAATGTAACTTGATATTTAAGCTATTAAGTTGACATTAAACTTATTTTCACCTCTCTTGTTCTCTCTGGCCCTACTCCAGCTTTTTTATTCCATGTAAATATAGTCTAGGTATTGTCCTTTTAAAAAGTTAATGATTATCTGAAATAGATCACTGTTACCCAGGAGCTTTCTCAAAGTGAATAGGCACTGAAAAGTGTAAAATACCATTAGTGATGAAAATATATCACTGCTTAACTTCTCATTATTCTCTCTTTGCTCCACTTTAAAAGAGAGATCCATTAAAAAAGCTAAAGCCAGCCTCAGACTGGGACTTCTGGGCCTAATTTGTGTTCATCTTATTGCTTTAGAAGCTTATTCTTTTAGAAGTGTCCTCAAGTAGAAGTAGGCTTGAGGTTAGACAGGTTTAGTGAGTTTAAATGACCAAGAGGCAATATTTTGGGCCTCATGAGATAAGATCAGCATTTAAGATCCACTAAGTTAATCATCTCCAAGATGAGTAGTTACAAAACAGTGTGTATATCAGGCTACCAATTGCACATTGATAAAGGTTGAGCCTGCATACATAGATGCATACAAGCATGCTTTATTAACCTAGGATAAATTCTTACATGCTTACATAGGCAAGTTACATAAATAAATTGGTGACAGAGGTGAGTAATATGTATGGGTCTCTTGTAAAAAGAAAACTTTTTCCTTTTTGTGCCATTTGTATTAAGTGCCTTTTGAATTTTGCATCAGTTTAAAAAAAATGAGCTGATTGAAAAATCATCTCAGTGAATTCTCCAAATTCTAATCTGGTATTATCATTAACGTTAATAACATCCTTGGGCCAGTCATTTTCCGTGTTTTTCTTCTTCTGTGAAATGACTGAACCTGTTCTCTGAGATCATTATGAAGGTGATAAAATAATTTGAGCTATAAAGACATTAAATTAAAAAGATTTTATGATCTTTATCATATCTGGAGATTAATCCATTTGAAGTTACTAAGATCTTAAGTCATTCTCACATGATTTGATTAATAGCTACAGCCTGAGCTCTTTTCTGGTCTCAGGTATGGCTAAGAAGACTAGAAATTTTCAAATTCAGTCTTTTAGAGTCTCCTTAGATGTGAATATAGCAAATTCCAAATTCATTCATTTATTCAAAAAAGTATTGTATACCTGTTGCACTCAGGACACCTTGTTAGCTTTCTACCTTAATGTAGACTTCCTTACCACTTAACTAAACTATGGCATTTTTTAACTGCCTCTGTTTCAAGTCCCCTTCCCCCAATCCATTTTACAAAGAAATGTCAAATTAATCTTTATTAAAGAACAGCTTTGATCTTGTTATCCTTTGGTCAACAATTTCAGTGACTCCTCATTGTTTCAGATTTGTCTGACACTTTTAGCCTGGTATTCAAGGTCTTTGCTGTCTGTCTTATTCTTCCCCTTAGTATAATCTCTGCTCCTTGTTGGCTGAAGCCCTGTCTTTACCCTTGGCAGAGGTTTTCTCTTTTTGTAGAACACCTTTTCTCTCTCTCATTTTTGCACATTCTGTCTGCTCACAGACCACTTCTTTATAGCCTTCCTTCATTTTCTCCTCCCCAAAAACTGAAACAACAAAAAAAATCTTTCCCCTCTGAAACTACCTCCCCCCATTATTTTATTGTTACTACCTACATGGTACATATGACATTACTTTCTTACTTTATAAGTACAGCATAACTCACCAAATAAAATAACTCGTGTCTAAAAATTCAGTACATAAAATGTGGCACCATCTTATTCCATGGATGAAATGAGCGGGTCAGCTAGCTGGTTTAAAAATCCCTGAAGTTTCAGTGTTGAATCCATCTGTAACTAAACCTGATGTGGTTGGTACCAACTAGTGGCAGTATACTCTGGCTTAAATATCAGCAGGGCAAGTCAGTGTCCTGTCTAGGACTTCCCGAATTTTGTTAGTCACTTGACTCTGATATTATAGGCTCCATCTAGGGACATTGGGCCACACTCCTGATCCTGGTTTTCTAATGTGGCGGTCGCCTGCTTTTTCTCTGGAGGCCTCACCCTCTTTTCCAAGTCCTACTTTCCCTCTCGGAACTTTAGTTTGGCCTGGAGGGCTTGATGGGGAATAGAGTCAGTTGCCAATCTATTCTGTCCAGTTGTCTGTCCTTTTAGGGTTTTATTCTATATTTAGACATAAGGGCATAAATGAGTTTAGTCAGTACTAACTCACATAGGGCCTTGCACGTAGCACACCACAAATGTTTGTGGTGTGATTGGACATTTGGAGGATATTTGAAACTGTTAATTTTTCTATAAAATTGTTTGTTAGGTAGCTGATAAATAGACCTGAAAAGGAAAAAATAATTCTACTTTCTGACCATAGTAAAAGACATTTTATGTGACAGGTTAGTCTACTCATTATTGATTCTTTGCTGTTAGTGATATTAGCTGGTTTTTGTTTTACTTATGTAAAAGTTTTTGTTTTCTTGAACTTTTCTAGACCTTATGCACATATCCTCTCAGTTCCTGTTTCGGAAACTGCTTACCCTGGGCAGACTCAGTACCAGACCTTGCAGCAGTCTCAACCCTATGCTGTCTACCCTCAGGCAACCCAGACGTACGGACTACCTCCTTTCGGTAAGGCATCCTGTTGTAAGCAGTTTCTAAGAATATTGATTTTATCCCGCAGAAATTTCCATCTTTCCCCCAAAAGCAAGCATGGCTAATCAGGAAGCTGAGAGAAAGCCAGTTGTTCTTGACAGCATCTGCTTGTTATAGGTGTGGTAGAAGTTGGGTGTGCAACTTTTCCACAGTGTATTTGATGCATGTAATATAAAATCATAACTGTTTAATACTCACTTGTTTATCTGCGATAATTTAGCTATTTCCAAGATGCTAAGTCTTGACTGGAAAACTTGGAATCTTCAAGTGTTTGGAAACTCTTTGAGGAATTGCTATTGATTTGACTTACTTCATGGAAAACATGGTACCATGACAAGTATATTTTGCGGTGGCTGATTTCTTACTAAAACTAAGTAATCTACATATCCAGATAGAATATACCTTTATAGTTCTCTCTCTCTCTCTCTGTTTCTCCCTTTCCTTCTTAGACCATACCGCAAAGTGATCGGTTGTTGCTCTGCTGAACCAAAAAGTCATCTTAGGGGGAAATCCCTGATTTTGTGCAACCTTATCATGTGCATAGAGAGTTTTGTTCTTTGGTTTTAGGTATCTTGGACTGAACTATAAATTAGAATGATTTACTAGAAGTCAGTTTGAAGTTCTTTGAGCACTTAATATCTGCTGATTTTTGAGTGTATGTATAGATAGATATGTTCAGTGTGGTTTATTGCTGCTTTCCTAGAACTGATGTCAGGAAATTGAAAGAATACTGTATTTTTAAAAAAATATTCAGTATGTTAATAAAATTATAACTTGGTAGCCTTTATTGCAACCAGCTAGGAGTTAGAAAATCTTTCTAACAGATTGCCACAGATTCTGGGTGTTGCTTGCTTTGGGTTTTGACATTCCTACTTTTCCTGTCCTGTTTGGCTACTCTTTTATGGTAGTTACAACTTTCTTACTTTGAGACTTATTAGCATTCCTTGGCTCTTGATAACTACTAGAAAGAAAAATTGGGAGTTATGTTTAATGGTAGTTAGTGGTAGCTGATAATTTCATGAAAGAAACAGAAATGTTCTTGTTTTCCTGTTTGTACACCCACACCTCAGTGCCTGTCAGTATCAGCAAGTATACTAAAATATTATGTTGCTGATATATTTAACCAGCCAAGGCTGAGCAGTCCTTTCAGATGCAGAACTCTCTGTGAATATGTTTGTGTTTATTTCTTTTTGTATATATTAAAACTAATTTACCAGTAGCTGGCTAATATCAACAATAGGCTAGCGAGTATAAAGTATTTCATGTTTTTGGTTTTTTTTTTAACTGTTTTGATTTAAATTCTTTATTGGAAAGCCAAAAGCCCTTTATGACATTGTTGAACAGCTGTTTATTCCTGCTGTTCATTGTTAAGTAAAACTCTTGGTATATCTCTAAACTCAGATTATGGAATACATAGCACAGTGCCATGTGGATGTAGGTCCTAGATATTATGGTATCTTTTATAATCACTACATTTCCCTCATATTAAGGAAAGAAAATTCTGTAAAGTAGATCCCTGTTAAAAACTTGAAGGAGACAATATTTTATAAAGAAATATTGCTTATAATAGGCTCTTTTATTAATCTGTTTCTGTTTAATAATTGGGATGAAGGAAACTTGTTTCTTAAATTCTTATCAGTAGTTCATAGAGAACTGTTTTTAGCTTAATTTGCCTTTGAATGATAGTTACAGCGTATCCTCAGATTTCAAAGAAATACTTGTAATACTTTTTGTGTGTATGTGTGTGATAACTTTTATGTTTCACTGCATGGCTTTTTTTGTTTTATGTCACTTAGATATAAAACACCCCATTTCTTCCTATATAGCAGAGGGCATTATATCCAATATCTTATAATAACCTGTGGTGGTGGTGTAATTGCTAAGTTGTGTCCAGCTCTTACGACCACATGGTCTGTAGCCTGCCAGGCTCCTCTGTCCGTGGGATTCACCAGGCAAGAATATTGGAGTGGGTTGCCATTTCCTTCTCCAGGGGATCTTTCCAGCCCAGGGATTGAACCCAGGTTTCCTGCATTGCAGGCGGATTCTTTACTGCCTGACCCACCAGGGAAGCAAAAAAACTGAATCACTATGCTATACACTTGAAACTAACACGTATAGTAAATGAGCTACCCTTCAGTTAACAAAAAACAAAACCTCTGCATTCCTTTTCTTGTAAAAAAGTGAAGTGCAAGTTGCTCAGTTGTGTCTGACTCTTTGTGACCCCATGGACTATACAGTACATGGAATTCTCCAGGCCAGAATACTGGAGTGGGTAGCCTTTCCCTTCTCCAGGGGATTTTCCCAACCCAGGGATCGAACCCAGGTCTCACATTGCAGGTGGATTCTTTGCCAGCTAAGCCACAAGGGAAGCCCAAGAATACTGGGGAGAGGTAGCCTATCTTTTCTCCAGTGGATCTTCCTAACCCAGGAATCAAACCAGGGTCTCCTGCATTGCAGGCGGATTCTTTACCAACTGAGCTATCAGGGAAGACCTTCTTCTTATGAAGGTTTCAGTAATTTTATTATCTTACTTTTAGCACTAACACTCAATTAGCTTGTCTGTTTTTTTTATTTCAGATGTAAACAGAGCTTTAGAAAATCTTACTGTAATAATATGACTTTATATTAATATATTTATACAATAATAATAATAATCAGTTCAGTCGCTCAGTCGTGTCCAACCCTTTGCGACCCCATGGACTACAGCACACCAGGCCTCCCTGTCCATCACCAACTCCCGGAGTTTACTCAAACTCATGTCCATTGAGTCATTGATGCTATCCAACAATCTCATCTTCTGTCGTTCCCTTCTTCTCCCGCCTTCAGTCTTTCACAGCATCAGGGTCTTTTCCAGTCAGTTAGTTCTTCGCATCATGTGGCCAAAGTATTGGAGTTTCAGCTTCAGCATCAGTCTTTCCAATGAATACTCAGGACTGATCTCCTTTAGGATGGACTGGTTGGATCTCCTTGATGTCCACAGGACTCTCAAGAGTCTTCTCCAACACCACACACAGTTCAAAAGCATCAATTCTTCGGCGCTCAGCTTTCTTTATGGTCCATCTCTCACATCCATACATGCTGCTGCTGCTAAGTCACTTCAGTCGTGTCCGACTCTGTGCGACCCCAGAGACAGCAGCCCACCAGGCTCCCCCGTCCCTGGGATTCTCCAGCCACACATCCATACATGACTACTGGAAAAACTGTAGCTTTGATTAGACGGACCTTTGTTGACAAAGTAATGTCTCTGCTTTTTAGTATGCTGTCTAGGTTGGTCATAACTTTTCTTCCAAGGAGCAAGTGTGTTATAATTTCATGGCTGCAGTCACCATCTGCAATGATTTTGGAGCCCCAAGAAAATAAATTCTTGTCACTGTTTCCATTGTTTCCCCATCTGTTTGCCATGAAATGGTGGGACCATACGCCATGATCTTAGTTTTCTGAATGTTGAATTTTAAGCCAACTTTTTCACTCCCCTCTTTCACTTTCATCAAGAAGCTCTTTAGTTCTTCGCTTTCTGCCATAAGGGTGGTGTCATCTGTATATCTGAGGTTATTGATGTTTCTCCCGACAATCTTAATTCCAGTTTGTGTTTCATCCAGCCTAGTGTTTCTCATAATGTACTCTGCATATAAGTTATTAAATAAGCAAGGTGACAATATACAGCCTTGATGTATTCCTTTCCCTATTTGGAACCAGTCTGTTGTTCCTTGTCCAGTTCTAACTGTTGCTTCTTGACCTGCATACAAATTTCTCAGGAGGCAGGTCAGGTGGTCTGGTATTCCCATCTCTTTAAGAATTTTCCACAGTTTGTTGTGATCCACACAGTCAAAGGCTTTGGCATAGTCGATAAAGCAGAAGTAGATGTTTTTCTGGCTCTCTTGCTTTTTCACTGATCGAGCGGATGTTGGCAGTTTGATGTCTGGTTCCTCGAAAGGCAGCTTGAACATCTGGAAGTTCTCAATTCAAATACTGTTAAAGCGTGGCTTGGAGAATTTTGAGCATTACTTTGCTAGTGTGTGAGATGAGTGCAATTGTGCGGTAGTTTGAGCTTTCTTTGGCTTTGCCATTGAAATAATAATGAGTGCTTACTGTGCCAAGCAGTATGCTGAGAATAAGTACTTCACATTTTACATTATTTTCTTGTTTATTCCAAACCAACAGTCATAAATGGTAGCATTATCCCTGCTTACAGATGAGGAAGCAGGTTTAGAAGCATTAAGTGACTAACCTGAGGTCATACAGTTAGTAAATACCTTGTATTAGAATTGCACCCCAATCTGTTTAAATCCAGAAGTGCTCATAAATTTAGGTGTGTATGAAAAAGTTAATGTTAGAGTTGAGATGAAATTAAAGTTTCCTCCTTTTAAAGAAGTGAGAGAAGGCAAAGTAAATCTCGGAAGCCCATATTATGACAGATCTTTAAAAGTAAAGGAATAGTGGTCATCTTTTCACAGCTATATAGAAATGATGAGATGGCAGAATAAGGATTTGAGGTTTAACTTCTAGTGATCTGATTGAATGTGTGTGAGGGAAAGGGTACTTACTTGTTTTTAGGAGCTCACAAAAGATTGGCTTAACCTCCATTGTTCTGCCTTCTTTTAAAAGAGGTTTAATATGAGATGGAGATTTGACAGTAGTATTAAGAGTCTTAAGGATGTTCATGTCATTTCCCTTAGTAATCCCTTCTAGGGATTTATCCTAGGAAATTAATTAGCGATAACCACAAAAATTTACTACCAAGATACTCATCACAGCATTATTTACAATAGCAAAAGATTGGAAACAGCCAACATATTGAATGGAAAGATGTGTGTTAAACTGCAGTGGATTCATAGAATGGAAAACTGTGTAGCCGTTATAAACATATTCTTAAAGAATACTTAGTGTCTTGAAAACATAGCTCATTATTATTTGAAAAAAGCAGTATATGAAACTGAAAATACAATATAATATACTAAGTATTTTTTAAAAATACTACATAAAGAATAATTTGGAAAAAAAACTGAATGTTAACAGTACAGGCAGTACAGGTTTGATCTCAGTTACTGAAGAAGCATGCAAAATGAGGACACAGTTCCACTGTGTACAGGTTTCAGTTAACACAGTCCCATGCAAATGCGAGAACTGCCTATATTTTTTTCTATATGATGATACTATGCAATATTTTTCTTTTCATTTTCTATAGTTTACCAATTATCTATAATACACATCTACTTATTTTATTATTAACAAAAGTACTCAGATTATTTAGTATTTATAATAGCTCATCGCAGTGAGCTATTACATCAACAAGATATTTCTTCATGTTTTTTCCTAGCATTTACATGTACTTCAGTTCTTAACCAAACTAATCTTCTCTAACCTGGAGAAGGAAATGGCAGCCCATTCCAGTATTCTTAACTGGGAAATCCAGTGGACAGAGGAGCCTGGTAGGCTCTAGCCCGTCGGGTTGCAAAGAGTCAGACACAGCTTAGTGACTGAGCATGCATAGTCTTCTCTAAAGTTCCACTACTCTGATACACATTACTGCAAAGTGAGGTGCTCAGATTAGTTTGGTTAGTAGCTAACCCATAGAGAAGTATTTGGGCTGAGAAACATGGATAGAGTTAGTGATGAGACCCCACTATGGGCAACAGGAGCATCGCACTCAGAGATAAAAATTCCTTTGCCATTTTTTGATCAGCTGTGCTCTACATCAGGCTCTTGGTGTGTAAATGACTTGAGAAAGTCTGGACTTCGGGCAAAGAGCAGTGGGCTAGGAGTCAGGGAGCCAGGATTCATTTCTGTGACGTTGGCAGTATGCTCTACAGTGAGGCTGTGTGGTGGTCGTGCCACTTGTTACTTAATTCTAGGAAGAGCGCTTTTAAAGGAAGGGCTTAAAGAGCAGGGCTACAGTGATGCCGGGAGCAGTGTCCATGGTGTCTTTTATTCCTTTATTCTTTATAAAACAGTATTAAATATACTTCATGTTTATACTTCATGTTTCTGGCCAAAAACATTCAAAACTAGCTATTTCATCAAACTTGTCTTGGACATTTTGCACTAATTTTTGATCTTAGAAGAAAGACCAATTAATAGAAATTATACATTTTGGAACTTTTAAGAATATATACTAAATAATGAGACTAGCAAAACCCTCTCCATTAATATTATTCTTATTAGTAAGATAGTATTTTAGTACAGTGTAATAATAAACATGTTCACAAATCCAGCACCCCAGGTTCAGAACCTATTTAGAAAAAAAAAATTGATGACAATAAATCAAAGTTATTGTGACACTGGAATGGCAAGTTGTTTCTAAAAAATATGATAGTCAATTACCAAGAATCTTAGCACTGATATTCAAATTTCACATCATAAACATTTAAAAAACTACATTCTCAAATATTTTTTATTGTTAAATGTCAACCATAGCAAGGACTTTAGCTGTGGCTTACCTGGACAAGACTAAAAATCATCATGAACTAAGTAAGGAGGGGGACAGCCCTTCTAATTCATGCTAAGATGTTGGTGTTTCTTAATCTCTTCAAATAAGTTATTTCATGTGTTTAATAGGTGAGAAAAGACTATGACTTTTTAATGCTTTAAGGGTTTGTTAAATTAGGAGTTTTGGATTAACATATACACACTACAATATATAAAATAGGTAAACAACAAGAACCTATATTGTATAGCACAGGAAGCTATACTTAATATTTTATAATAGCCTGTAATGGAAAAGAATCTGTGTGTGTGTGTACATATATGTATATATACATGTATATATGAATCACTTTGTCATACAGCAGAAACTAGCGCAACATTTTAACTGTACTTCAGTTTAAAAAATAGTTCGAGACAAGGCAGTTACTATGTTCCATTGTCAACCTTTTAAGATTTTCACATCTCCTTTTACTGTTCTTATATTTACTTATCAACAGATTTTATAGATCTGAGTTACACTAAGATATATGAATGCCCTGGTGAAGCAGAAGTCTTTACTATCAAAGCATTATATATTTACAAATTTCTTACCAGATTAAGAGTATGTGAAATGAGGTAATCCTGAATTTGAAGCTGTAGCTGACCTTCATACTGATTTCCTACCTGGAATGTGTTTCATCAGTGAATCTTCTTGGACCCAGTTATCAGCTTCAACTAACTTGATCCAGTAGCCATAACTATTCAGAGCACAGTGAGGCTTTTAATAGACTTTTGCATAGCCAAAATTATGACAGAAACAATTCATTCATAAAGGATATCCTTAGACTCTCATGTAGAAGCATGCTTTTCTTACAGTTTCCTAGTTTACTGCAGATGAAAAAGGAGATACAGCCAGAAACAGAAGATTGTCAAGAAGTGACAGATCACAGAGAAAAGGCAAAGAGATACAAGAACCTTCAAATCATAGAACTGTAATTGAGTTCTACTTAGTACTAAGCAGATGTCTTGACACATTGCAGTAGTCTCTGAGGATGTTTCTGTAATGTACATGGCACAGCACAGAAGTGCTCTTGAAAATATTAATTCTGAAAAAAGGTATGTTCCCCCTGCTAAGAAGATAGGAAAGAGTATGAATATATTTTTAAAAGATGGCCACCTAGGAGCATTGTGATTAAATTAAAAAAGTGAATAGCTGTGATATCTGTCAGTGTGAGGTGGATTTTTATGTTCTGACAGGGAAAGATGTCTCTCAGATATTATGTGGAAGAGCAAATTATGAACAGCAGGTAACATCCCATTTTGATTAAAAAGGAAAAACAAGATTGTAAACAGAAGAAATCTTAGTGGCTCTTATGCAAACTGAATAGTGGTTAAGTCTGGATGGTGGGATTATATGTGACTTTATTTTTTCTAAAAATTAGGAATTACATATTTCTGTTAATGTTTTTAATTTATGAAAGTAAGCAGGTATGTCTTTCCTAATCACAAGAAACAAAGGTAACAAAATAACCAGCTTAAGGAGGCAGAGAAGTATATATACATTTTAGAAAAATCTGGTTCTTATTTAATGGGTAAGTGAATTTTAAACGTATGTGGAATATCTCCCACCTTGACAATGCACACAAACGATTTGAATGTCAGATACTCTTTACAACAACACTTGGGTGTCAGTAGCTCTTTTTCTGACTCCTGATCAATTTCCCCCAACCACTGAGGTGAACTTATATACATATATTACTATTGGGGTTTTTGACAGGATTTTTATTTCTATGGCCCCACTCCCAATTCTTTGAAATTGTGTTTGCTTGTGGTATATTACGAGTGGGAGATTCAGTTATTTTCTCTTACAAGCAAATTTATTTTTGTTTTAAGATTTAGATTTTAAACCTACTGGCTGATATTTGAAAGCATAACCATGCTCCTCAGTCCCAGTGTATTGTTTGTAATTGGTCCAATTTATCTGATTCAGGTGCATTGTGGCCAGGTATGAAACCTGAAAGTGGTTTAATTCAGACTCCATCTCCAAGTCAACACAGTGTTCTTACCTGCACTACAGGGTTAACCACAAGCCAGCCAAGCCCAGCACATTATTCTTATCCCATTCAAGGTAAACAGGCATGGTTGTGTGTGTTTCATTTTTTTTTTTAATTATTACTGTTTTTTTGTTTTTAATCTACCTGTATCTCCAAACATATTGGGTAATACAGGATATTTGCATTTGTGCATGCTTTTTGTGTTAGACAAACCAGAACTTAGGAGTGAGGTTCATAAGTAGTTTAAGCCTTCGTGAACTGCTTAATAGAATTGAAGACTCCTCTTTTGCATGTTGGTGTCCAGAAAACCTGTCTGATTTTGTTCTAGTCTGTTTTCAGTGACATTTTGTCCTGTAAATGAGCAGAATGTAGGTTAGAGCTCTGCTGACTTCTTTTCTGTGATGTGCAAATAGAATGGAAGATGAGATGAATGCTGCTTTGTAAGGTGTGTGCTGCTTTTCTGCTGTGGTTTTTGTCATACCTCCTCCCCCATTTTGTACTTCTTGGTAAGCATTTTTCTTGCCAAAAAATTCAGTCTTGTTTCTATTTTATGATGAAAAGCATAGCATTAAAGCTTGAACTCTAAACCTCTCTGCCTTCCCAGATTTTTCTTCTGAAAGGTTAGAATTAAAACAGGACTATTAGGAAAGAAGACAAAGAAACTCGTAAGGCACTATTGAGTTAATTCCCTATCCTTTCAAGTCTAATGCAGGGAATTTGTCATTGCTCCAAATGGGGAATTAATGTCCATCAACTTGGCTTCTCATCTGCCTCCTTTCTCCCAGCTTTTAAATATTACTCTTTATAAAATGGTGGTGCTAGAGAGATGAAGTTAGGACAGTGAAAACTGGTCAGAGGTATTCTTAAGATACAAACTTTGAGGATAAAAAAATGTTCTTATTTAGATTATATTAAACAAAATGTTTTGATTTTCGGTGTTAACTGTTTTCAATAAAATGATAAAGAACTACTTTTTCTTGGTCTATTGGGAACAGAACTGGTTACATTCCTAAGACCTTACTCTGAGCTACCTCTATCTCTTATTGTTTAGCAAGTCTCCTCTTTTCTTATTTTCCTTTCTCCCCCCCGCCCCCCACTTCTTTCTTTCTAAAATAGGAACAAGCCAGGAGGGGAAAAACTTAAGAGCACGGCTTTATCTTCTCCTCTAGCCCTCTTCATTTTTATAAAGTGTTTCTCTAGGTTGGTAGGCTTTGGGGTCCAACTACAGGCAGGTCTGGTAGACAGGTCCCTCCTAAACATTTATATCTCTGATGACTACACCTTGGTCATGAAAGAAAAGCAAGTTCTTTTACATTAATAATCCTCTTCCAAGGTGTAGAACCACCACTCCTCTGTAGTTGTATCTTGGATTTGTGGAACCTGGTAGCTGAGCTTACTTCTCCCTCCTTGTAAAACAAGAAGAACCACCTTGTGGGGGTCTTTTAAGACCCATTGCTTTAAAAAAGTCACAAAGCCATTCTGTGACTTAATTTGCCACTATCCTAATTTCTTTACCTTTTAGTACATTTTCTCCCTTTAGATCAATTAACCCAGTTTCCTCCATTGTGCTAATGATTATTGTTGGTATTTATAAGTTTGTATTATATGTTTAGCATTGTTTTAGCAGCAGATAAGTGTTACTCATGTAATCATAACACACCTATGAGGGAAGTACTGTCATTAATCTCATTTTACAGATTTGGCACATAAGATACAGCAGATAAGTCAAAGATGTAAGCTGGGCAGTCGGGCCCCAGCATGTGAGTGTAATGTTTATGATTTTCAGTGTTGAAGTCATGGTATCAATATCAGCTCCCCAAACTTGAGAACCTATAGTAGCAAATATTTAAATTCACTTCCCTTCCCTTTTCTGGTTAATCTATTGGCCCTTTATATTCTTCATTAGAGCTTTGGCACAGGGTAGAAATTAAGGCAGAAATTAACCATCAAGTTGTCAATTTTTGCCATTTATTCTGATAAAAAGGTGGTAGAAAGAAGGTAGTAACAATTGGCTGAAATGAAATATGGATGTTTTTGGCACATGTGAGTACCTGAATTCTCCACTATCAGTATCACTCTTCTCACCCCTACTTTTCATTTCCTTTAGCTTGGCTAATGAATGTTATTTAGCTCTCCAGGGCTTCATCTCCCCCCGCTTCCCACCCACTCCCATGTAACTACCCAGTCACAGCATGGAATAAAAGCAAGGAGCATTGTACTGATTTTTTTTTTTTTTTAAGGAATCAAAATGACAATGTCCCCTCATCCCCTCCAAAAGCTTTCAACAGTTGACAATAGCCCATCTTCCTTGGAGAAATTAGAGAAATTATAGCAAATTCTACTTCTGGCTTGATCAATTCTGATCAAAATCTTTTCTTTAGTTTCTACTTCAATGCTCATGAAAACCCTTTGATTAAATAGATTTGGGTTGTTTATATCAACCTTTTCCTAGAGTGTCTGTGACTCTGTGGCCAAATCGCTGGTTATTTTCTTGAGTTGAAATGGTTAAAATAATTAAAATTAGTTTTAGAATTTTCAAAATTAATTTTAACCCAGCCTTGATGTTTGGTGAATGTCTTTGGGCTCTAATAGTGACACATAATAGTCTTTCATTGACTAGGAGATTTGTTTTGTATTTTAATAGGCTCTTTTTTATTGTATTTAAATCTGTAGAAAAACTGAGCAGATGATAGAGTTATATATGCCCTTCCCTACACACAGTTTTCCTTACTATTAATATCTCACATTAGAATGGAACATTTGTTATGATTAATGAACTAATACTGGTACATTATTATTAATTAAATCATAGGTTTATTTAGATTGCCTTAGTGTTTACCTGATGTCCTTTTTCTATTCCAGGATCTCATCCAAGACACCACATTTCATTTGATTGTCATGTTTTTTTAGGCTTCTCTTGACTGCAGTTTTTTACACTTCACTTGTTTTTGATAACCTTGACATGCTGTTATTCATAAATCCCATGAGTATTTATTAAGCATCACTTATTACAGGCCAGGCATTTTGCTAGATGTTGAAGGTAATGAATAAAATAGCAAGATTCTGCCTTCATGTAGCTTACAGACTAGGAGGGGAGGCAGAGAACAAAAAAGTAAAGGAAGAAATAAATTTGGAAAAAGTGCTCTGAAAGGGGAAAAGAACTGGTTGTTGTGATTGGGGAGACAAGAAAGGAGTTTGTTTTAATAGAGGAATCAGAGTCTTAGGATATAGACATGCTGACCAGGACCCATCAAGCTGGAGGGCAAGAGGGACAGGCCTGGGAGAACAATCCAGGCCGTGAGAGCGACATTACAAAGGTCCTCAAGTGAGAAAGAGGGTCTTGTTTTCAGTAACTCTAAAGCTGGGGTGACCTAGGGTGGTGGAGAGACATATATAAAATTAGTGAGGTGGGTAGGAACTAAATCTTGCACCAACTTCTATGTGCCATTAACCCTTGGGTTACCCTCCAGCTGTGGCGTAATGTCGCATAACTTTGCCTCTCACAGTTCTGTAACCACAGCCTTCTCATTAAAGCTGTCTGTGTATCCTGACTGCTTCAGGTGGATCTTAGGTGGGGCATGGTTCTCAGAAGCTTATCTTCCTATGATTTCACGGTTTCATTATCAAAACAGGAGTGGAAACTATCCAAAAACAGTTGGCCATCCCATTGGCACTTGGGGAGCTAATAGTCTTTAGATATATATATATCAGTAGGAGTTACCACTTGAGTTTTCAATGATCCTTGAAATTTATTCTTTTTGTTGCATATTTTGTTGCTGCTGCTTCTGTTTTTTAAGTCAGCAGTTAAATTTCTTGTCATTGAGACCTACATATATATTTCTGTGGGATGATCAGTGCTTTTTTTTTTTTTGAGGTGCCTGACTTTTTGTCATAGTGCAGGAGGTAGGGCATGTAATGATTGTGTATATTTTAAGGTGAGTTTAGCTTCAATGCTGGTTACAAGAAACCTAAATAAATATTACTTAATTGTCATCTGACTTATATCACTAGAATTTAAATAACGTGAGGGCAGGCATTGTCTTCACTTCTCTATTCCCCAGTGACTGGAACAGTTTCTGGGCACATAGTACAGCCTGGTTTGATGAACAGATTAGTAAATGAATGACACTTTAGGAATGACTTGATTGAGTTGAGCAAAGAACTGTTATTAAGCCCTTAAACTTTATAGGTTGGCAGACCAACATTTTCTTTAATGGAAGCCACTATTGCTGAGAGGAATTTGTGATGTTTAGTACTGTACTTGTTAAAAACTTCACATCAGCAACTAGCTAATCAAGACATTAAACTTCCTGTCATGGATAATTAGAGTATGTGGCCAGTTGTTTTTTAGGTCTGCCTTTTTACCTTTAGTAAAATTGAAAGTTGTTAAATTTATAAAACTACCTCGTCAGAATACCTTTTTCCCTGTGTGTGTGCAGAGATCAGATATGAATAAGTTGAACCTCTAACCATTTATAAATTATTAAGAAGGTAGAACAGAGATAAAGGTAAATAGGAGGAACAGATGGAGAAGGAAATGGCAACCTACTCCGGTACTCTTGCCTGGAAAATCCCATGGATGGAGGAGCCTGGTGGGCTGCAGTCCATGGGGTCGCGAAGAGTTGGACACGACTGAGCGACTTCACTTTCACACATTGGAGAAGGAAATGGCAACCCACTCCAGTGTTCTTGCCTGGAGAATCCCAGGGACGGGGGAGCCTGGTGGGCTGCCGTCTATGGCGTCGCACAGAGTCGGACACAACTGAAGCGACTTAGCAGCAGCAGGAGAAACAGAGGAGTATATGCTAGGACTAGAGCTAAAGAAAAAATTGATCTAGAAACAAACTTTGCTGGAAGAGATAACCTTGAGAGATTAAGTAAATTCTTCATCTTACCCACATTAAATCACCTATGTTCAGTCAGCAGACCTGCCTAGCATAATGTACTAGTAATAGAATCTGGAATGTACCCAAAATTCTTTTCCTTCAAGAATAATTTAAAAGCAACTTACAGAATCATCTAGCTTATATACAGTAATTTCTTAGGACTTCCCCTTAGGGAGAAAAATATTGATGGGAAGAAAATATTATCTATAAGAGTGTAAAATCTGTTTCATTTAGTGTGGGAGGGAGTACTATAGAGAAAATCTTCCTGAGTAGTGAGGAAATCTGATCCCTAACTCAGGAAAGAAAAGGCACTGAATGAAGAATTGGGAGATCCCAATTATTGTTTGGCTATTTACCTTTAACTTTGTGACTGTGGACAAATGAACTCTTCTTTGTCCCAAGTCTTCTGAAGCTACTGTTGCCTCAGTAGCTGTTCCTTATGTCTAACTTGCTTCAGTCTCTTCTAGACTTTAAGCAGAGTAGCCTTGGGGAAAGGGATACAAATGCCCTCTTGATTTTGACCAGGACTCTCAAGTTTCTGCCACATTTGTCCGCCTGCACTGCTGTTAATAGAGATTTTCCCAGTAACTTGCCCTCTGAGGACTTTGTCATCAATGGAATAGGTAGTCAGATGGTCTGATCTGCCTGAGGGTGAACGTTCACTGTGTGTGCCTGCAGTAGGGACCAAGGGTAAGCATGTTTGTGCTGCGTGGAGGAGGAGTTCAGGAGCAGTAAGTACCTCACAGTTTCACTTATATTGTCCTCCTGGGGAGAAAAAAATCAGTGTGGCAAATGCTAGTCACTGAGGATTTGATTAAAATGCAGGTGAAATTTGTGATAGAAGGGTGTGAAAAACTTAACCCAAATCCCTTGTCCTGACACAGGCAGCCTAAGTAGCTTAAATTTTTTTTACCTGACCAGAATAGTATTGAATACTTACCGAGTGTTTCCAGGCTCATTGGTGAAACCATTAAATACCAGAACATGGTGTTTGTTGAAGCAACCCCAAACACTTCAGAATTTGGAGAGCTACCTCAGTTGCTCAAAGTAATTGTGTTGCACCAGAAAAGGCATAATTTGGGGCAAGTGACAGTAAATATCACAGTATAGGAATTACATGTGGATTTGCCAGAGCTTTTGTTGTTTTTACTGGTGTCAGTAGGTCACACTGCAGGTGAGTCATTTTGCAGCTGCCAGAGATGATGGACTGGAATGATCTGGTTTAGCTTCTGATTTCCTTAGTATCATTAGCATGAGCCAGTGCATTGTGTTGTGTCCTTCTAGGACTTTAGCAGAAATAGTTGAAGACTCAAGTTGAAACAGGAGAAATGTGTGAACTGCTTTATTTCTAATTAAATCTCAGTTAAGGTATGGCATGCAAAAGAGCAAAACTGGCATCTAGTATTTATTTCCTTTGCCAGTGTTTCTTATCTCCTTGTCAGTCTGTTTACTTAGGACAGAATATATTTTCAATTTCTTTGAGCTTTTTGCATAATATCTTTTAACACTTTGAATCTTATAGCTTCAAGCACAAATGCCAGCCTGATACCCACTTCATCTGCTATTGCCAATATTCCAACAGCAGCAGTTTCCAGCATCTCAAACCAGGTATGGTGCTCCTTTTGTTCATCCTACTTGATACGGTTCATCTAACTAGCTCTTCCTCCCTTCTTTTCATTATCGGTTTGCCAGTTCTAAGAAACAACCAGTATGGGCTGTGGAGAGACCTTTTTCTGGATGCTCCCAGAGCTAGGACCTAGGATGGTTTCTCAGGCTACTATCCAGTCTCTCTCATTCCTCTGCTAAGACTGAATGATATGATTTTATCTGCTCCCTGTTTAGCTACTCATTTCATTGTGAATTCCTTGTGGTCTTTTCTTGATCACTGTTGTGCTAACTTTATATTTAAATCACTGGTAACATCTTCAGTGTTCTAGGAGTTTTTTGGTTTTGTTGTTATGTTTTTATTTGTTGTTTTCTCTGTAGCAATTAGTATTATCAACCACAGTCTCCATGGATCTTTTCTCCTGGCTGCAGTTAATATTACTATTCTGGTTCACATTTTATGTTTGACTGCTTTTGTATTTGTTTGTTCTTCTAGTCCCCCAGTGTTTATTCAGTTCCTGCTGTGTACCTGGAACTCTTCAGGGCAACATCTCTCTCCCTTTCATATCCTGGCTTCAGTCATGGCCAGTCTGTATTTAGTTTTCTACATGTTTATTATTTCATCCCCAGGAATGTTTACACATTCACAGTGTCCACTTACTACTTCCAAAATGAAGAATCTAGTCCTGACCTCATGATATCTACAGGCTTCCTGCTGATTGATTGGCTTTTTTCCTTTAATATCTTGTTGTTTCCCTAAGTTAGCCATATCTAAAACCAACTTTTCTTTCCATCCTTTCTGCTATTCATTATCCTCCAAAAGTAATGCCGCTTTTCCTGCAGTGTCCCAATTCTTGTCAGTTACCCACCTGTCGATGCAGGAGACATAAGAGACGCAGGTTCAATCCCTCTGTTGGGAAGATCCCCTTGGAGGAGGGCATGGCAGTCCACTCCAGCATTCTTGCCTGGAGAACCCCATGGACAGAGGAGCCTGTCAGGCTACAGTCCACAGGGTCACAAAGAGTTGGAAATGACTGAAGCAACTTAGAACGCACACTATTTTTAGTATACCTACACATAAAACCAGAGCAGTCATCTTCAATTTTTTTTCCATTACCCAGCCCTGATCCAACCATTCCTGGAATTCTTTCTTGCTTTTCCTTTTTCTTTTTGGCCACACCACACGGCATATGGATCTCCAAATAGGGATTGAACTGTGCCCCCTGCATTGGAAGCTCGGAGTTTTAACCACTGGACTGCCAGGGATGTCTCTGCTTTTTTCATTTTTTATCGCTAACTTGTTGGAAATACTTTTGCCTTATATCCTGCTAGATTTTTAACTTCCTGAGTTCAGCTAGTTTGACTTACTCTTTTCTTTAATATTTGTTTTTCCTGTCCATGCACCAAAACACACACACACACACACACACACACACACACAGAATTATATTTGGCTTATCCTAGGTGCTCAGTACTCTTTATAAATAATTGATCTGATCAATTAGCATGTTCCTACTTGTCACCAGTATCAATATCAGTGGAATTTTTTTAAGATGTGTTTGAGCTGTGCATCATACCCATTTTTTACAGCTTTTTAAAGGTTTAATTGACATACAGTAAACCACGCAGGTTCCAGTTTATGACCTGATAAATTTTGTCGTGTGTGCCTATGAAACTACCAAAAGTTCCCTTCAAATATTTTGAAATAACTTTATTTTTAAAGAAAATGTGATTTTTTTTTAAAAGAGATATATACTCAGTTTTTAATCTGGGAAACTATGTAGGATATGTGCTTTTTTTGTTCACACTTATCTATCCTTAAAAGCACTACCATCTAGTGCAGTGGTATATAAACTTCTTAAAGTGTAGAATCTTTCCTTCAAAAATTCTATGCAGAAATTCTGTACATAAAGTAGGAGAAAAAGAATGTTATAGTAGAAAATGGACTGTGTGTGTACAATGCATGGGGCACTTCCCTCTCAGCCTTAGCCTCAGCATCGCCTGTGGACTCTTGGGTTTCCACAGAAGCCATTGGCTTAGGTGGAAAACTGTATAGGTGGGTAAACGAAAAGTCAAATTAATGTTTTAAGGAAATAATTATGAGAAAGGGACATGAAAGTCTTTTGTGTTGAAATTCGTGTTTTGCTCTTTCTGAGTCTTGTTTTCCTCCCTTATCCTCTTTGACCTACAGGACTATCCCACCTATACCATCCTTGGTCAGAGTCAGTACCAGGCTTGCTACCCCAGCTCCAGCTTTGGAGTCCCAGGCCAGACTAGCAGTGATGCTGAGAGCACCACGTTAGCAGCAGCCACTTACCAGACGGAGAAGCCCGGTGTCATGGGACCTGCAGCTGCAGCACCCAGACTTTCCTCTGGTAAGCGCTGCAGCTCCAAAAACTTTGGCTTAAGGGCATTTCATCCAGCCGGTGATGTTGAAGACTATTTTGTTCTTGTCTAAGTCACTGTTCCGTGCTCTTGGCTTTCCCTCTCAGGTGAGGGGTATTTTTAACACTATCCAGACTGTGATGAGTCATTGGCAGACTGAATGTAAAACTTGATGTTGTGAACAAAAAAAGACCAAGAATGAAAAGACTTTATTTCTGACTCCCACTCTACCCTGCCTGTAGCTTGCAGAGAACTTCAGAATCTTAGCACATTTTGTAGTAGTTAAAGAAGTCCAGTTTTAGTCTGTGCATCATTTGGACTTCTGGTTACACCTCAGGGTGGTAGTTCTTAACTTTTTCTGTGTCATAGATTCCTTTAAGATTTTGAGAAAAGCTGTGGTCCTTTTTCCCCAAAGAAATACATAGAATTTCACCTACAAATTTAAACCTCTACCTTAGCAATGAATCAGTGAATTATGATGTCCAGATTTTAATATCCTGACATAAAGACTTAAACACTTTCAGTAAACATATGCACATACTTTTTATTCATCTCTATTTTTCATAAGAATTTGGTGGTTTGCTGTTACATCCTATAACTTGAAGGAGGACTGTTTATCGTTAACACTGATGCATTTTTATAAACAGTGGTCTATACAGAGTGAAGTAAGCCAGAAAGATAAACACCAATACAGTACTAATGCATATATATGGAATTTAAAAAGATGGTAACGATAACCCTATATGCAGGACAGAAAAAGAGACACAGATGTATAGAACAGACTTTTGGACTCTGTGGGAGAAGGTGAGGGTGGGATGATCTGAGAGAATAGCACCGAAACATGTATATTATCAAGTGTGAAACAAATCACCAGCCCAGGTTGGATGCATGAGACAAGTGCTCAGGGCTGGTGCACTGGGAAGACCCAGAGGGATGGGGTGGGGAGGGAGGCAGGAGGGGGGATCAGGATGGGGAACACATGTAAATCCAGGACTGATTCATGTCAGTGTATGGCAAAAACCACTACAATATTGTAAAGTAATTAGCCTCCAACTAATAAAAATAAATGAAAAATAATAATAATAAAAATTAAAAAGAAAAAAAACAGTGGTCTGCATCAACTAAAGCAGTTTTCTGTTCCTCTTGCCTCTACTAGTCTTCTAAATAGATGGACATACAGATGGTCACTGCTTCAAGCCTGCATAACATTGAAATCATTACATGCATTACTACCTTAGTTTTTAATTCATTTCTCTAAATATCTTTGTTCCTTATAACAGTTTTAACTTTTTAATAATGGAGAATGTCAAACAAAGGCAGAAGTTGTCAGAATAGTATAGTGAACCCTTATATATCTGTCATCCAACTTCAGCAGTTTAACAGCTCATAGGCAATCTTGTTTCAGCTGTGTGTGTACTAAGTCGCTTCAGTCGTGTCTGACTCTTTGTGACCCTATGGACTGTAACCTACCAGCCTCCTCTGTCCATGGGATTCTCTAGGCAAGAATACTGGAGTAGGTTGCCATTCCCTTCTCTAGAGGTCTTCCCGACCCACGGATCGAACCTGCATCTCTTATATCTCCTGCATTGGCAGGCGGGCTCTTGACCACTAGCATTACCTGGTGACCTAGTATGTTTCAACTATACTTCATCTAATTCCTTCCTCAAATTCCAGGTCTCATGTCTCTAAAAGATAAATGCTTGATAACATAACCACAATGCCATTATACCATTAACAATATCCCATTCAACAATAATTCCTTAATGCCTAAGGGTATTCATATTTCTAGTTTTCTCATAAATGTTGAGAGTCTTGTTTTTGTTTAAATCTAAGTAAGGGCTTCCCTTGTGGCTCAGCTAGTAAAGAATCCACCTACAATGCGGGAGACCTGGGTTCAATCCCTGGGTTGAGAAGATTCCCCTGGAGAAGGGAAAGGCTACCCACTCCAGTATTCTGGCCTGGAGAATTCCATGGACTGTATAGTCCATGGGGTCACTAAGAGTCAGACACGACTGAGTGACTTTCACTTTCAAGGTCCATACATTGTAATTGGTGGATATATATTTTGTTCTAACCTATAAATTCCCCCATCTCTTTTTCTTTCCTGTGTAATTTATTTGTTGAAGAAAGTAGATTGTTTTCTCAGTATCAATTCAGTTCAGTTCAGTCGCTCAGTCCCAACTTTTTGCGACCCCATGAACTGCAGCACGCCAGGCCTCCCTGTCCATCACCAACTCCTGGAGTCCACCCAAACCCATGTCCATTGTGTCAGTGATGCCATCCAACTGTCTCAACCTCTATCGTCCCCTTCTCCTCCTGCCCTTAATCTTTCCCAGCATCAGGTGCATCAGGTGGCCAAAGTGTTGGAGTTTCAGCTTCAGCATCAGTCCTTCCAATGAACACCTTTAGGGTGGACTGGTTGGATCTCCTTGCAGTCCAAGGGACTCTCAAGAGTCTTCTCCAACACCACAGTTCAAAAGCATCAATTCTTTGGTGCTCAGCTTTCTTTATAGTCCAACTCTCACATCCATACATGACTACTGGAAAAACCATAGCCTTGATCAGACAGACCTTTGTTGGCAGAGTAATGTCTCTGCTTTTTAATATGCTGTCTGTGTTGGTCATAACTTTCCTTCCAAGGAGCAAGCATCTTTTAATTTCATGGTTGCAATCACCATCTGCAGTGATTTTGGAGCCCATAAAAATAAAGTCAGCATAAATTTCACCAGTTATAAGCTTAGAGGGTAGCTTGCTGCAACCTACTGCTTTCTGTATTTTATTTAAATTGGTAAATAGATCTAGGGTGGTGGTTTTCAACTGGAGGTGGTTTTGTGCCTCCTGCTTCCACCCCAAGGCCCCCACACCCAGGGGTATTTGGCAATGTGCGGAAGCATTTTTGGTTGTCACACTGGGAAGGGGGTGCTCCTGGCATCTAATGGGTAGAGGCCAAGGATGCTGCTTAACCAAACATCCTAAAACGTATAGGATGTCCCCTCACAACAAAAATTGTCTGGACCAAAACGTCAGTTGTACCAAGTTCAGAAACTGATTGCAGGCTTAATTTTTTGGGTGGGGGCAAAATGACTTTATAGGTAAGTTTTTTCATTGTGGAGGCAGGCATACAAATTCTAGTTATGACTCTTCATGCTGTTAGGTCTGAATTTCCAAATTGCTTAAGTAAAGTTTGGTTTCGCAGCCTTTATCCCTGCAACGTGATTCTTAAAGGCAGAGAGCCCGCTCTGGTTGTTGTAGCCTGTGACTACTCTGGCAATACCAGTGTCTTACTTTTCCTTTTCAGGAGACCCTTCTCCAAGCCCATCTTTGACCCAGACCACACCAAGTAAAGATGCTGATGACCAGTCCAGGAAAAACATGACCGGCAAGAACCGGGGCAAGAGGAAAGCTGACGCCAGCTCTTCCCAGGACAGTGAATTGGAAGTATGGGAAGAAACTCATTTGAGTTACACCTGCTTTTTTCTTTTCTCTTTTCTTTAAGTTTATCAAATATATTTCTGAAACTCATGGAGATTATGTGGTTCTATGTTGTGTACCATTTAATTCCTGAGCAGTAGAAAATGAATTGGCCAAGTGTGAAAAGAGAAGTGTAAAAACACATTTCTCTGTGCCAACATTTTACCATATCACTTTCAGATCCTTTTTACCAACAGCATTGAAAAAGCTTTTTCAAATTTAGGTAGCCAGGTCACTTTTTAAGGGAAAGAACAGTCAGTTCTATATTCCAGAGGAGAACAGGAAGAATAATGCATCATATTCAAAAAGCACAAGTAATGTCATACTGTTCTCCATTTCAGAATCTTAGAGTAAAATGAGAGAACTAAAGTGCTTTAGGCCAAGTTTCTGTGAAACCTGCAACCAGATCTGGTATTGTAAATGAGGTTGGCTCTCACTTGCTCTCTAAACCCTATAGACATTTATTATGGATGTACATTTGGCTTCATTATTAAAAAGACTAAAAAGCCATACAAAATTCTAATAATAATGGAGTCTTGATACTAGTCTTTTTGTTTTCTTTCTTTAATTTTTCTATAATGTGATCATTTAATGAGAAGAAAAAGCCATATTTAAAAATGAGTCCATTGACAGTTGTTCATAAGACGTTGGTAAATTGAGGCTATGTTTGGAACCTCTCTTCCCTTTTGTTACTAGCAGGGTGGGAATTGGCAGGGAGAGAAAGAAAATCTAAAGACCTGATGTATTTCATGGGAAAAACTGAGAATTCACTCGTTTTTTTAAATCATGGTAAAGTATATATTAAAATTTACCATTTTGTAAGTGTGCAGTTTTAAGTACATTCATAGTGTTGTTCAGAAGTTCTTCATGATTGCAAACTGTGCGCTCATTAAGCAGTAATTTCCTCTTCTCCTTCTATTGGTCCTTGGTAACCTTTTTTCTGTCGCTATAGATTTACCTGTTTCAGGTATTTCACATAAGTGGAATCACACAAAATCTTTCCTTCTGTGTCAGGCTTATTACTTCACCTCGCGTAATATTTTCAAGGTTCATCTATTCTGTAGCATGTTTCAGAACTTCATTCCTTTTTATGGCTGAATAACTCCTTTGTGTATATATAGCACATTTTGTTTATCCATTCATCTGTGATGGACACTTGGGGTTTTTCCACCTTTGAGCTATTGTGAATAAAGTTGCTGTGAAAACTGCTGTGCTCAAAAGTATCACTTTGAGCCCCTTTTCAATTATTTTGGGTATAAACCTAGGAGTAGAATTGCGAGACCACATAGTAGTTCTGTGTTCAGCTTTTTGAGGAACCACCAACATGTTTTCCAAATGACTACACCATTTTACCTTCCTACCAGCTCTATACTAGGGTTCCAGTTGCTTCCCTTCTTTGCGTTTTCCATCCTAATGGGTATGAAATGGTGTCTCATGGTTTTGATTTGCATTTCCTTAGTGACTAATAATATTGAGCATCTTTTCATGTGTGAATTGGTCATTTGTCTATTTTATTGGAAGTAATGTCTAAGTCCTTTCCCATTCTTTAAATTAGGGGGTTTTGTTTGTTTATTTGTTTGTTTTTCATTGTTTTTGAATCTTAGGAATTCTTTATTCTAGATTTTAATCCCTTGGCAGATATATGATGTGCAAATATTTTCTGTCCATTGTCTTTTCACTCTCTTGATGGTATCCTTTGATGGTTAACAATTTTAAATTTTGAAGTTCTGTTTTTATTACTTGTGCTTTTGGTATTATACTTAAGGATTTAAGATTATGAAAACACCTATGTTTCTTGTAAGCATTTTATTATTTCAGCTCTTAAGTTTAGGTCTTTGATCCATATTGAGTTAATTTGTACATAGTGTGAAGTAAGGATCTAATTTTATTCTTTTGCACATGGATATTCAGTCCCCCTAGGACCTTGTTTTGGAAACGCTTTCCTTTCCCCTTTGTTCATGGTATCCTTGCAGAAAATAATAATAATAAACTATCTCTCTCTCTCTCTTTCTATATACATATATGTGTGTATATGTATATGTGTATATATATATATACGGGTATGTATATGTGTATATATATATATATATATATATATATATATACGGGTTTATTTCTGGGCCCTCTCCTCTGTTCCATTGGTCTGTGTGTCTATGTTTATGCTAGTACCACACTATTTTGATTACTGTTGCTTTGTAGTAAGTTTAATATCAGGAAACGTGAGTCATCCAGCTTTGTTCTTTTTCAAGACTATTTTGGCTCTTCAGGGTCCCTTGAGATTTCATACAAACTTTAGGTTAGTTTTTCTCTCTCTTTAAAAAACAGTGTTGGAAAACAACAACAACAACAAAAAATAACAGTGTTGAGATTTTGATAGGGATTTAGTATACAAGTCCTGAACTATCAGTTAAATTTATTCCTAAGTATTTTATTATTTTTTATGCTTTTGTTTAATTCCTTTTAGGATTATTCATTTCACGCTTATAGAAACAGCTGATTTCTGAATTCATTTTAGTAGCTGTCAGTAATTTTTTGTGGGTTCTTAAAAGGTTTTCTCTGTGTGAGATCACATCATCTGTGAACAGAGGTAGATTTACTTCTTTCTTTCCAGTTTGGGTACCTTTTTTTACCCTTATCCTGGCTAGAATTTCCAGTACTATGTTGGAATAGAAGTGATGAACACAGGCACACTTCTGTTATTCCTAATCTCAGGGGTAATACTTCCAGTTTTCCACCATTGAGTATGATATTACTTATAGGTTTTTCAATATGACCTTTATCATGATAAGGAAGGTGCTAGTATATTGAGTGTTCTTACAATGAAAGTGTGCTGAATTTTGTCAAATGGTTTTTTTAACATCAGTTGAGATGACCATGTGGGTTTTTTCCTCTGTTCAGTTAATGCAGTATATTACATTGATTTTCTATTTTTTTCTACATTGAGCCATTCTTGCATTCTGGGAACAAATCCCACTTGGTCTTGATGTATAATTCAATATGCTGCTGAACTTCGTTTGCCACTGTTTTGTTGAGGTTTTTGCATCAGTGTTCAGATGAGAGATTGGTCTGTAGTTTTCTTGTCTTGTCTTTATCTGACTTCAGTGTCAGGGTAATGCTGGCTTCATAGAGTGAGTTACGAAGTATTCCTGCCTCTTCAGTTGTTTGGAAGGTCTGAAGGATTTTGTTTGGTAGAGTTCACCAGTGAAACCATCTGATCCTCGCCTTTTCTTTCTTGGGATATTTTTATTATTGATTCAACCTCCTACCAGTTAAAGGTCTATTCAGATTTTCTTCTTCTTTTTGAATCAGCTTTGGCACATTGTGTATTTCTAGGAATTTGTTGTTTTATCTAGATTATCTATTGGTGTATAGCTCTTCATAATATAAAGGATTATAAAATCCTTTTTATTTCTTTAAAATTAGTATTAATATCCCCACTTTCATTTCTGATTTTATTCATTTATGTCTTCTTTTTTCTTAGCTAGTCTAACTAGAAGTTGTCAATTATATAGATCTCTTCAAAGAACCAACTTTTGGTTTTGTTGATTTTCTTTATCTTTTCCTACCTTCTGCTTTTTCCTACCCTTTTCTAACCTTTATTTTTTCCTTCCTTCTACTGGCTTTGTCTAGTAGCGTAAATTGTGCACTTTGGTTATTGATTGAGATATTTTTTAAGGTACACATTTGGAACTATAAATTTCCTTTGGGACTTCCCTGGTGATCCAGTGGTTAAAACTCCCTACTTCCAATGCAGGGGGCACAGGTTCGATCCCTGGTTGGTTGGGGGACTAAGATTCCACGTGCTGTGCAGTGTGGCCTTAAAAAGAAAAGAAAAAAAAAATGTCTTCTTAGCTGTTTCAACAGCATCCCACAGATTTTGGTATGTTGTTTTTTGGTCTTCACTCCAAGGTATTTCCTAATTTCACTTGTTATTTCTTTTTTATCCTTTGTTTGTTTAAGATTATATTAATTTTCACATATGTGTGAATTTCCCAGTTTTTTTTCTATTATTGATTACTTGTTTCATTCTACTATGATTTAAAAAGATGCTCACTCATTTTTTAAAATATTTCCCTCATTCAGCGGGTATTTCTGTGGGACTTAGATGAAACCATCATCATCTTCCACTCCCTTCTTACTGGATCCTATGCCCAGAAGTATGGAAAGGTAATTTGAGTCTTTCTTCCTTTGTTTTAACTGTCCGTCTTTATGTGTGCAGGTAACCAAGATCACTGTCTCTGTTATCGCCGTCTTACCTATTGACCTTTCACTTTTCATGTAAAACTTCACCTGATGGCTTATATATACCAGGCAGACTACATGGTCAGGCAGAGTTGATAAAGCCGGGAACTAGACCTCGGACTAGTACTGAAAGCTGAAGTTGGTGGAGGGTGGTAACAGCTAAGTATGGGACTGAACTCAACACAGAGTGGAGTCTCAGGATTACCTGCTCCAAAGACTGATCTGTTATCCCTTACATCACATGTGACAGTCCAAACTGAGCATTTCATTTAGCTGAGAATCTGTGAGATCTGTACATTTAAAATATTAAATAACTTTCTAAAATAGATTGTACAGCTTCTTAAATGAAAATGTACCGAGCAGAATTTAAGTTTAGTTATCAGTTTTGACAGAGGGATGAGCTGTTTTTGAGGTATTGTCTGTATATTTCTATACTAAATTACCTCCAGGTTCCTTTTTTTTTTTTTAAGTTTCTGTGAATAAATTTTATAAAAATATATGCCTTATTTACCATCCTACTTTATCTACTCCTGATTATTTCTTATTGTCACTATTTGTTTCTATTAGAAGTATTTTCCGTAGGCTTTTAGTATCTAGGCTGGTAAACTGACATAAGCTTATATACTCTATAACAAGACTGGTTATGAAAGTATATAAAATAAGATCATACCACCTCTAAGTGAAGCTCTGATAGTTCCTTTTAAAGCTATGTGCATTGGTTTTCCTACAAATATTTCTTTACTGATTTCCTGGTTGTTTAGATTGTCAGAGTACTGACTTCCGGTGTTATACTGTGTGTGTATGTATTTGTGTGTGTGTGTGAGATAATGAGTGTTACAATAGCAATATTTTAGCAATAGTTAGAATTTCTCCTGAAGCAGGGAATTTCTCCAAAAATTGTTTTTTTTTAAGTGGGTTAAAATCCTGAAATTTTTAACTTTGCACAATCTAAGCTTCTTATAACTGTGAATGAAACTGCATCAGTAATAGTGAGAAGCACTATTGTGGACCAGTGTTTTTTTGGCCTTGACCTTAAATAATTTTGAAACATTTAGAGGTAAGAACTGATGCTGTGAGTACCAAGTCAAACAAATTCTCTTATTGCCTTTCAGGACCCAACAGTAGTGATTGGCTCAGGTTTAACAATGGAAGAAATGATTTTTGAAGTGGCTGACACGCATCTGTTTTTCAATGACCTAGAGGTATGCATTTTAAATTGTTTCTGTGCTTCAGTGAAACACTTTGTTCCATAACTTATTTATTGAGACTGTGATTTTTGCGTTTAGAGGAAGTGTGGTTAAACAGGGTAGGTATAGGGAGGCCAGCTGGGCACCTAGGTGTACATAGTCTTGAAGAAATAGTTCCTTGGTTAGGTCAGCACAGTTTTGTTTCTGGGCTTCAGTTTTATTGGCTCAAAAATTTGATTTTGTTAGCGTATATGGAAGTGATCTAACTCTAGGGGCAGTACCATCCCATCAGGTAAAGCACTGATACATAAACCAACATTCTGATTTATTCATCTACATTAAATAATATATAGAAGGTGGCATTGGTTGTACTCTTAATTATATTTTTACTGTTCTTCAGTTTTACCTTCTTAAAAGACAGCTTCTTTATTTGTCAGATTTGTAGAGGGCTACTCTTAACTTGTATTTTGTACCTGCTTATTGTCTATGTGTAGGTAAGCCATGAAGTCCAGATCATTTTCTGTTTAGGTGGAGGGAAACCTGAAAACACTGAGAGCTTCTTGGTTAATTGTTGTAGCTTTGACATTCCAGTTCATCTTTGAGGTAAACCTGGTGTAGTGGAGAGAGCACAGGACTAGGAATCAGGACCAGACCAAGTACCAAGTTAGGAAAGTTATCTCCCCATTCTGGGCCTCAGTTAAGCAGTTATCCTACACAAGAAACTAGTCACAGTTGTTCTGTCTGAAGATGGGAATGCATTGCCAAGACACTGAGGTAGGAAGGAACAGATTTGTCACTTAATGTCCTTTTGAATTTTGAACTCTGTATGACGTATATTACCTACTTTTTAAAATAGTGAAAATTTTAAAGCAAAATAATCACAAAGTAATCCTCTTTCTTTTCAAACACAGTCTAGTTCTACCCAACAGACAATTCTCCAACAAGTTAAATTAGTAGAGCTCTGCACTCCAGTACTTTTATGTAAGCTCCACAGTGCTTTAATCTTCCATCAACTTCACATGTTGATATATTGGAACATTATAGTTTTTATTCAGCAAACATTTGTTGAAAATCTACTTTGTGCCAGTAATTGTTGCCAAATTGTATTTGTAATGATTTTCTAGACATAGTCCTCACTCAGGACTGAAAGTTCTGTGAAGAATTTGACCTGAATGTGTTCCTGCCCCCCAGGTCAGTGGTTCTCAACTTTAGGGGGCATAAGAATCACCTGGGGAGTGTGTTAAAAATGACGACTCTAGGACTTCACTCACAGAAATTCTGTTCAAAAATACGCATTTTAAAACATCTTCCCCAGAGGATTCTGATGCAAGTGGACACCATGGCACCGCCCTAGGTGGTGTCAAAGGAATAAATCTGTCAGTTAGGCAGTGGGTGGCATTTTACCTCAGCAGTAGTGTGGGCTTAGAGGAAAGAACCCGTGGGTTCACACTGAAAGACCTCGGCTCCTTCTGGTCTCTTTCTACCACTCACTAGTTTTATGACCTTGGGCCAATCATTTTATCCCAGTTTTAGAATATGAGGAGACTGACTTAGGTGACCTCTTCTAATTCGTAAGTTTGAATTTACAATTTCTGTTTCAGTCATTCTCATGCATTGAGAATGCATTCAGTCAGTATCATGCATTGATGCTGCACACACTCTACCAGCATCGTTTTCGTCTGCAAAAACTTACTCAGTGCATGCTGCGTAAGGGCCCTGGACTAGACTAGAGGATTCTAAAGGAGATGTAAGATGTGGTTGTGCCATAGAGGCCTACACTGTGATAGAACTTGCAGTCTAATGTAGGACATAGACACACCTGACAGTATAAGGGAGTTTCTGCTTATACCTATGGGTTGTGGCAAAAGTGAACTGTTGATATTAGAGCATAACTGAGGGTTGGTATGGTTAAGGAAGATTCCATGAAGACTGAGGAATGTAAATTAGGCCTTTAAAGAAGTTGGACAGCAACAGGGGTGAGATTGACCCTCCACACATAAGAAACCATAAGGTATTTCATCATCCTGCCATTGTCTGTGGTATTTTTACAATATATCATGGTGATAATAGAACTGCTCTCTGGGATGAAATTACAGGTGGTTTTGTCTTTTAACAGGAGTGTGACCAGGTGCATGTGGAAGATGTGGCTTCTGATGACAATGGCCAAGACTTGAGGTAATAAAAACAGTGGTATCTTAAACATCAGTATACCTGTTATGCACAAGACACTGACTAGGTTCAGAGGAAAACAAAGATGATTAAGACATGGCCCTAAAAGAGCTCACAGTCTATTAGAGAAGATAGAAACAAAGACAGTTGATGATGGCATGCGGTGTGAGAAGTCATGTGACAGTAGAAAATGTGATGGGATATAGAGTAGAAAGTAATTCTGATGGTTGTGGGGAGCCGGTGGTGCCAACACTGGAGTGGCCTTCTCAACACAGTAGAATTTGAGTGTAATCTTGGAGATTGGGCAGCATGATGGAATGAGACAAAAGCATTCCAAAGTTAAGGATATACTAGTTTCTCCTTGGCCAGATTTTCAGTCAAGAAAAGTGTGCTTCCAGATTGGTTAGTCTTAGATACAAATAAGCATCAGGTAATTTCACCAAGGAAGTTAAATGGTGGGGGTCTGGTGGTGTCAAATGACCCTATGGAAGACAATCTTAAACATTAATATCACAGTGAATGCTAAACCAGGGAGGTCTCAGTGGCAAAATGCTTGCTCAGTCTCCTCCTGTCTCTCTTGGCTACGGTCTTCTAGCCCAGTAGTCTTAGCCAAGAATAATTCAAAAATTTGTCTCCGTGATATTTAAAGACTTTTAGAAAAAAATTGTCACATCTTTTCATGTTAATTTGTTTTATTAATGTTTATCCCTTTCCATAGGCAAAAAGTTTCTCCATGTGTCTACCCTAAAATTGTTTCCTCTGTGAATTCTCAACTCTAGAGCAGATCTGGACACATCAGTTAGTAAGGACACAGCCCTGCGGTGCCGAGGAGGAGAGGTCCCCCTTCAGGAGCGGCATCCGCCGTGCATGTTGTGTCTTGCACAGCTGTGGAGGGCACCATTCTTAAGAGGTTTTACTCACCTTAGGACAGAGCTTGGTCTGAAGCAGTTTACGATCCACTCTGAGCTCTAGTGCTCTTTTGTTTCTCATATACATATGGCTGGGCTTCCCTGGTGGCTCAGACGGTAAAGAATCTACCCGCAATGTGGGAGACCTTGGTTCAGTCCCTGGTTGGGGAAGATCCCAATGGTAATCCACTCCAGTGTTCTTGCCTGGAGAATTCTATAGACAGAGGAGCCTGGTGGGCTACAGTCCATGGGGGCCACAGAGAGTCAGATAACGACTGAGCAACTAAGCCCAACACATACATACGGCTAACTAATAGTGGCCTATATTTTTATTAGCAACTTTTTCTTAAATATAGAATCTCACACTTACGGAATTCTGTTCTGACTTTTGAACCAAGTTGTCCCTAATTCCGTCAGTCATTTTTAAATCTTGACTTAGGAAGTAGTCATCCCTCCCAGCTGTTTAACTGTAACGGTTGTCTATTGCTATGTAACAAATTACTCCAAAGCCTAGTAGCTTAAAGCAATTACCATTTATCATCTCATTGTTTCTGTAGGTCAGGAGCTTGAAAGTAACTTAGCTGGGTAGTTCTGAATCAGGGTCTTTGAGATTAAAATCAAGATAGCTGGAGCTAAAATCATCTGAAGGCTTGAGTGGAGCCAAGGACCTGCTTCCAACCTATCATGTGTGGCTGATAGCAGGAGGCCTCAGGCCTCACTGTGCCCCTTCACAGAGCAGCGCAGCTTGAGTGTTCTCACGTGACAGCTGACACTTAGAGCAAGCCCTGTAAGAGAAGTCTGGTCTCTAAAGCCTAACACCATCACTTCCACCACATTCTGTTTGCGTTCAAATACAGTCCATACCTGAGGGGAGCAGAGTTAGAAGAGAGGAGTAGTGGCCCATGAACTTAATAAACGAGTCAACAGATCTCTGAAGAAAAACATTCCCGTTTTCTTACTGTTAAAACTTGGGGTTCATTCCTCCCATTATTTTTTCACGCTTCTCCTTTTTACATAGTTGCAATCATATTGTGGGTATGTACAAAAAAATTTATATTCTGAAGGCTTTTTTTCACTGTAAGATATTGTCTATCATTAGTGAAAGGATGGTCTGTCTGAAGCCAACCTCTAGGGAATGCTGATGCTCAAATTGTTCTGTCCCTCTTGCTCTCCCTCTCCATCCTTTCTTTGATAGAAGTAACAGGGGTGAGATGGCAGACCGATGGAAGATAGCCTCTGACATACAGAGATTAAGGAAGAAGAGTCTCACGGCTTTGATGTCAGATACTATGGAATAGGACAGAGAATCTCAGGTGGCCTTCAGCCTAAAACTCTGCAGTACAGATTTTCATTTTCATCATCCTCTCTCTCTGCAGCAACTACAGTTTCTCGACAGATGGTTTCAGCAGCTCTGGAGGCAGTGGCAGCCATGGTTCCTCTGTGGGTGTCCAGGGAGGTGTGGACTGGATGAGGAAATTGGCTTTCCGTTACCGAAAAGTGAGAGAAATCTATGATAAGCATAAAAGCAACGTGGGTGGTAAGTGTGGCATGTAACCAGCTAATTTTCTCTTTTGTTCTGATTTCCTGTTTTCCTTTCCAGGGTTTACCTTAGAGCTCCCAGATTATGAATTTGTGACACAGTGACATTTTAACTCTGTATTTAAACAATGGGGTCTGATTGAAACCCTGTGGGGAGGAACCTCTGCATTCCTCATGGACTCTTCTTAGCATAACTTCACCAAGTTCTCTTGTTCTTTTTAGACAGCTTTCCTTTTTAAAGGAAATGTGTTCCATAGATTATGTTTGATGGCATGTGTTTTTTCTGGACTCACAACTACTGTCAGTAATATTTAAGAGGTTCCCATATTTTTGGACAGATTTATCTAGCCATCAGGCCAAGTCAGGTAGAACTAGCGACCAGGTTTATAGTGGATGGAAAAACTAGGTCCAGCTTGATAGGTTGGCAGTATCCATGCACTGTAATTTGAAGGACCTTGGCCGTTCTTTCTGCCCAGATACGTCTCACACATCAGGTGCCATTGTGCCTGAAATCATATATTTGGAATTAATTAGCCATAGATTGTTCAAATGAGAAGAGACATTAGACAGCAAATCTAAATCCTTCATTTTGGATTTGAGAAAACTGATGGTCCATCATGAGGATAACAAGGGCGGGTCACATAGCAAGTTAGTGACCATACCACAGCTGGACCTTTGGTCCAGTGCACTTCACATTCATATAGACCTCTCTTTAGTGACATGCCCTTGTGAGAAAATACTGAAAGCTCTGACCCACCACCCTCAAACACCTACATCGACACAGAATGTTGAGTGAAGTTTCAGGGATTCCATGGACCACCTAGAAGTATCCTGCTGTGTCAGGAGAGGCCTCAGAGCCAGTACTTTTTATTTTGGCAATCAGGTCATTTTGTTTTTTCTCTCTCACAGATATTAGCCTTTCTTTTGTTAGTTTTCATATACAACCTATGTGTCTGGTCCATTTTCTGCCCAGTGAGTGTCTCAACCTGGTTTCCTGAAGAAAGTGCTTTATAACCCTCTTTGAGAATCCCTGGATCCTACCCTGGGAAACATATTAAAAGTAATATCCACCTGTATTTTTTTTTAAGTGAATTAACAAAAGTGCTACATCATAGTAGTTAAATCTATGACATAGGCATGCCTGTGTATGTCATACATGACATATAAATACTTGTTTGGTTTTTGTTTTATCAGAAATGTTGAGAGTCATCTAATTGTAGGCTTGTATTGTGAAACCATCAGTCTGAAAATAAATTATAAACTGTAATACTCGAAATGATTTCTGTTTTTATGGAATACAGGTAGTAGAATATCTTTACCTTCACTATAGAAAAGTTAGAGCCAGATTTATTATTTGAATATTCTAATTCAAGTATCTGATAACATGCTCCCATCAGATGAACTCTTTTTTGTTTTGTGTTTAGTTATCTGATCTTAAAGCAGTGCTTCAGTCTCTCATCAGCTGGAGTTGTTTCAGAACTAAGTACAGTACAGATGATGTTCAGAATATGGTGATTCAACCTGAAATCTCAGGTTGATGTGTTCTGAAGGAGGTGAAAGCACTGTCTCCTTGAGAGCAGTGTATGGCAGTGGGAAGATTTCTGAGACCAAAAGACAATAATTGCTCTGTATTCTTAGGCAGCCTCCTTTCCTCCCTGAGCGTTGTTTTCTTTAGAAAGAGACTGGAAATGCTGTGGGCTTTTCCATCTATAATTGTTCCCCTTTTTTTGATTCTTTATGTCACATCTATAGCAGTGCTACTCAAAGTATGGTCCACCAGTCTGCAAATGATGTACTGGCTGGTTGATGAAAGAATGAGCTTGAGCCAGATCCTAATCACAATGTTTCTCTCAGCTGATTTTGTTGTGGTTATGCCCCACCAAGCAAAAGACGCTGGTGGGAAGAGTCAAAAGGCTTGTTGAGTAGGCTACTGCAGGGCCTTATCAAGGAGAGAGATGTGTTTGCTCAGTAGATATTTCAGTAACACACTATTTCCAAATTGAATTTAGAAGTTGCTTTCTTGATGCCAGCACGGATCTTGTCAAATGAGGAATGTGTCTTTTTTTTATTCCCAAAGGGCTCCTCAGTCCCCAGAGAAAGGAAGCACTGCAAAGACTAAGAGCAGAGATTGAAGTTTTAACAGATTCCTGGTTAGGAACTGCCTTGAAGTCTTTACTTCTTATCCAGTCCAGGTATGGAAATGCTTTTTCTAGGTCTCATCCTCTCAGAGAGATTCTTTCTCCCACCCTGGTCCAGGATAGGCCATTCCCAAAAACAGGCTGTGGGGAAGGGCGAGAGGAGTTCAGTGCTGCAGGCAAGGATTCATAGTGGGAGGCAAGGCCATTTTACTCTAACAGCACACCTTAGAGTTTTGAACATCTTTTTCTTTTCTCTTACTTTTTGTTCACAAAATTATACTCAGTAACCCAGAATGTCCAGCACCAGAGGTGGATGGGCCTGATAACATCGAAGAATACATGGAGGAGACTTCACAAATACCCTAAATACAGGAAGCTCCAAAGAAATGTAGCACAGCCTACTCAGAAAGGCAGGATTCCAAAGAAAAGGGTACATTAAGCAGATTAAGGACATTTGAGCCCAAAGCTTAGAATGGGAAATGAAAACATAGCTTTATTCGTCCCTCCTTCAAAGCTAGAATTCCAGACTTAGAGCCTAGTAAACAGAAACTGACACCCAGGAATGGATATCTGTGAAGGGAAAAGACTTGTGAAAATAATGTATATTCTGACCTGTGTGACGAGCAGAGAGGACTGAAGTCATATCTCATTGACGGGCTGAGTTGCATTGAGGTGAAGTGCCACTGCAACTGAAAGCCTTGTCGTGTTTTCTGTAATATGGTGTCAGTACCATGGGTTCATGGAGTTTGCCAGCAGTGCAGTGAGCTAGAATGGAAATGAGGGGAGAATCAGGGTGCTGCTCTGTGTCCACCACAGAATCTCTGCCCTTTAATTTGGAAAATAAGTAAACCTGAGACAGAGTAGGAACTGAACGTTGGCACTGAACAAATGTCGTACCAGTAGCTTTGAGGTTAATATTTCACAAGTAGATCCTACAGAGAAGACTTGTTTGAGTTCTTGTTCCCAGGTTGGTTTGATTTCACTTTTTTATTGTCTTTTTCTCCCTTCCAGAAAGAATTGTGTGAATGTTCTGATCACTACAACCCAACTGGTTCCAGCTCTGGCCAAGGTTCTCCTATATGGGCTAGGAGAAATATTTCCTATTGAAAACATCTACAGTGCTACCAAAATTGGTACGGCTTCAGTTCTGTTTTCTTGTGACTGCTGCTTAGGATGTTCTTATTATTTACCAGTCCTGCTGTTAGACACTTTATATATAGGTATATCTATAATCCTCTCTTCATTCTTCTCCTGGCATTACTGATGAGGCAGTTCAGGCTGACTCAGGACTTCACAGCTTCACAGGATTCAAATCCAGGTCTGTCAGACTTAAAGTGTATCGTGCTCTTTTCTTTTCTATTTGAAAGAACATAATACCTAGTTTAGAAATCTACTTTTGCCTCATTTCAGATTTCTCCTTCATAGAGTGCTGCAGTATAGCATAATCAAAAACACTAGATTAAAAATCAAGGACTAAGCTATGTACTTTAAAATGATTAAATCCCTCACACCTGTTAGGATGGTTGCTATCAAAAAAACAAACAGAAAATAACAAGTGTTGGCAAGAATGCGGAAAATTTGGAACCCATCTGCACTTGTGGTGGGGTTGTAAAATGGTGCATCTGCTGTGGAAAACAGCATGGCTGTTGCACAGAAAAATTGAAAATAGAACTGTCAGGTGATCCAGCTGTCCCACTTCTGGGTATATAGCCAAAGAATCCAAAGCGGATCCCAGAGAAATATTTGCAAGCCTACGTTCATAGCAGCATTATTCTCAAAAGCCATAAGGGGGAAGCAGCCCCAAATATCCAACAAATGAATGGATAAATGAAAGGTGGTATATACATACAGTGGGATAGTAGCCAATTTCAAAAGGGAAGGAAATCCTGTCACATGGGTACTACATGTATGAACCTTGAAGGCATTATGCTAATAAGTCAATCACAGAAAGATAAATACTGTGTATTTCCACTTACATATAAGGTTCCTAGAGTAGTTCAGTTTATAGAAACAGAAAGGAGAATGGTGGTTAACAGAAGCTTGGGGAAAGGGGAAATAGGGAGTTGTCCTTGGTGGGTATAGAATTTTAATTTTGTAAAATGAAAAGTTCTGGAGAACTGTTGCTCAGCAATGTAAGTTACACTTATTATTACTGAAAAATACAATTTTAAATGGTTAGAAAGAGAAAAGAAAAAAAAAACACAACTGAGGACTGAGTCCTAATTCCCCTGCTTATTAGCTCTTCAGGAAATTACTGTGTCTCCTGAGCCTCAGTTTTCTCCTGTAAGATGAGAAACTACCCAGAGAGGTTTTGAAAATGAAATGAGACTGTGTATGAAAAGATATTTTTTATCCGCCAAAAATGTATTCAGTACTAAGTATATGAAATAGTACTTGATAAGTATGTGCTGAATTGATAAACTAATGGGCACCGGGTTTGTATAAAACCAACTTGTTCCGCTGAGAAGGCAGCGGAGTGTGTCACTCTGGTCACATGTGCTGCACAAGGTCCGCTGACAGCTGTCCCCTGTCCCCTCAGACGCTTGAGTCTGTATCTACAGCTCCCGCTTCCCTGTCGCAGCAGAGGAGACCGCTCTAGTGTGAAGGTGAACTCTAGGTATCCACTAGATTAAAAGGTGTCAGGCATTGCCAGGGCACTCGGAATATAGCCATGACAGAATCCTCTGTCCTCATGGGACTTATACCCTCAGCCAGTGGTGCTAGAATAATTGGTTTTCGGTGGGGGGGGCGGAGGCAGAATTGGATTTCTTCTTTATGCTATTTGCAAAACTAAAATTCCAGGTGGATAAAAAATGTAACATGAAAAGCAAAACTCGAGATTTTGAAGAGAATATGTAAAAGTATCTGTATGACCTTGAGGTAGGGAGGGATTTCATTTAAGAGACCCCAAAAATAGTGTTTAAAAAAAAAAACAGAAAAAAGCAATCATTTGGTTGCATGAAACTTTTATATACAGTGAAAGATGACTTAAAGTGACAAGCCAAGTCACGGACTAAGAGAAGGTACTTGTAATACATGCACTTGTTCATTAGTACAGAGCTCCTGCAAATCAATAAGCAACGTAATATAAAAAAAAGTAGGCGCAAACCTTGGAACAGCCAATTTGCAGAAAAGGAAACCCAAATTGTTAGTAAACACATATGAGAAGTTTTTTGACCTCATCGATTAAGGATCTGCAAATTAAAATGTGATACATAGCCCATTTATTAGATTGACAAAAACTACTTTGAGGGTCTCAGACTACAAGCACATACCGAATTCTGCCCCTGCCTGTTTTTTGTAATGTTTTATTGAAACAAGCCATGCCTGATCATTTCTGTAGCTGCTTTCACACACAGAGATCGTATGACCTGCAAAGCCTAATATGTGCCACCTCCTTCCCTTGAGTAATTCTCATTTGCAAAAGGAGGTACATTTAAGGACTTTCTTTCATGCATTCTTATTCATACTAAAAGATAATGAGAAACAGCAGGTAAACCTGTCTGAGAACAGAAAACAGACATGAAACAATGGAAATACTATAAAGTACTTACAAGTAAGTGAACTCAAACTATATATATCCCTAAAGATTAGTATTAAAAAGTGTTGAACACAAAAAAACCACATTGCAAATAGTATGTACAGTATGCAAAAATTAAATAAAAGTAAAAAAGATATTCAAAACAATAACCATACATTGTTTATAGATATATAGACTCAGGGGGAGAAAGGAGGAGGAAGAAAAGCATCAAGTAGGCATACATCAGAAATTTCAGATTGTATGATCTCATTCTTATTTCTTTATGTATATAATTCTTTTTACTTTTGGCCGTGCTGGGCCTTGGTTGCCATGTGGGCTTTTCTCTGGTTGCGGCCAGCAGGTCTCTGCAGCTGCGGTGCTCGGGCTTCTCATTGCAGTGACTTCTCTTGATGCGGAGAGCAGGCGCTAGAACACGGGCTCAATAGTTGTGGTGCACAGGCTTAGTTGCTTTGCAGCATGTGGGTCTTCCCAAACCAGGGGTTGAACCCATGTCTCCTGCATTGGCAGGCAGATTCTTTACCACTGATCCACCAGGGAAACCCTCATTCTTATATTTTTTAATCTAAAGCAACTCTAAAGTGTTAAGATTTGACAAAGCTGGGTTGGTGGTAGATATACAGGCATTTGTTTTTATTGTTCTTTTTGTGTGTGGTTGAATTATTTCATTTACAAGGGAATTGATAGGGGAGATAGATCTGAAACCTCCCCTTCAGATTTTGCTCCTCCTGCCCCTGCTTTACTGTGCATTTTGTAAGAACTCTGATCATTCACTTAGTTTCCCACACCTGAAAGGTAGGTTTCTGTGGTGCTTGATTCTGCTTCCTGGCGCTCAGAGACTCATCAAACTAATGGACGTGACTTTATTCCTTCTGACAATAAGTGTGCTTATTTGGTGATTTTCTCATTTCGTCCAGAGCTCATTAGCTGAGCTCCAGTGGTACCTGGCACCATGGTAACCACAGTGAGAGGCTTGAGGCTTTCCTTCACAGAGCTGTAAGATGAGAGTGGGCAGAGGAAATGTTTGTTCAGTTCCTCTGAAATTATTTCAGAATTGCAGTTCTCTGCATGGCCACTCTCTGATCTGGACATTAAAGAGAATTCCCAAGATCACTTCTGAAAATGTCAACAGTGTTTCTAATAGAGGAAACCCAGGAACTTAGTCTTCTCCACAGTCCTGGGCATCTTGCAGTTACAGCTTCTATTGCTTGACATTTGGTAAGTTCACCACTCATTGGTCTCATCCTCCCGAACAGGAAAGCTCATCTCTAGGATTGTTTTGAAAGTGTAAAATGAAAGTGTATTTACCAACTATGTTGGAATTATTTTTTCAAATGGCTACTACTCTACTCTGAGCTGTTAATAACTCACTCTTAATATAACACTCTTAATCTTTTTAGAGGAGACATTCCTAATTGTATTTCTTCCTTGACCATTGCAGGCCAGGACAATGAAAACATCTCAATGTCTCTTTCTTCTAAATATGAGACTTTCCCTTTATTAGGTCTTAGGAGAAATGTCTAAAATCCTACTGATTTAGGGATCCTACTAAAAGTTTTTTCTCTGAATCATAAATTTGACTGTGGCTCTTGCAGATTAGGTAGTAAGGACATAATGGTTAGAGTGGGATTAGACACACAACTCTTTTAACACTTAATAAGAACATCTGTTAACTCATTATTAGTTGAATTATTTAATGTTTAAATTGGGGCTGAAGATCTGGACTATTGTCATGCCCTGGATCATTGTGAAATTAATATGTTTTTACTCAGCAAACATGGTTTGAATGCTTGATATCAGTGTAAGGCGTGACAAGGCTGTTGTAAAGTGGGAGCGTTGAAAAGGACCCAAGTGCATCTAAACCAAGCCTTGTATTGTGAGTGGGAGGTTGAAGCCCCTTGGATTAAGAGTACACTGGAGTCTGGTCCAGGTTTGAGGTGCCACCCGAGCTAGGCATGTCACAGACTTGCAGTTGGTCAGCTGTACCCCCAGGACTTCTGAGTACAGGTGTGGGGTTCTTGTTACTTGCGTTGTAGTCATCTGAGATTTGCATGTTTCCTATAGTTGTATATTTTATTACAACAGTTTTCCAGCAGATGGCATTCAAGTGCCTTGAGGAAGAGGCACCTTTTTTTTATTCACACAGGAGCCCTGGTGTTAAGGCACTTGAATCTGACAAGAAGTAAGGACGAGAAGGTTAATAGAGCAGAATGAAAAAAGGAAGCCGAGTTAGGGCCTTGCTTAACTGAAGAATATGGCAGAAACAGAAATAAAGCATAAGAGATGGTGAAAGAAGAGCAAGAGAAATAATTTTATTTACTTGTGCAAATAGTGTCTTTGCCACAGCAGTGTCACGTGTGAGTTTTTAAATGTTGGTTCCAGGTGGGATTTGAACTCTGATACATTACTGTGTTTCCAAGAACTGTCTGCAGTGGTTTTAAATCACCCGTTTCCCAAGGTCACTGAAAGTGATATAGGATCTCAGTTGTAGTTACACAGTATGAGGGAGGAAGTTGCAGCTATGACAAATATTGCTGCCATATTCATTGGAACTCTGGGACTCCTCCCCTCCTGAGAGACATAAGGCCCACGCCTAGAACTATTTCTCTTGGAAATGTAGAGTTGGAAGGAAATGCCTGTTTGTTTCAAATTACTCACCAGGAATCAGGGACTTCCTCATCTTTTTCTTTCACTAATAGTTTCCCCTCAAAAATCATCCTTTCTTCATGGCACAGTAACCAGAGCCTAGACTTAGAGGCAGAGGCTCAGAGTCTAGCTCCTAGCTTGTTTGTAATCTGGGGCAAGTTTGGGTCTATTTCTACCTATTAAAGTAGAGAATGGATCTCATCTCACCAGATTATCTTAAATGGAGGAATTACTTGAAAACTGCTCTGTATGCCATGAAGTCCAGGAGCTGTGGAAGGGGGAGGAAGTGTGTACAGCTCTCACACTGTGTTTATAGAAACCCCCACGCTAAGGTCTTCTGGACTTCACCCTCGCTGCTACAGTAAGAACCTAGAGAGCCAGTGCCTAAAAAGTCTGTGGTGTGAATGGAACGATTTCACATTCTTTGGGCAGAGGGCCTGCTGGATCTCTAGCTGCCACCCTGATTTTGTCTAAGCACAGGCAGGTGAACCTAGCAGTATCCCTTTTCTTTGATATTGAACAAAAGGAAGGAAGGAATGTCTTAAGAGGAAATGTCTCTTTCTTATTAGGTAAGGAGAGCTGCTTCGAAAGAATTGTGTCAAGGTTTGGAAAAAAAGTCACATACGTAGTGATTGGAGATGGACGAGATGAAGAAATTGCAGCCAAACAGGTAACCATGGCAAAAAACATAGACTGTATGAGAATACATTGAGCAATTAGAAGATTCATAAAACTCAGAAATTGTAGCAATCTGTTGTGCATTTACAGTGTTTTCCCTTCCTCTCCCATTTTTTCTTTCTTTTTTTAAAAATTTGTTTGGCTGCGCCAGGTCTTAGTTGCAGCATACAGGCTCTTTTAGTTGTGGCATGCAGACTGCTACTTGTGGCTTGTGGGATTTAGTTCCCCGACCAGGGATTGAACCCAGGCCCCTGCGTTGGGAGCATTGAGTTTTAGCCACTGAACCACAGGGAAGTCCCCATTTTTCTTTTATCAGAAAAAGCTAAAAGGTCATTTTTCCCCCCCATGCGGTTTTCCCTGTGAGTTATTAGATCCTCCCCTTCTCTCTCCTCCCTGCCATGCTAAAAATGTTAAAATCTTTGAGCCCTCCTACAAGGAGCCCACATGATTAAACCTGATGTGGGCCTCATCTTCGTCTTAGAGGGCAGTGCTTTCTCAAGAGGGTGAGACTCCACTACCAAAAAGACTGATCATTCAGACTTTTCTAGGCTTCGGATTCTCAAAAAACCAGTGCGGTCAACTGGGAATTGTTTAGAGAAAATCCTGCCTGCTCCTGAGCCCTGGAAAAATTATCCTGATGTTAACCTCCTTGCTAAGCAGTCCCAACTCCAGTCATCCCTTTTTTTTTTTTTTCTTTTTTTTTACCAGGTAAGATTAGCAATTTTTAATAGCAAATTGTTTGTTCACATCCTGTTTCAAACTATTCTTCCCACTTCTCACAAAATATGCACGACTCTTTCATTTTAAATATTTACAAACAGAAAAGGTCTATCTGCTGAAGGAAAGACATTTTCTGAGTCTGTATAAAGTGCAGCTAATTTAAGGCAAATTTATGTGAAATATAAAAGGTGGCTTAGTCTCTCTATATACACATTTTCCAGTTTTAAAAGATAAGGTCTCCTCCTGTCAGAAAAAGGAAAGAGAAAAAAAAGAGGGCTTGACTTTTTTTCTGGCAATTTTAAAATTAAGATCTTACTGGTTTCAGGAAATCATAGATTTCTGAATATTATAAGTAAAATGGTCTTTTTAAAAAAAAAATAACTTTAATATAGCTTTTTCAAACAAGTTAAAAGGTGACAATGTGTCTGCTATTGCAGTTTGGAGGACTGGAGGATTGATGGGTAGGTAAAAGGGTTGTTTTTGTTAGCTGAGCAGATAATAGGTAGTCCACAGCATACATCCACTTCTGAAATGAGCTTGATGAGACTAGACACCTAAAGCTGCTCTCAGCTCCAAGAATGAGTATCTTCCATCTCCATCAGAATCAAACTCTCTCAAATGCTCTGGTTCTGGCCCAATAGACTCTAAGGAGTCCTCAATTTCCTGGTAGGTCAGTTTCCCATCCACATCCTGGCCAGTCTTACGGAATAAGCCCTGAAGATCTTCGATGCTAGAAATTCCTGGAAGGGAAGCAGGTCTTAGCTGGACAGTTTTCTCAATCTGGTCTCCAAGAGACCGTGGGAATTTTGGCAATGTTGATGGCTTTGATGTGAAATTCTCTACTTCCTCTTCATTGGCAGTCTCTGGAGGCCTGCTACTCTCAGGTTTGTTTGTGAGAGCACTTATCAGCTGCAGTTTCTCTCTAAGTTTAGATACCTGAGAATCTGAACTATCTTCTTTCTTTATGCCCTGGGATTTTACTGACTCTATTCTGTTGGTCACTTGATGCAAAGACTCTCTCTTCAGAGTGGCAGCTCTATCATTCACCATGCTGGAGGACAGGTTCGCTTGCTTTTCTACCTTGCTCATAGCAACCAGATCTCTTTCTATCAAGTTGACTCTTTGGGTAAAATTACTGATGGTCTCATTCATCCCCTCGAGTTTAAGATCATTCTGTCTCTGGTACCCAACTTGGGCACTGTTTACTTCCTCTAAAAAGCTGTGGAGGTACAGGATATCCTGTTTCAAATTCTCACTGTGGGTTTTATTGTCAAGTTCAGATAGAGTGGAAGGTGATGGAATGATCTGGTTGCTTCCATTGGTTTCCTTCAAGGTGTGCTGATTCATGTCACTCTGTAGTAGCTCCACAGTTTTCTTGTGTTCATCCACAGTCTTCTCTATTGCCTCCACAGCAAGATGGACACTATTTAAAGTGTTGCCAATGGAAGCTACACTCTTCTGAAGTCCCTCTACAGTGGCAGGCAGGCTAATTAAGTCTGCAGCTGACTTGACGTTGGCTTTGAGGTGGTTTACTGCAGAAGTCAGCAGAGAAATCTGCTTATTCATTTCTGTGATGTTTATCCAGACTTTGTTCAGCCTGAGCTCTCCAGATTCAATCTTCTCAAGTTGTTTTTGTTTGCTGAGTAGTTCTTCATTAAGTTTGGGAATTTCTTGGAATAAGCTTTTCTGATTAGATTCCATTGTTCGGAACTTTTCCTTGAGGGAATCCAGATCCTCCTTCAGAGCGACTTGCATCCACACCAGGCCAACGCAGGCCACGACATAGGCGGCAAGGACGGTCATCCCTTTTTAATATAGGGAACAGCAGATGAAAAAGTCGTGGCTATGAAGACAAGTTCACATCTCATTGCATCTATTTATTAACTATGTGACTTTGGACAGTTTACTTACTTTCTTTGAGAGTCTTCATCTGCTAAATGGACCTACAGAAGTTCTTTCCCTCTCCACCTCAGTTTTCTTCTAGCAGTTTCTTAGACATGGAGACACTGGGTTGCCAGCTAGAACCATCTGCCCTGGTTTTTTTCCATCTAGTTAACACACAAACTTTCAGCAGCTGTTAATGAACTATGAGTTTGGTAGTCAGTGGTGTTATGACCTAAGTATGTTTTCATTTGCCACTTTAGGTAGCAATTCGAGGACTTTCTTCAAGGTCTTTTTTTTTTTTTCATATGTTATCTCCAAAACTTTCATTTTAAAGTGCTTGTTGCCCTCTGGGGAAGTCACTAGTGGATGTAGGTGCTGCCGCTGCTTGGTCTGAGGAAGGGAGTGGGGGAGATAACAACTCGAGTATTATCAGACTTCATGTCTCCAAGTAGGTGCCGTAGACTGTAGCCACTGGAAAATGTCTTAGAGCTCCATCCAGGTCAGTCTCCTCCCTGTGAGGGATCTTTTCTACAGCCTCTTTGCCAGAAGACTTTCTGTCAGGTCCTTGCTTGAGTATACCTAAGGATGAGGAAACTGCTTCTCAGGTATCCTGTTCCACTGTGGAGTCATTCACGTTCTTAGAATGTTTCTCCTTCCATTGAGCTTAACATTTCTCCTTTGCATCCTGGTTTTAATCTCGTACTGCTGAGCACAAGTCTTTTTCCTCTTTTTTTTTTCTTCTTTTTTGGCTGTGATGGGTATTTTTGTTGAAGTGTGCAGGGGCTTCTCTCTAGTTGTGATACTCAGGCTTCTCTTAATTGCTGAGCCCAGGCTCTAGAGGTCACAGGCTTCAGTAATTACAGCATTTGGGATCTTAGTTCCCTCACCAGGGATCACATTGGAACGTGGATTCTTAACCATTGGACACCAGGGAAGCCCTCCTCTTCTGTGTATTAAAGACCTTTTAAATATTATATGTGAGCAGCAGGCTTGAAAAAGCACTGAGCTCCATGCCAAAAGAACTGTGTTCTTGGACTTTCGACATTCCAGGGAACTTGCAACCAGTCTGAACAAGATGATTAGTAAAGCTAATCTCCATCAGCTTTATAGAACATGTTTTCCAGCACTCAAGTTTTTCAAAGCCTTTCTTTTAAAATATGGCTTCCTGAATGGCACACAGTATTCTGGACACGACTGATCACCTAAGATAGTGGGATTATTATTTCCTAGATCTCTATGTTCTGCATCTTGGTCATGAACAAGATTTGGGCCTACAGCTCTGCACCTAATAGAAAATAGACTATTTGTAAAAAAATAATATTAATACTGATTTCTTACGGGGTCATCTTATTTGATCCTGAGTATCCTACGTAGTAGCTAGAACAAGTATATCTCAAAGCACAGAGTTACCACTGAAACCTAATCAAAATCTCTCACATATGTAAGTGTATACAAAGTCCCTATGTGCATGCTCAGTCGCTCACTCATGTCCAACTCTTTGCAACCCATGGACTGCAGCCCGCCAGACTCCTCTGTCCATGGAATTTTCCAGGTAAGTATACTGGAGTTGGTTGCCATTTCCTACTCCAGAGGATCTTCCCAACACAGGGATCAGACCCATGTATCCTACATTGATTGGTAGGTGGATTCTTGACCACTCTGCCACGTGGGGAGTACAAAGTCCCTATACGCATTTGATCAATATAATGATCTTACAATGTGGCTAGCAGTAGAGAGGGTTCCAGGTACTTTGGGGAGAGGTCTGTGGAGGAAGGGGTATGGATGAGTATGAGCTCCCAGAAGAAGTTGGGTTAACCAGTTACCCCTACTCCCCCTTCCAGCACAACATGCCCTTCTGGAGGATCACAAACCACGGAGACCTGGTGTCCCTCCACCAGGCTTTGGAGCTTGATTTTCTCTAAAAACTGGAATGAAGAGCCTTCCCCATGAGCTCCTTTTCACTCCTTGAAGGGAGCTGGAGACCGGAACCAACTGGGAACTCTCTCTCCCTTTCTCCTTGTAATGCTGGCGAGAACACAATCAATACCAACAGCTGCAAGAGATGAAGCTGATTTTTGCTATGCGTGAGCTGCAGCCCCGTGTTCATCCTCGCACAGGAGTGGGAGATAGTTGGATTGAGAGAACAATAGACTCACCGCAGCTACAGTGCTTTTAATTCTTCTGGTTTTTGTTTTATTTTGATTCAAAAAAAATGAAGAAAAAGAAAAGGAAATCCTTGGGGCAGAGTTGCACTCTGCGTCCATGACCAGATTGAGAACTGCTACTAACATGTGGTGATAGGATAAACGCAGCAGACTTTTACAATAACATCTCTTGCAGTCTTTGTAATCTCCTTAGCTGTAGAACATACTCCCAGTGAATGTATATGTTATTTTTATAGGTAAGGGTCTGGTCTCTCTGAAGCAGATTCCCCGCCCCCTTTCTTTTTCTAGCAAGAAAGGGGTGTATCCAGTTTCCTTGGAAAATCGTAACTGAGATATCTGAGATACCTCTCTGCGACAGCACCTCCTCGGCTGCTCCAGCGGTCTGCTCTCGAGGGTGGGCTCCTTCTCACTCTTCCACCTCTAGTTGGCTGAGCTGTGGGGCCTGGGACACTGATTAATTTTAGACTTTGCTGTTTCCCATCCTAGAAGCCTTAGTCCCCTTCCCAGTCCCTCTCCCCTTTTGACCAAATGGCACAACCCTGGAAACTCTTATTAGTAAATTTTAAGCCTTCAGCTTGACTCTTAGTCAAAGCTGACAGGGGCTTACCTTCAAACTGGAGAGAAGACCTAAGGCTTCTTAGGAATTTCCACTTCTTTGGCCCTTGAAACAGGAAGATTCCACCTTTTTCTCCTGCAGAGAGGTGCCCTTCCCCAACAGAGGCCACCCCCACTGCCCCTCCCCGCTCTTAGTCATCAGTGCCGGGCTCTTCCCCTCTCTGCACCTCATGTCCACCCCCACACAGCTCTGGTCAGTCCCCAGGCTTTGGACCCAAGTAGTCAAATCAAGTCTGAGAAAAGGCTCATAACCACATTTTGGCCAAGGGATTTGACTTCATGCTCTGAATCCTTTAAGCCCTATGAGTGGTGTTCTGGGCATGTATTTACCCAGATCTCGGCCTGAAACTGAAGACAAGATGGTTGTGATCAAAGGCCAATTTTCCCATGGGATCTGCTTCCCACTTCCCAAGTCCCTTTCTAAAATGGGAAACTCGAAAGCCAGAAAGACGCCCCTGATTTAAATGAGGTGGTAGATCCCCTATGCCATGCCTGAAAACTCAACCGTGGGCCAAATGCAGGAACATCTCCCAACCTGACCTCTGGGAAGTTGGGTGGGTGCCTAGGCAGGAGTGGCAACCTTCAGTCCAGCTGTGTTTGTGGATGCCCCAGCCTCCACGAGCAACCTGGGCACATGCTCAGGCCGCATAAACTTCCTTAGAGCTGAGGAAGTTCAGCCTCTCCCAGGTTGCACGGAGAGAGGTGATTTTATAAGCACCTCAGAGAGATGCATTCTGGGTCCTGAGCAGGCGGCGTCCTCGACCAACCACAGCCATCACTGCTTACACGCAGAGGTTCAGCGTATCCACTTGGTGATGCCCCCAGCACAAAAGGGGCCAGATTCCCTCTAGTGCCAGATCACCCAGAGAAAGGCTGGTGTACACATTCCTTCAGAATGGACTGAGAAAGTGTTTCATAACTCAGTTGCAAGGAAGAGGTGTTTGGAGAGGAGCTCAAATCAGTGCTCGTCACAGAGCTGCCTCTTCAGCCTGTTTCCTTTGGACGGGGGAGGATATATCGTCTGAGGTGGATCTTCTTGGTCCGAGTTCACCATAGTTGCCCAGATGCTGTTCTGTCTTGCTTGATAATTGATCTTAGCGTGCTCTAGGCTGCATGGTGGATCTTTACTTCCAGGCCCCACCACACCCACCCCATCCTGGCAGGAGAGCTGTCGGCTTCCTGCCCTGCACATAGGCCACCCGGTTGGTGCTGTGCTTCAGGCTGGTGAGACTGCAGAGCGGTCCACACATCATGCACACAAGTACACACACTCACACACTTTCCTCTCCTTCTCTGCTGGGAGCTCTTTATTCCTAGAATATGACTTGGGACTCCTTTTTCAATGGCCTTTTCCCTCCTGCTCTGACTGCGCAGCTTAGGCCATTGCAAAAGCAACTTGAAGCTGGCTCAGAGAGGTGAGGACGCTCCCTGGGCAGTGCCGTCTTTGCTCTTTTCTGGTAGTTCAGAGGGCAGACAGAAAACGGGAGCTTCCTGGCTCCTCTTTGCCAAAATGAATCGTCCAGGGAACCCAGTGCCCTACAGTGAGCCTGCTTTCCTCCTCCAGGGCGCAGAGATCCAGAGGAGAACAAGCGGGCAGCACAGCAAGCTCTTGGAGGCTGAGGTCCAAAGCATACTATGGGTCTTTTTCATCAAGGGGGAAGCCCTCTTTACTAGAAAGAGTCTCCACCCACCCGATGAGTCCTTTTCCCAGCTGGGCACTGAGGGTTCTATAAGATGGGTCTGCACGTTCCATGGTGAGAGCTGGGCCATCTCTAGTAAGGGATCTGGAATTGTCAGCCGTGTCCCGGGTCTAAGAGGTGGTTTTCCTTTCGAATGTAAAACTGACTGTGCCTTAGCATCACCCTATCCGGTGCCCCTGGGGCAGCAGGTGGTGGCCAGGAGAGTGGATGCCTGCTCCAGATCTAGATGCCTAGTGGGGCTTCTATTTGGTTTGGGGTATTTCTGTCTTCTGCTCTGCAACTGGGGGGAGCAAAGCTAGTGTCCCAGGAGACTTTGTGCCACAGCTTGTTCGCAGTTTACACAAACTTGTTCATGTTAAAGCTCCAAGCAGAATCTGATGGGCCAACTCTAGCTGCAGCGTATGGAGCTTCTGAATGTTGACTACCTTGAATGGGTGTCCGTGCCACTGAACCAACGAGGAGAAGGGGCTAAGAGGTGGAGCCACACACTCCTTCTTCCTAGGGGAGCGATGGTTGAAGCCATGGGGTGGTGAGCTTCAGGCCTTCCTCTCCTTGCTCCTGCAGAAGGGGGCATTAGGACCCCTCTTAAGCCAAGCTTCTATTTCTCACCACTAAATCAGTTTCCTTTTACATTCAAAAGTTGAAACTCCCCAAATATTCAAGCTGTAGAAGCCAAATCGAAATTCTTAGATTTTGAAATATCTTAAGATAACCACGAGAGAACGTCTAATTCTGGCTCACCTCTGATCAAAAGGCCCTGTCCCTTCCTTTCCCGAGTCAGACAGCTCCAACACACAAGGTTACTTGGCTAGTTTCTAATGCACTGATGGGAGCCATCCCATTAAGGACGACTTCTACTCGAAACATGACCCTCTGGACTTCAGGTGCCTCATTTATCAGGTAAAGGTGTTGATTGGATATATTTATGTGACTGCGGGCATTTGTGGCTGTCGAGTCCTTGACCATAATGTTATATGTAATGGGAACTATCTTATAAACTTGAAAAAATAAAGTTTTTATTTTCTATATGGTTTGCTCCTGTGTCTTTTCTAAGTAGGATCAGCCCAGTTGCCTAGCTGAGTAGGCTCCTGAGTTGGGCTTCAAAAAAAATCTGCAGCGCTCATTAGAAAGATGGCACCCTCTCAATAATTTAATCATTATTTTCACCAAAAAAAACCAAAATTAGCCATTCAATACAGATAAGTGAGAAAATAAATATTTTAAAATAATTTTCAAGGGAAAGTTTCTCTCAATTGTTCCTAAAAATACTGCTTTTCAAAGTTTAGAACTGGAATGCCAAGAGATTTCATTTGCTGTCAAATGTGCTGAAATTTAATTACTAAGAAATCAATACCTTGCTTTGCTGAGCTTAAAATGCAAAAGCAATAAAGCCAACAGATTGATATCAAACTGTTTGATTGGCTTGTTTTCATGTTACATTAGCTACTTTTTCTCTTTTCATTTTTTTAGATTTGAGTCTGACTTTTCATTGGTCTGGAAAACTAGTCCTTTTGCCTTTTATTCCAAATAAGATTAGAATTGGATTCTAGCTTCCAAATACCATCTATGTCAGACTATAAGATATGTTTTTCCCCAAATAAATTCCCCCAGAGAAGAGGAGGTTGCCTTGTATACTGGGGCATTAAATCTTTTGCTGAGAAGGTGCATATTTTGAGCCACATTGTGTAGTTGAAGCAAACTGGTTCATTGGTCAGAAGTACATCAAAGTATCAATTACCTTTTGAGCCCAAACAGTAAAACATCTCCTCCTCTTCCAAAAGGTGTAATATCTGCACATTTCTCAAGAACCTTTCCAGTGGCAAGTTAAAATGAGCAAATCAAGAGCTGCTTTATTCAAAAATAAGTTTCTTAACATTAAAAAAAAATAGTCTTCAAAAGAAATTTTTAATTGCAAGTAATATCAATGTCATGTTTTAAAAATTCTTGATTCTGTAAACTTAGTTACAAATGAAACTCCTTGACTCCACAGCTTTTTAAGCTACAGACCTATTAGCTTCATTTGACAGTTTCATCTAAAGGGAGTCTATGTAGATGAGAGCTTAGCCGAGATGATCTCCCTGAGCCTAGTCTTTTCCACATATCACAGGAAGAAGCAGAGAAAATAAATGTAGCAAGTATTTCTATTTTACTGACGTATAATTGATAGCAAGTATTAGTTTGAGTGGACTCCTAAAGAACCTCTTATGTTTGTGGCTAGGTTGGCCACTAAGACCAGGGATTTCTAAAGGTCAAGTCTGCCCTCTTGAGGTCTCAGCCCTTGATGTTCCCTATGAATTGAGAAGAAAAATAATTTTGCTTTTGTGTGTGTGTTTAAATATATTCAATTAAAAGAATGATATTTTTTTGAAGTTATGTATCCTTTCATAAGATGATACAGATAATAGATGGTGGTAGTTTTTACTGCCCTTTTATATATGTATATATATATATATACATATATACATAATACATGGTATTTTTAAAATATTTTATTATTTCTTATTTATTTGGCTGTGCCAGGTCTTAGTTGCAGTGTGAGGGATCTTTGATTTTCATTGCGGCATGTGGGGTCTAGATCCCTGACCACAGATTGAACCCAGGCAGGCCCTCTGTAGCCACAGGACCACTAGAGAAGTCCTTACTACCCTTTTTTATAAAAATTAACTTGGCAAACATGTTGGCCATTTTGCTGGTTCATGAAATTCAGATGTCTGGAAATCATTGAACTAAGTGATCCTGGAGATGCTTTCTACCTCTACCATTCTGTGTATGTAGAAAGCACCAGCATCATCTTCCCAGAGCCTCTCGGCTTCTAGCCGTCATCTCTGTCAGCCTTGGCCCTAGGCCAGCATGACTGCTACCAGCCCTCCCTCATCCAGGCACTGCTGACTTGGCATCTGGGATGAAGCACATGTGCATGGCTCCCACCCTCACCTCCTTTCGAGCTCATCAGTTTCTCAGGGAGGCCTTCCCAGCCATTCTGTATAGAATTATATCAATAACTCCCACCCCTAACACATACTTCCCTGATCTTATTTTTCTTTCAGCACTTTACACTAGCTGATACACACTTGCTCTGTTTGTGTCTCCACCAGATGAATGAATAATAGACTCTCCTGGGTCCCCTCCCAGTGGTGATGAACCTTTCCTTCTTTCTCCAGCGCCCTTTTCCTGCTCCTTGTTTCTCCAAACCACAGCCCTCCCAGAATAGCAAAAAGTTCCACCTCCCCAACACTATAGCCCATATCCACATCCCCTGTCACCACTACCACGCTCCTACTGAGCTCCCAGCAAAAAGGCCTTTCTTCATCTGTGCTCCTGTATTTACTTCCTGGTACCAAGTGTTGTGGCCACTCCCCTAGGCCCAGCAGCAGAGCTGGTTAAGAGCACACCTAGAGTCAGCCCAGATCTGGGTTCTGACGCTCACGTGAGTGGTCATCCCCACATTGGCTCACCAGCTCTTGATGCTCAGAAAACAAGTGGAGAAGTCTTAGCTCAGCCAACCCGCTTCTCTGGTCCCAAGGGCTTTGCCAACTTTGAGAGGTGGATTATGTGTCCCTGACCCCTTTTTTCCAGGCAGCTTTGAACTTGGCAGTAGATTCAATGACACCATAAGGCTGGAAGATACCATGAGGTTTTAATAATAATCTAATAACACTGTTTAACAAAAACACCATACGTGTGTCTCACAGAGACATAGAAACACATACCTCTTCCTCCCACACAGACCCTGAGGTAGAAAAGAACACCGCCTGAAGTATAAAAAAATACTCAACAGGCTGAGCCATGGCCCAGACCACAGGTTCACAAGGCACTTGGCTGAAAGGTTGCCCCTTGAGAGCAGGGCAGAGGCTGGGCCAGCTGCACCCCAGGCAACTGCGCACCCCTGGCTTCTAGCATGAAAGCCTGTTCTGGGGCAGCTGGAGAGGCTAAGAGCTGAAACTGGGATGGCAGCTGATCTGCCAAGAACAGAATGATGCTCCTGGCACGTAAAAGGCCTTTGGTAAGCATCTTGTGAATGAATTGAATGACTGGAGGGGGACAATTCCAAAGAATACATCCTGGAGGTTCTGGGGACTTTCAGCCCCGGGCAGGGCAACCAAGGGTGAAACAGCACCTCCACCAGTTATTTCAGAGGTAGCCAAGGAGGTAAAAGTGCCAACACTGGGATGCTTTGGCGTATGTGGGTGGAGGAAGAGTGCAGTGGAGGCTCTTCTTTCCTCCCAAAGTGTTTCATAGATAACTGGGGCCCTCGACCCAGCAGGGCCCAGCCCTTCTCATCTAGTTCTCCTCCTTGATGGCGGGCCTCTGTCTTAACTCTGGTCTCCAGTACCTGGCACAGATCAGGCATCAAGGGCTCATTGAGTGAATCGAGGCCCATAGCAGCATTAGTAGCTTATCTTCATCCTACCAACCAATTCCACCTGGCCTCGAGTCCCCCTGGCTGGGTCTGACCCTGCCTCAAAGGACACCATTCACCTCTCCCTTCCATGGTAATACAGCTTCATCCCTTGCCTTGGGGAAAAAGTTCTTAGCCAGCTGGGCCATGCGTCTGTTCTGCGGGAGCTGACACTCCTCAAGGGAGCGGAGACCCCTGGTCCCGTCCACCTGGTCGGGCTCCCAGCGGCGGCTAGGGTGCAGCCAGCAGTAGTAGGCCAGCCGCAGAGCCAGCCCCAGAAGGAAGCAGACCCCGGCTGCAGGCAGCAGGCTCTGCAGCAGGTGCCCGCTGGGCAGCCAGGCACTCTGAGTCGCCCAGGCCACCACCAGGAGAAGGCTGTCGTGAAGCAAGAACACCAGGTGGATGGTGGCACGGCCTCGCGTGTGGCCCTCCGCCACATTGAACCAGGAGAAATACAGGATGGTGGCCATGGTCGCCCGGTACAGCCACTCAGAGTGGGGACCTGGCATGAAGTCCGTGCCCTGCAGCCAGACCCAGAAGAGGAACACCAGCCACAGACCCAAGAAGTGCAGGGCCACGTAGCGGGGGAAGAGGGCTGCGAAGAGGGCCACGACCAGCACCCGGGGCCACAGCAGCAGCAGGTTCCACAGGAAGTAGATCACGGAGGCGCCCAGTCCCAGGAGAGGCTTGGAGGGGAGGCAGGTGCGCAAGGCCCGGTGGTAGTCGAGCAGTGCCCACGAGATACCCACAAAGGACGTACAGATGCTGACCCCTGTGAAGAAGAGGAGACAGGTGAGCCCTGCGGCAGCCGGCAGGCGCCCCCCCCGAGGCGGTGGTGCTGCTGCCACGTGCAGTGGGGATTAGAGCTCCCAGTTTGTTGAAAAGTACAGCTGGAGCACAGTTAGTTCACACAACCCTACCAGAGCTTCCATCCACATGGAGGCTGTCCTTCACCACAGACCTTTCAAGCGCTACTCCTGTTACATTTTTCAAGGATGAGACTGTGTGACTTAACACTCTCATCAGCACTGATCACCCAGCATCGGGTACCCCCTGGGCCTTGGCCCCACCCTGAGCACATTTTGAAATCCTTCCTTTCCTTGAAGAGTCCATGCCTTTCTTGAATTTGAACCCCAGCAGTCCAGTTCCCCTTTCTTTAACCTCAGAAAGGGAAGCGGGAAATCCCACAGGGTGACGACCAGCCTCTAGCTGAAGCCGCCTCCTGGGAGCCAGGAGGGATGTCCCTGCTATGCGGCTGGAACAGCCCCTACTCCCCTCCGTTCCACCCTCGGATTGGGCCCGGGTTTTGATTTTCCAAGACATCCACCTCCCACCTCCTGGTTGCCCATCCTAGACTAGAAGCACCAGGCCCTCCAAGGAGGGCTGGAAGCATCTCTAGACAGCTTCCTCCCTGCCCCCTTCCTACCTCATTTGGACAACAGATGTTCTCTGGGAATCTGCTGTGGGTCAGGAACCCACTCCCAGCCTGGAATGAGCTCTGTGGCCTAACTACCCCACACTCAGGGTCTCTGCAGGCCTGATGTTCCTCCAGCTGCCCCACGTGCGGCATTCTCTGACCTGGCAAGCTGTGCCCTTGGTTATTAGGGAGACCCACCCTGTTTCCTCTGGCCTACTCCTCCTTACCCTGCAACTTCTGGCTTGAATATCCCCTAGAGTCACCCATCCTGACGCCATCCCACCCCACTGCACCGTGCAGGTCCTATAACACCCCCTCTCTGTCTGGAGTCTTATTTCCTTATCTCTGAGCTCCTTCAGAGTAGAAAACAGATTCTGCCCCCCAGGGATCCCTCAGCAGCCTAGTAGCTGGCATATAGCAGCAGCTGAAGAAATGTTTGCTAAACAAAAGTTGGGAAAATCCATTTCTCCCCTCAGTTTCCCATCCCCACCGGTCCATACATACAGGGCAGATGGTCTCCACTTAGCCCCAGTCCTGGATACCCACTGGCCTCAAATAGACAAAAACACAGCCACCCCTCAGAATCCACAAGGGATCGGTTCCCAAAATTCACGGGTGCTCAAGTCCCTAATATAAAATGGGGTTATAGGGTCGGCCCTCTGAATCTGCAGGTACAGAACCCACAGAGAGGGCTGACAGTATGTGCCCAATGAATGCTGTGTGTCCCAGGGTGAATCACTTCACCTTTTGGCACCTCTGCTGTCATGTAAAATGGAGATAAATGCAGCACCCACCTAGAGGGTGCTGTGGACTGTAACAATGATGACATAGCACTTTGCACAGTGCTACTACCAGCAGGGGCGCGATCGTGACAGCTGCTACTACTGTTTTTCCCCAATTAATATTGCAGAACCAGATGAACAAACGGAAAGCCCTTGAAGATGGAGTCCAACTCCCCAACTTGTATGACCGTGGAAACTGAGGCCAGAGAAGGAAAGACTCTCCAAGTCCCGCAGCGAGGGGTGGCAGAGCTGGAACTGGTTCCCCGGGAGGCTGTGCCAGTTACAGCTGCAGGTGTGCGAGGGTGGAGACTGGAAAGCAGAGATCCTGAATCAGATGTGAGCTGGAGTCCTAACTTGGCTGCGAGCTGGCGTATGACCTTGGGCAACTCATTTCCCTAAAGCCCACTCAAAGTTGCTCATTGCACAAATCTCTCCTGTGGTTTATGAAGCCACCTGCCTTCCTCCTTCTCAGATCACTCCACTGGCTTTAATGTAACTGCATGCTTTACAGTCTGTGGTCCTGGCAGGCCAGGGGCTTTGTCTGTCTGCTTATTCACTGTGGTGTCCCTATCACAGGGACAGGCACAGAGGTGCTCCATAGAGACTTAAGTGTACAAAGGTGCTCAATAATTTCTCTGTTGATTAACAGATTCCTTATTAGACATTAGGCACCCAGCATACTTTATCTGTTATGTTCAAACTAGTAAAAATTATATTGTAGACTTATTAGGCACTAGGCCCTATATGCATCACTTCACTTAAAAACTTTTCATTTGCTTTATGAGGAAGGATCATCGACTATGTCCATTTTACAGATGAGAACAATAGCTCAGAGAGGTAGAGTCCTCTTTGTCCAAACTCAAGGCTGGAGCATGACTTTGGATTGGACCCCAAACCTGCCTCGCTAAAGGACATTCCTCTGTTTTCTAAACAGCATTTATGAAAAAGAGAAAACCTTTCTGACATTCATGGGCAACTTTCCCAAGGCGTGAAGGTGCGGCGCGGGGGTGGCTGGCCTTGGGCCCGACACTCACACTGGTAGTACTCGGCGCTGCCACTCTGCAGTATGATGGCCAGCACCAGGGTGAGCTGCGGCGTCGTCTCCAGGAAGGTCTCGAAGAGTCGCAGCATGCTGATATCCAGGGAGAGGAAGTCGGCGTAGGCCAGGTCGAATTCGGAGGGGACCTCCTGCCGCCACACCAGCAGCCCCTGATGCAGCCCCTGCACGCATCTAGGTAGCACACGTGATGCCCCAAGGGGCCCGGTTAGCATCCAGTGGCATTCTTCCTTCCCTCCCCACTGAGCAGATGCAGACGGGCTCCAATCCTGGCTTGTCATGTACACACAATGGGACCTTGGGCAAGTGACTTAACCTCACTGAACTTGCTTCTTCATCTGTGAAATGGGGATAGATTACAGCTCCTGCAGTAGCTACCATTCCAAGCTCATCACTAACCTTGTCCCACTTCCTCCTTTACAACATCCCCGTTTTACAGATGGGGAAACAGGATCAAAGAGCGAATGAACAGTGGAAACAGGATTTGGACTCCAAGCTGTCTGAATTTGAAAGATGTACTATGAAAATGCCTAAAGTAATCCTTCTCAAATTTCAGCAAGCCTAAGAATTTCTTAGGATCCTGTGGGGAAGGGGAGCCATGGAGAGTTTCTGAGCACAGACAAGACAGGTCCTACTGTGCTATAGAAAGAGCACCCAGGAATCCATGGGAGAGGCCTGCCCAGAGTGATGGAAGCAGAAATGGGGCAGAGTTAAGAGGGTCCAGAGAGGTCTTCCCTGGTGGTCCAGGGGCTAAGAATCCGCCTGCCAATGCAGGGGATACAGGTTCGATACCTGGTCCCAGGGAAGATGCCACGTGCCTTGGGGCAACTAAGCCCATGCCCTGCAATTACTGAAGCCTGTTTGCCTAGAGCCCATGCTCCACAAGAGAAGCCACTGCAATGAGAAGACTGTGCACCGCAACAAAGATCAGTCCCTGCTTGCTGCAACTAGAGAAAACCCACACAGCAAGGAAGGCCCAGCATAGCCAAAAATAAATAAAAAATTTTTAAACGAGAGAGATGGTCCAGAGGTTGGACAGACAGACCTGAGTGACCCTTTGGCCTAAGGGAACAGTGGAGGATGCACCAGGATCTCGCCTGCCCAGAACCGATCTCAGTTGGCTCTTGGGAGGTGAACCCACTCACTCATTTCGAATTCATTCATTAGACATTTACCCTCACTTCCCCTAGATGGTCTTGACAACATGCTAAGAGAACAGACAGGCACACCCAGATTGGGGGTTGTTCCTCAGTGCCCTGGCAGAGGCAGAGGCCTAGTCACAGGCTGGCACAGAGACCCTGTTTTCTCAAGCAAAGCTCAATACAGTCTGTCCGACTCATGCTCAGCAAAAATAGAAGAGATATGATGCAGTTATCGATTCAGGGCTCATTGCAGGCTGCCAGGACTATAATATCTGTGCCCCCTTGTGTTCATTCGGGGTGTTATTGATGCCTGGCCAGTCCCTCAGGCGAAACTGCAACATTCAAAGCTCCTCCCGCCCACTCCTGGAGACTCAAGGCAAGATCTGGAAAGAATCTGTAACCATGGATTCCAAAGTGGGTCCTGGTTCCGTCCAGACCATCCCAACCCAGATCACATGGTGTCCTGACTTTGTCGCATGACTCTGACCCCTTCGTTTCACTTTCCCCATCTCCAGATGGTCCTGCCACTTCTGAAAAGAAGCACAGCCCACACAGATTTTGCAGGCTTCCCCCGTCCACCCCCTGCCCCAACCCCTGCATCCAAGCCCTGTCTGGCTCCAGGAACATGCATGAGTCAGACCCCATCTCTGCCCTCTTGCTGGGTCCTGGGGGTGAGGGGGTGAGGTGGGGAGCAAGTGCTCATGGAGAAGGCAGCTGGGGAAGATAAGGCGAGGGACACTGGCCGTGAGGGACCAAGCGCTGCCCTGGGGGTCAGGGCTGCTCAGACTGCAAGGTGACCCAGCTAGCTGATCAGGAGGTGAGCTGACGCTGCTGCTCACCCTGCACGGGCGCAATTCACAGGTCTCGTTCCACTTAGTCCTTACACTGGGAGCCTCTGGTACACTGAATAAACTGACATCTGGAGGGGAAACTAGGGGCTCCGCCCACAGCTAAAAAGAACTGCTGGGACCCGTGGCCAATAGAACAGAGTCCGCCCGACCAGGAGCTGCGCCCTTCACAGCGGGGTTTGCCCGCCACACCCACCTCCGGATGACAACCTTCTTTTAACATAGGAGGGAACTGAGGCTCGGAAAAAGCCTGGAAGGAGGCCAGGAGTGGATCCCAAAGGGCCTGACTCCAGGTCGTGTGCCTCAGTTTCCTCTCTAGGTCCCCGTTTCTTCACTTGTGCCAGGAAGCTCGAGTGATGAGCTCTGAGGGCCGTCAGCCGGATTGGTTCTTCATCAGGGGCCAGGAGTTCACCTGGTGGGAGAGGCGCCCTCTAAACTAGGAGGGGCTTAGTTTCCTCTCCTGGGTCGCAGTCCTTTCCTCTCCTGCCCCCGCGTCCCAGAGTCAGCCCAGCAGCAAGGTGACGTGACCTCCGTTCCCCCGTCTCTCTCCCCAGGGGCGGGGCGCTCACCTGTACAGGTAGCCCAGCTGGAGGAGATGCAACAGCGCCAGGTACCGGCCAGGGGGCTTCGGCGCGAGCGGGATGGAGACGTCGGAGCGCAGCCAGACCCAGCTGAAGAGCTGCAGCGCGACCGAGGCGAGGCCCAACAGCGCCAGCACCAGCGCGGCCCACAGGTAGCGACCGCTGAGCACATACTGGCTCGCGGCCCACACATCGGCGCCCAGGTCGATCAGGAAGGCGAGGGTGCCCAATATTCCAAGGACTAGGTCCCTTAAGAGCACGGCGCGGGGCGACCAGGGCATGACCCGCGAGCCTCTCCCCTCTCTATTCGTCTGGGCTCAGGCCCGCCCTCCCGGCCCAGGGTCGCACCCGGCCCAGACGCGCAGTGGCAGGAAGGAGGCGTGCACAGCCCTCGGGGCCGCCCAGGACCGGACCGCTGGGCGGGACTTCCCCGTCCCGCCCCGTCCGGGGAGGAGCGAGGCCCGCAGACCCCGCGGTTGGGGCACGCACGGTCTCAGAGCTCTCTGGCCAGACAGCCTGCCTAGGGGTTTGCGCCCCCCGCCCCCCCGCCTCCCACCTCCAAGCCCCGCTGGGCCCAGAGGGCCCCAAGGACCGCTAGGCCCGAAGACGCACCGTCCGAGGTGCAATGAAGCAGGCTTGTTTTACCCTGGAGGCCCAAGGCGGAGAATATGGCCCGCAGATGAGCGCCCGGGTTAGAACTGCGCTGTCTCACGTACGCACTGTTGCAAAACCAAACGCCAAAGCCCGATCCGATCCCTGACTGTATACCTCGAGGCCGGGCCATGTGTCAGGGGAGACCGAGGGTCAACCAGGCGCATCTTCCTGGCATCTCATTTTACTCGGATTATCCGAATAGGAGGAGGGAAGGATGTTCAATAACGGGGCAAGGGAGTTACTTTTATAAACATGATTTATAAATTAACATGCATGACGAGCAGAGTGTTTTGGATAAAACATGAAACGTGAAAGAAATGTGCTGTGGGACCCTCGGGGCTTCATTTCCTGATCGGCTGCCCAGTCCCAGTTCATTCTGCTGTCGCGGGGAGGGGAAAGGGTGGAAGAGTCCAGCTCTCAGGGGTGATGCTGCCTCCATTTTACCAAGCGCGTCGGCCGTTGGTTCCCCCAAGGTCAGGACAAGAGCAGCACGCGCAAGCCCAGCAGCGCCGCGGGCAGGAGCGCAAGGCAGGGCGCGGGCGCGACGCCGGGGGCGCGCAGGCAGGCCGCGTACCCGTCGAAGGCCACCTCGCGCAGCGCGCACACGTGCTCGGCGCGGCACGCTTCGTCGCAGGCGCGCGTGTCGTAACTGACCGAGTTGTAGACGTAGTAACGCTGCAACGCACCCTGGTCGCTAGCGATGCGGCCCAGTGCCGCATGCATGGAGCGGGCACCTGCATCCGGCACCCCGTAGGCCTCGGTCACCCGGTACTCGAGCTCCCAGCTTGGCGCGCCCAGCGCGTTCGCCTGGCTCAGGTTCAAGAAGTAGGTCACCATGTCCTACAGAGGGGGCGCGAGGCGGGCGGGCCGTGAGCAGCTGTCCGCTTCCGCCCCCAACCCTCCATCTTGCATTTGATCCCTGATTCTAACAGCCGTAATCAGGACCACGCTTAGTCAGCTTGGCTGACATCATCTGGTCCAGACTCCGGAGGTAACTGCATTATCATCTCCATTTCACAGATGAGGAAACTGAGTTCTAAAGAGGTTAATTCATTTGGCCAGGGTCTCACAGGTCCCTGAGCAGATTGGAACCCAGGTTGTTTCCTCCATGGCCTGTGTATTTTCTGTTCAAGCAAATTCCTGGGTGCACAGAAGATTCTCAGTAAGTATTTGCAGAAAGAACAGATAAAATGCAATCTAAAAGTAATGAAATGAAATGCCTGGCTGAGAGAGGTTGTAGAATTGTGTTTTGATGGAGGCTTGGGATGCACCCAAGACATCTAGAACTCAGGTGCATTTTCTAGACTAGAATGTGGAAGGGTTATCTGTCCAATACTTTCCACCTAAGTTTGAGGATCTGCTTCAGGTCAGGAGAGGTAGGGTAAGAGGGGCCGCCATGTATGGATGGCAACTTTCTGCTAGGCATCTGCATTACTTCATTGCACACCCACCTGCGGGCCAAGTGCCCATGTGGACAACAGACCAAACTCTTAAAAATCCTCAGCCTGCTTCTCCTCGAGAGTGAAGGACCTAGTATCTCAGGCAGTCCCTGGTTTTAAATGGTCTTTCTCAACACCAAGGTTAAATCTCTGCACCCACCTCTTTCTGGAACTCCTATTTGAGCATTCAGCTGCCTCCTCCCTTGGCATTTTCACTTGGATGCCATATAGACATCCCAAAGTTAACAGAAAAACCAAGTTTCTGATCTTCCCTCCAAAACCTGCTCCTCCTGCAGTGATCCTGTTTCAGTAAGTGGCAACCTCATCCTTCTAGGTGCTCCAGCCAAAGCCTTGGAGCCCTTGTTGCCTCCTCACTTTCTCTTCCACCCCTCATCCAGTCCACCAGCAAATCCTGTCCACTCTGCCTTCAAAATACACCCAGGACTTCCTTGGTGGTCCAGTGGCTAAGACTCCGTGCTCCCAATTAAGGGTCCCTGGGTTTGATCCCTGGTCAGGGAACTAGATCCTACATGCTGCAGCTGAGAGTTTCTTCCATGCCCCAACTAGAGATCCTGCATGCCACAGCTAAGACCTGACGTAGCCAAATAATAAAATTAATACTTTTAAAAATAAATCCATCCAGGATCTAGCTCTCCTCATGACCTGCTGCAGCCACCCTGGCTCATAGCACTGTCACCTCTCAGTGGTTGTAGTCACCTCCTCACTGATCCCCCTGTTTCCACCCTTGCCCCCTACAGCCTGTTCTTCACCCAGAATAGTGATTTTTTAAAAAAATTCCAGAGTCTTACTCACAGCCTATGTGACATGACCTCCACTGTGGCCCCGCAGGCCTTCTTGCCCCTCCCTGCCCAACACAGCCAGTACGTTCCTTCCTCCTCATTCCGCAGACACTCACGTGGCTCACTCCCTGATTTGACTCAGAGTTCAGATGTCACCCTATCAGTGACACTTCCTCACCCCATCTGTCTGACATATGCACGTGCCCCGAAACTGCCACTGCCTCCTCTCTCTTTTCTCCTTAGCACTGATTTCGCGCCGCACTTAACTTTACTGTGTTTGTTTATTGCCTGCCCCCCTCCGGTAAGGCTGCGGGAGAACCGTGCCTTTTGTTCACTTCTGTGTCCCCTGAGCTTAGCACAGGGCCTGGCACGTGGCAGGTGCTTAACACATTTTGTTGACTACATTAAGGAATCGTACTCCTTTGTCGTCTCTGTAGTCACCAGCACATCCCAGGAGGTGTGTGATTGCTCGATGAGTAGGGGCCTGCTTGGCTGCAGCCCAGTCAGTGTAGGGAAGACATGGACAGTGGGCCTGCGGTCACACTGTGAGACTGTGACTGCCAGGCCAAAGAGATACAACTTGTCTGGGGGGCGCTAGGGAGCCACTGAAGGTTTTTGAGCAGGAGAGAGACAAGAAGTACTTAAGAAAGATTAATCCCTTCTGCTCAGCTGTACCAGATGAGCTCCAGCGGGGCTGGCGGGAGGCAGGGAGACCAAGCAGGAGACCCTGACCATGATTGGGGCAAAGGGAGATTTGGGGGAGAATTGACCTGACCTGGTGGCAAGATTTGGAGGTAGCTCCAGGGTTCTAATGCTGAGCTCTCAAAAGGTGGGAGTAACTTAAACTTCCTGAGGCTCGGGTGGATTAGCTGGGGAAGGTGGTGATTCATTCAGGTCCCTCCCCCTCCTCCTGTGGCCCAAGCAGACCCAAGGCTCCTGACCTGCAGGCTCAGCGTAGCTCGGTCGTATTCAAACACCCGGATGCCTGGATTGTTGGCGCCGTTGACCACTCCAGGTAACGTGGTTTTCCACGGGGTGACCCCAGGTGTAAGGAACATGACACTGATGGGGGCACCTTCCAGGAGAGAGACAGTAGGACTGAGAGTTTGGTGACAGAGGGAGGGAAGTAGGCTGGCCACTGCCCTCCAGGGTGGGTACCTGCACTGTCGTAGAACATCCGAAAGCTGTCAGTGTGGTGGTGCCCGAAGAACTGCCCTGCGATGACTCGATGATGCCTCTGGACCACCTTCAGGTACTCCTCATTGAAGCCCTCCCGAAACCACGCTTTGTTCCGTGTCTTCTCAAAGAAGCCCGGGGGCACGTGGCCGATGATGTACACCTATGAAGAAGGGGTACCCAGTGGGGGTTCAGAGCTGCTTTCCCCAGCTCATCTCCACCTCTCACAGTCTGCCCATCTCCCCAAAAGCAAACAACAGGCTCCAAGGTACCTCCTCCCCTTTCCCTCTCCCAGGTAATTCCAGCATCTCTGCACACAGCAGTGAAGGTGCCGCAGGCTTCCCACCTCTGTGCCTTTGTCCATACTATGCCTGCCACCCAGTCCACCCTTCTCCTGTTCACTTCTGTAAATTCTGTTGTTACTGTTTAGTCGCTCAGTCGTGTCCAGCTCTTTGTGACCCCATAGACTCTGTAGTCCCCCAGGCTTCTCTGTCCGTGGGATTGCCCAGGCAAGAGTACTGGAGTGGGTTGCTATTTCCTCCTCTAGGGGGCCTTCCCGACCCAGGGATCCAACCTGTGTCTCCTGCATTGGCAGGCGGATTCTTTACCATTGAGCCATCTGGGAAAGTGAAAGTGAAAGTTGCTTAGTCATGTCTGACTCTTTGCAATGCCATGGACTATACAGTTCATGGAATTCTCCAGGGCAGAATACTGGAGTGGGTTGCCATTTCCTTCTCCAGGAGCCGTCTGGGAAGCCCTCTGTAAATGCTACCCATGCTTCAAAACCCTTCTCATGAAATCTTCCTGATCCTTCAGATGAGTGTTCTCCTGTTGGAGAGCTCAGGCACTGTAACCAAAACTTCCTTAGATGGTTTATAATGTCTGCTGTGTAGTGGTAACATGTTTTCACATCTTACATTCATTGAGTCACTCAGCTGTAATGACAGTGCCTGGGCCCTTGGCCCCATTGCGAGAGGCAGAATGGTGGGGTGGGGCAGTGGTGGCTGGTAAGGAGGGCAGTGAAGAGTGTGAGCTTTGGAGACAAACCACCATTGGATACCAGATGAGTATCACCTCTCTGAGCTTCAGTTTTCTCATCAGGAGAGCTACCTAACTGGTGCGGTTTTGAGAGTTCATATATCCATATAAAGCACTAGCAACTTATCTGATGTATGGTGAGGACTCAGAAGCACCAGCCATGAGATCCTGCCGGGATACACTGGCCAGAGTAGGGACTCAGGCAAATGAGACAGAAGGCCAGTCATCGGGTGCTGCCAGCCCAGTGGACTAGAGGGACACACCTCACAGCGGACGAAATGGACACACCTCAAGGGCAAGGCACATCTCTGAGGTCTAGCCCGCACTGTGGCTGCAGCTATGCTGGACTTGGCTTCTGGAGCCTCGGGTTCCAGTCTCAGTGAGTGCGTTACAGTCTCTCAGGCGTGTCCAACTCTTTGCGACCCCACGGACTGTAGCCTGCCAGGCTCCTCTGTCCATAGAGTTCTCCAGGCAGGAATACTGGAGTGGGGAGCCATTTCCTACTCCAGGGGATCTCAGCCCCACCACTCACTGTGAGACTTGAGACCGTCACTGCCCCATCGGGAGCCTCACCGCACAATGGTTCCCAGCCTCACAGGCTGTTGTGAGGATGGAAGAAGCCCTCTCAGGTGCCCAGCTGATGAAGGACCCTCTGTGACATGAGCATCTTGAGTGAGTGGGTGTGAGTCTGTGCCGAAGTGGGGGACTCATTCAGGAGGAGACCCCCGGGAAGGAGGAGAAGGAGCAGGGAGCCCTTACCATTTCCCCAGCCTGGGATGCACGGGTCAGCACGTCGTCCAGCCACTGGAACTGCTGGCTGGGGTCAGCCATGCCGGCCGTCTGCTCATTGTTGCTGTAGTACAGGTTGGTGTTGAGGACCACGATTCGCCCAGCCCCGCTCAGCCCCGGCAGTTTCTCAGAATAGAAGGCACCTAGGACATCACAGCCATGGGGGATCTGAAGGGGTCTCTTGCCTCCAAGCAGACACACCTCTGTCCCCTATTACTTCACTTGCCCATCTTCTCCTTCCTTGGCATCCCCCCTTCCCATCTTTCCCACAGGATGAGCATCGTGGGTAGGACCAAAGGCTCTGGAGCCAGGCTGCCTGGGTTCAAGTCCTGGTTCTATCCCTTACTACCTGTGCCACTTGGGGAAAATTCCTTAAGGTCTCGATGCCTCAGTTTCCTCCTCCATAGAATGGGAATAACATGGAGGTGTGTTTATCCCTCTGGATTCACTGTCAGCCCTTCTGCACTTAGCTCTCTGCCCCAGGAGCAGTGGATTAAATCAATGGGCTTCTGTGCTATTGAGGGAAGGAATGAGAGGAGGTCAGGTCCCCTTGGGATGCTGTGTCCCCCAAATCAGTGATCCTCAAACTGGTGATTTTGTCCCAAAGGGAACACTTGGCAATGTCTGGAGACATTTTTGGTTTTCACAATGGGAGATGTTACTTGCAACTAGTGGATAAAGGCCAGCAATGCTGCTGAACACCCTACAATGTACAGGACACCCCCACACACACACAAAGAATTACCCTGCCCCATATGTCAACAGTGGCAAGGTTCAGAAACCTGGCTTGAAATGAAGGTCACTGCCCCTACAAAGGTTTTTGTGAGGAATCTAGCAGTAGACAGGGCAGTGCCAGGCACACAGAAAATGCTCGAGGAATATTCACTTCTGATTCTGATTAGTGCTGTGTGGTTAAGAAGATGGGCATTGGGATCAGCCCTGGATCCTGCTCCTGAGGTTGCCTCTTCTTGTTGCCCTAATGGTCCAGGAGCGACAAGAATGAAGACAGAACACGAAAGCTGGGGCAATGGGTCAGGGGACCTGCAGCCTCTATTGGACTGAGGTGCAGAGTCCACTCTGAGTCCAGCTTTTATTCCTAACTGCAGACTGCAAGACTTTCTCAGATCTTATCTTTCTCGACACATGCCATATCAGTTGAAAGTGAAAGAAAGTGAAGTCACTCAGTCATGTCTGATTCTTTGTGACCCCATGAACTGTAGCCTACCAGGCTTGTCCATCCGTCCATGGGATTTTCCAGGCAAGAGTACTGGGGTGGGTTGCCATTTCCTTCTCCAGTATCAGTTACATACTCCTAAATAGCATGGACTACACTGACATAGACCAGATCTCCTTGTGTTTACCCTGGGCCGTTCACTCCCTTCTGGGCTAGTCTTGGGAACAACAAGTGCATAGGCAGAGTTCATGCCTGATGGCGACCCAGCGTTCCAAGGTCCATGCTTTTATGATCCCAGTCACAATCCCTTCTGGGTCTGGCCCTGGGGTTTTTAACAAGGCTATAATTCTAAGAAAGACATGAAAAATAATCATCAATATAGTTTCTTAATATATGCTATTTTTCCAGGTGCTATTTCTGTGAAATTTCTCAAGGCAGTGAGAGCACATTGTTAGGAATTCCTACTACATCCTCTCAGCTAGGTGACCTTGGCCAAGTGAGTTGGTATATTCAAGCCTCAGTCTCATAATCTATAAAATGGAGATAAAATCAGTTCCTATTTCATGGGGATGTTGTGAAAATGAAATTAGACCAGACTTTGGTATAAAGGGCTCCTTATAGTAGCAAATGATGTTAGTACCTTCTTTGAAGAAAGTGATGGATTCGTTACTGAGCCAGGGTCGCCACAGCTCTGCTACCTGGTTATAGATGTTGTTGCTCCCTGCGGGTAATTGGTTTTTGGGGTGAAAGTCATGATTTCCCAAAGCAGCGTAGACTTTAGTATCTGGGAGGAAAAAAAGAAATATAAAAATATATGGGGGACTTTCCTGGTGGTCCAGTGGCTAAGATTCCACGCTCCCAATGCAGAAGGCATTCGATCTCTGGTCAGGGACCTAGATTTCACATACCGCAACTAAAAAAATCCTTCATGCTGCAACTTAAGTTCCCACATTCTGCGATGAAGATCAAAGATCCCACATACTGCAACTAAGACCTAACACAGCCAAATAAAATCTGGAAACGCTGAGCTTTGCCAAAGGAGGAGGTCATAAAATTCCCATGAGGAATTGTGCACAAAGCCAGAAGTCATGACTATAACTGCCTGGGGAGAAAACCTCCTCTGTAGTATAGATGCAAGCAGACATAAGAATTCATTTAAGAGAAAACAGATCCCTGGAATCCCAAAGACAGATGAGAAGGGAGAGACCCTCTCCCAGTTTATAATCAGATAAGGTTGGGGGTCTCCAGAGAAACAGGACCAGACTTGGCTTTCTTGACCTAAGAGAAGCTATTTTTGCCCTAAGCCATTTTGGGATCTAAGCCTGGCCACAAGACTTGCCCTTGAAGAGATCTCAGTAATAAAGATCTTAAGGGAACAAAAGGACAGACACCGTTATCAGGGAAGAGAAGAAAAAAGTGAAAGTGAAGTTGCTCAGTCATGTCTGACTCTTTGCGACCCCGTGGACTGTAGCCTACCAGGCTCCTCCATCCATGGGATTCTCCAGGCAAGAATACTGGAGTGGATTACCATTTCCTTCTCCAAATAAAACCATTCCTATTAACAGAAAAAAAAAATACTTAAAAGGTGTTTAACTCTCTACTTTCAAAATAGGTTGTATACTTTTACACACCTAAAAGGCTAGATGTTTCAAATAAGGATTTAAGTTTGTCCACTATACATACACATAGTAGCACTGAACCCACTGCGTACAATGGTTATAGTCTCAAAGTATCATCTAAACAGGAACACTCTAGCCAAGGACCCTTCCTCTTCACTATCAACCCAGTGGACAAGTCTAATAAGGATCTATAATGCTTAGAGGGGATTTTAACAATTTCACTTCTGCTAGTTGTTTTCAGAAGTCTTGCCTATGAATTTTAACATCAAGTGTGCACAATGTATTTATTGGTTATTGTTGTCATACACTGGCAACCTCTTTAACATCTAGGAAGACTAGATGTTGTAAATTTGGACGTTTGTCCCTTATGTACACTATATACACAACTAAGTAAACCAAAATGCAGACACATACAGGACAATGGTTAACCTTGCCTAACATAAACATACTGGTATAACCCCCCCTTGTACTTTCTCCCTGAACCAGCACAAATAAAGTAATACGTACTGCTCTGAGAGGTGGTTTGATCATTCTGATCATTCCATTTCTAAATGAGTATTTCATATGAAACTTAACAAAAGGATATATCTACAAAATGTTATTTCATTACCTCTACTTTTAACATACTTTGTGCACTTCTAAACATCTAGAAAGACTAGATGTTTCAAATAAGGACTTAAGTTTGTCCACTATATACACAGTAGTGTTGAATAAACTACACACATGTAACAGTGGTTATACCTGAAGGTATCTTCTACAAAGGAACATTCTGGTCTAGAACCTTTCGTTCTAGAGAATAAGAAGAAGAAATAAGAGCAAGATAATGAATCAGTTGTAAAGACTTTTAGTTCTGCTTCAAAGGTAAAGACTAGCCTGAAGCACTTTCTTGAGCTATTTTACAGAATTTAACCCCTGCAATCTCAAAAACCACAGAATGATCTCTGTTCGTGTCCAGGGCAAACCATTCAATATCACGGTAATCCAAGTCTATGCCCCGACCAGTAATGCTGAAGAAGCTGAAGTTGAACGGTTCTATGAAGACCTAGAAGACCTTTTAGAACTAACACCCCAAAAAGATGTCCTTTTCATTATAAGGGACTAGAATGCAAAAGTAGGAAGTCAAGAAACACCTGGAGTAACAGGCAAATTTGGCCTTGGAGTACAGAATGAAGCAGAGCAAAGGCTAATAGAGTTTGCCAAGAGAACACACTGGGGAGGGGGGACCGGGATGGGGAATACATGTAAATCCATGGCTAATTCATTTCAATGTATGACAAAACCCACTGCAATGATGTAAAGTAATTAGCCTCCAACTAATAAAAATAAATAAAAAAAAAAAGAGAACACACCGGTCATAGCAAACACCCTCTTCCAACAACACAAGAGAAGACTCTACACATGGACATCACCAGATGGTCAACACCGAAATCAGATTGATTACAGTCTTTGCAGCCGAAGATGGAGAAGCTCTATACAGTCAGCAAAAACAAGACCGGGAGCTGGCTGTGGCTCAGGTCATGAATTCCTTATTGCCACATTCAGACTTAAATTGAAGAAAGTGGGGAAAACCGCTAGACCATACAGGTATGACCTAAATCAAATCCTTTATGATTATATAGTGGAAGTGAGAAATAGATTTAAGGGACTAGATCTGATAGACAGAGTGCCTGATGAACAAGGGACTCAGGTTCATGGCATTGCATAGGAGACAGGGATCAAGACCATCCCCAAGAAAAAGAAATGCAAAAAAGCAAAATGGCTGTCTGAGGAGGCCTTACAAATAGCTGTGAAAAGAAGAGAAGTGAAAAGCAAAGGAGAAAAGGAAAGATATACTCATTTGAATGCAGCGTTCCAAAGAATAGAAAAGAGAGATAAGAAAGCCTTCCTAGGATATCAATGCAAAGATATAGAGGAAGACAATAGAATGGGAAAGACTAGAGATCTCTTCAAGAAAATTAGAGATACAAAGAGAACATTTCATGCAAAGATGGACTCAATAAAGGACAGAAATGGTATGGACCTAACAGAAGCAGATGAGATTAAGAAGAGGTGGCAAAAATGCACAGAAGAACTGTACAAAAAAGATCTTCATGATCCAGATAATCAAGATGATGTGATCACTCACCTAGAGCCAGACATCCTGGAATGTGAAGTCAAGTGGGCTTTAGGAAGCATCACTATGAATAAAGCTAGTGGAGGTGATGGAATTCCAGTTGAGCTATTTCAAATCCTAAAAGATGATGCTGTGAAAGTGCTGCACTCAATATGTCAGCAAATTTGGAAAACTCAGCAATGTCCACAGGACTGGAAAAGGTCAGTTTTCATTCCAATCCCAAAGAAACGCAATGCCAAAGAATGCTCAAACTACTGCACAATTGCACTCATCTCACAGGCTAGTAAAGTAATGCTCAAAATTCTCAAGCCAGGCTTCAGCAATACGTGAACTGTGAACTTCCAGATGTTAAAGCTGGTTTTAGAAAAGGCAGAGGAACCAGAGATCAAATTGCCAACATCCACTGGATCATTGAAAAAGCAAGAGTTCCAGAAAAACATCTATTTCTGCTTTATTGACTATGCCAAAGCCTTTGACTGTGTGGATCACAATAAACTGGAAAATTCTGAAAGAGATGGGAATACCAGACCACCTGACCTGCCTCTTGAGAAACCTGTATGCAGGTCAGGAAGCAACAGTTAGAACTGGACATGGAACAACAGACTGGTTCCAAACAGGAAAAGGAGTACATCGAGGCTGTATATTGTCACCCTGCTTATTTAACTTATATGCAGAGAGAAATATATATCATGAGAAACGCTGGACTGGAAGAAGCACAAGCTGGAATCAAGATTGCCAGGAGAAATATCAATAACCTCAGATATCCAGATGACACCACCCTTATGGCGGAAAGTGAAGAACTAAAGAACCTCTTGATGAAAGTGAAACACTTGGCTTAAAACTCAACATTCAGAAAACTAAGATCATGGCATCCAGTCCCATCACTTCATGGCAAATAGATAGGGAAACAGTGGAAAGAGTGGCTGATTTTATTTTTGAGGGCTCCAAAATCACTGCAGATGGTGATTGCAGCCATGAAATTAAAAGACGCTTACTCCTTGGAAGGAAAGTTATGACCAACCTAGACAGCGTATTAAAAAGCAGAGACATTACTTTGCCAACAAAGGTCCATCTAGTCAAGGCTATGGTTTTTCCAGTGGTCATGTATGGATGTGAGAGGTGGACTATAAAGAAAGCTGAGTGCCGAAGAATAGATGATTTTGAACTGTGGTGTTGGAGAAGACTCTTCAGAGTCCCTTGGACTGCAAGGAGATCCAACCAGTCCATCCTAAAGGAAATCAGTCCTGAATATTCATTGGAAGGACTGATGCTGAAGCTGAAACTCCCAATATTTTGGCCAGCTGATTGGAAGAGCTGACTCATTTGAAAAGCCCCTGATGCTGGGACAGATTGAGGGCAGGAGGAGGGCAGGAGCAGAAGGGGTTGGATGGCATCACCGACACAATGGACATGGGTTTGGGTGGACTCCGGGAGTTGGTGACAGACAGGGAGGCCTGGCATGCTGTGGTTCATGGGGTCGCAAAGAGTCAGACACGACTGAGCGACTGAACTGTACTGAACTGAACCCCTACAACCACCAGGTCATGGGGTCACAAAGAGTTACCTGTCACTAAGACAGGACTTAGTGACTGAACACCAGCAATGATCACCAGAACTACTGAAACCTACGGGATGATGATGTTGACCTTTTCTGACCCTCATGACTTCAATCAACCAAAGCATGGACTCTGTCAACTTCGCCCTAATTCTATGTTGAATGTAGGGCGTGTATATGAGTATATGCACATGTCCCTCCCTAGCTTAAAACTGCCCCAGTTTCACTGTTCAGGGAACCACTGATTTGGGAAAGATTCCTGGTGTTCTCCCTATTTGCGGCAAGTAGTAAATCCTTCCTTCTCCTGATACTTGGCTTGGTTGTGTCTTTTGGCTTGACACCTGAAGTGAAGTGAGGTGAATTCACTCAGTTGTGTCTGACTCTTTGCGACCCCATGGACTGTAGCCCACCAGGCTCCTCCCTCCATGGGATTCTCCAGGCAAGAGTACTGGAGTGGGTTGCCATTTCCTTTTCCAGGGGATCTTCCCGACTCAGGGATCGAACCCAGGTCTCCTCCATTGCAGGCAGATACTTTAACCTCTGAGCCACCAGGGAAGGCTTGACACCTACCAAGAGTCAAACCTAGTTTTGGGGTAATAGGTTTTTTGCTGTGTCTATGTGTTGGGCACTTCTTGAAGCTCCTTACAAGCATAAACTCCATGCGGGCACCACCTGGCATCATGTTCATGACCAAGTCCCCTATCCCTAGAATGCTGTCTCACCCATAGTAGACATTTGTTGACTGACTGAATGAATGAGTTATCTTATTTAATCCTCACAACAGCCCTCAGGGCAGGTACCATCATCTTCCTTATTTTGCACAGGGAGAACACTGACTGTCCAGGGGCTGGCCCACCTGGAGCGTGGCAGAGCTTGAATTGGGACCCAAATCAGTTTGCCTTGCACACCCATGTTCACCATCGGCCACAGTGGAGAGGCAGGGGCCAGTGTTCACAGCAACTCTGATGAGGAACCCAGGTGCGCGTGACAAGAAGAACTCACGACATGAAACCAAAATCTCAAATTTCAGCCTCTTCCTCCTCTCCTACTGGTTGCTTCAGCTTATTTATCTTTATAACAGGGAGTGTTCTGCTTGATCCATGTTGCTACCATTCTCAAGATAAGGCCTTGTTTCACCTCTTCCAATTTGTTCTCATTTTAACATCTCTACAAGTGGGTCGTGTCTTACCACTGAGGCCAAGAGAGAGCGCTGTGTCATACTTTAGGACAGCGTTTTTTTTTTCTTAGCGATACATAAAACCATGAAACATCTTACAGTCAATGGATTTAGGAAATTCAATACATGTGCAAGCATGTTATGAACTATAAAATCTTGTCACTTACACTTGTATGTTAAATCATAATAATAAAGCATTTTCTTATCCATTATTTCACTTTTATTCCTGAAGCCGCATGGGGAGCAGAGAAAAGAGCGCTCAGAGTAAGATCTGAATTTGAACCCCTCCCTAGGAACTGACTAGCTTTGACCCATAGATTTGTTATCTATACACCGGGAATAATACCCATAGTTACCATGGGGGAGAGTGCCCTGGTTTGAGCCTGTGTGCCGTGTGTTAGTCGCTCAATCATGTCCAACTCTTTGCAACCCCATGGACTGCAGCCTATCAGAATCCTCTGTCCATGGAATTCTCCAGGCAAGAATACTGTAGTGGGTTGCCGGTCTCTTCTCCAGGGGATCTTCCTGACCCAGGGATCGAACCTGGGTCTCTTGCATTGCACGCAGATTTTGTTCTTACCATCTGAGCCACAGAAACCCCAGTGGTTTCTGCTGGAAGATTAACCAGCCCAAGCATGTCTGAGCTGGTTGGGTTGAGGTACGTAGACTGGAAATGTCCAGTCAGCTTCTCTGTACAAACTGATTTACACTGAGGGGAGGAGGTTGCCTCAAGGACAGATGTGGGAATTGGGGTGGGGGTGGGGGTCCCCTCCTGGAGTGGCAGTTGGAGTGGTAGGTACGAGGTGTCCTCAAACCAGGATTTACATCCCAGAACTTGCCTGTTTCCTTGGCCACAAGCATCACATTTGTCTTCAGTAAAACTGAGGCAGTAATAATACCTCTCTCTAGGATTATCCTGACAGTGAAGAAGCTAAGGCATATATACAATATTCTCAGGGGAGTGCCTGACATTCAGCGCTTGATACATAGATACAGGGCTTCGAGGCTCAGCTGGTAAAGAATCCGCCTGCAATGCGGGAGATCTGGGTTCGATCCCTGGGTCGGGAAGATCCCCGGGAGAAGGGAAAGGCTACCCACTCCAGTATTCTGGCCTGGAGGATTCTATGGACTGTGTAGCCCATGGGGTCGCGAAGAGTCGGACACGACTGAGAGACTTTCACTTTCACTTTGGGCTTCCCTGGCGGCTCAGAGGTTAAAGCGTCTGTCTGCAATACGGGAGACCTGGGTATGATCCCTGGGTCGGGAAGATTCCCTGGAGAAGGAAATGGCAACCCACTCCAGTATTCTTGCCTGGAGAATCCCGGGGACAGAGGAGCCTGGTGGGCTACGGTCCACGGGGTAGCAAAGAGTTGACTGACGGCTGAGCGACTTCACTTCACTTCACTTCTACAGAGATACAGGACTTCCCAGGTGGCGCTAGTGGTAAAGAACCCGCCTGCCAATGCAGGAGACTATGAGAAACGCAGGTTTGAGAAACATGGGTTTGAGAAACGTGGGCTTGATCTTTGGGTCAGGAAGATCCCCTGGAGGAGGGCATGGCAACCCACTCCAGTATTCTTGGCTGGAGAGTCCCATGGACAGAGGAGCCTGGCGGGCTACAGTCCATGGGATCGCAAAGAATCGGACATGACTAAAGCGACTTAGCACACACACACACATAATCATTCTTGCTACTATTACCTATTTTTGTTATCACTATTCTGTATCTGGGTCCTGAGAGACCCAGGATGAAGACCTTCAGAGGAAACAGCTGTACCAAAACCCCAGGGCGATTGGGGTAGGGGAGAGGGTTGGGACCTAGGGATCTGCTTTCACAGGTCTCCCACTGGCAGGCTGAGAGCCTGATTCAGACCCCAGGATCTTGTGTTTGGCACAGCCTGCTTAAAGCCATTTTTAAGGACCATTAGATGGGGTCCCCTACCACCGTCTCCCCATCACGTCCTGTGGGGCTGCAGCCATAATCACTCACAGTCCTGGCTGCTCACCCAGACTCTGAAGGCCTTGGATGCACCATGAAACAGCACTTTGGCTAGAAATCTGCATCTCCCAGAAGTCCCAGCAGCCAAGATGGTTTGAGAAGAGTAGATGGCAATTCCAGGGCCATAGGAGGACGCAAAGGCTGTGTGCAAGCCCACGTGAGACTTACCCAGGGACGATGCTTAAAAGTAACTGTAGACGCCTTGAGAAGGGGTTATAAGTCTGGTGTTATACAGGCAGGACAGAAACCAGTGAAATGTCAGGCATTTCCATTAATAAAAAAGAAACAGGTCTGAAATGGAGTTATTGTGCTAAACCCTAGGTCAACGAACCAAGTGTTAACCAAGTTAATACCTAACCTAACTGAAGTTTCAGCCTCTCCCTAGAATATGACCTTTCAACAGTCAATATGGAATTAACATAGGGGGCATTAGTGAGAAAATCTGTTTGACAGATCCCACCTTTCCCCTAAAGGAAGGTAACCTTGCCCGAAACAATCCCTTTTTGCTAGAATCTTCCTTTTTCCACCCTCTTCTGTCTGTAAAAGCTTCCATTTGTACAGCTCCTTGGAGCCCCTTTCCTTTTTTTTTTAATCTTTTTTCTCTTTTTGGCTGTACCACACAACATGTGGGATCTTACTTCCCCAACCAGGGATCGAACCTGCACCCCCTGCATTGAACGCACAGAGTCTTAACCACTGGACTGCCAGGGAAGTCCCTGGAGCGCCTTTCTGTTTTCTAAGTGGGATGCTGCCTGAGTCATGAATCCTTGAATAAAGTCAAATAGATCTTCAGATTTACTCAGTTGAATTTGGTTTTTAACACCATTAATAGGATTCTGTGTGTATTCACAAGCGGACAAGCTCTCATTCATGTTCCTTACAGTGTTCCTGGAAGGCAAGACCTGATTGCTGTGAAGTGCCTGGTGCAGGACCTGGCCGGCAGCTATCATCATCGTGGGGGAAGGTCATTCCTTTGCACTTTGGTGCTGTTTTCCTCCCACTGTACCAGGCACTGCCTGGGTGTCAGGGAACATTATGGGGACCCAGGGCACAGTCTTACCTGGAAAGGCCTCCCTGATGAGCTGAGTCAACTGCTTCACAATTTTCAGCACGGCCACCTCACTCAGCCTCTCATTGGGCACGTGTGGTGTGTCATCACTGCAAAACACGAGCAGCTCGGGAAGTGGTACAAGGGAAAGAAGGGACCGCTCCACCTGAGAAAGCAGCTCTACCCAGACCCAGCTGCAGACTGGGCCTCAGACAGCTGCTGAGAGGGAGGCGCTGGGCTGGTGATGGGAGTCCCACCGGACCAAGTTCAAGCCCCGGCTCTGCCATTAACCTGCTGTGGGTCCCTAACCTCTCTGAGCTTCCACGAGCTCATCTGCAAAATAGGGACAACATGGAACTTCAAACAGAGTATCTGTGAGACTTCAGCAGAGGGTTCCAAAATCACTGCGCAGATTGGCTGCAGCCACAAAGTTAAAAGATGACAGCTCCTATGAAGAAAAGCTATGACAAACCTACACAGAATATTAAAAAGCAGAGACTTCACTTTACTGGCAAAGGTCTATATACTCAGAGCTATGGTTTAGTCATGCACTGATGTAAGAGTTGGACCATAAAGAAGGCTGAATGTCAAAGAATTGATACTTTTGATCTGTGGTGTTGGAGAAGACTTGAGAGAGTCCCTTGGACAACAAGATCAAACCAGTCCATCCTAAAGGAAATCAGTCCTGAATATTCATTGGAAGGACTGATGCTGCAGCTGAAGCTCCAGTACTTTGGTCACCTGATTCAAAGAGCCGACTCACTGGAAAAAATCCTGATGCTGGGAAAGATTGAAGGCCAAAGGAGAAGAAGGCAACAGAGGATGAGACGGCTGGATGGCATCATCGACTCAGTGGGGTGGAAAAGCCAATCTGAGTTCATTCCTTGAGCCAAGGGTTCTAAGGAGTTTGGATCTGCCTTCATAATAAAGCATCCGGATGTACTCTGGCAGGTTTAGATATGGCTTCATAATAAAGCATCTGGATGTACTCTGGCAGGTTTAGATATGGCTTCATAATAAAGCATCCGGATGTACTCTGGCAGGTCCAGGGCCTGCCCCAGGACCATTTAGCCCCACCCCACCCCCTGTTTGACAGACCTAAATTCCTGGATCAATCTTAGAAAGGTGCAGCAAGAAGGAGGAAGAAGAGGGAAGGGACGCTTGGGGAAAGAAGGAGGAAGGGAGGTTTGGGGGGTGATAGGAGCCCCCACAACCTAAAGCGTGAGGACTCTGCTGGACTGCGGGGTGAAACAGCTGTGCCCCAAGACTCCCTGGGGAAGTTTACTAGCTGAATCATATGGAGACCACTACTAGCAGTCCACACTGGCTCACTTTGTGCCGGGTACTTGCCGTGTGTTGAACCCTTATCCACTCATTTCTTCTTCATAATAACCCTACAGTGGAGCTTCTATTGTTATCCCATTTGACAGATAAAGAAACCAAGGCACAGAAAAGTGAAGAATCCTGCCTAAGAGTATACAGCCAGACAGTGGTGGAGCCAGGGTTTGAACCAGTCAGCCTGGCTCCAGAGTCTATGCTCATATCCATTACATCCTACAGTGTCTCTGATACCCCCATTAGGACAGCAAGAGGGACCTTGGAGCCCTGTCCTCCCTGAGGACAGGCCAGGAATCCAAAGACATCGGAACAAAATTCCATTTTCCCCTAGTCTGGAGGATTTAATTCTGTGTGACAGAAAACATATCCAATTGCTGCAGGTTAGTCCCCAAGGGATTGCGATTCTCCCAGGAGAGGCCAAATTTCTTAGAAACTGAAGAATTAAAAAGGGGCCCTAGAGGTCCTCTCATCCAATGTCATAACCTCTGCAAGTCCCAGAGATTTCCCAGAAAAATCATGCTTTTCTGTTAAAGGATGGTGAATTTCTCAGAGGGATCATGCCTTTTAGAATGTTACTCATTTTTCCAAGGGCCCCTTCTCAGGGAGCAGGAGGCCAGAGTCATGGCCTAAAATTCACTTTCTCCTTGGATTGATTCCTGAGCCCCGGGAAACCAGAGCTGCCCAGGCTTCTCTGAGACACAGTCACATTTCTTAAGGGCCCAGCCTTACTCTACCCATTTCTATCCATGTGAGGGTCATTCCAGTCACTCCCATGTCACAATGAGAGACAGCTAGGGCCATCGTGGGTTTGCTCCACCTTATGGAAGTGTCTATAGAGGCTAGAAGAGGGCGCAGGAAGCCAGAGCTCCAGCCAACCCTCCTCGCCCGCTCTCTGGCTCACCACTTCCTACAGGAAGCCCTCCCAGTTTCACCAGAGGAAGTCAGGTGCCCTGTGAAACTCCCCCACCCGCTCAGTGCCCGTCTCCCCTTGCTGGGATATCATGGTCAGTGACCTCGTCTGTATCACCCAGGAGACCTTGAGCTCCCTGAAGGAGGGTCGGGGTCCCTATTATCTCTGTTCCCCCATGTCTGCCCATGGGTAAGCACAGAGCAGGCTGATCTACCAAGAGAGGGAGAGAAGGATCGAGTGAGTGAAGGGGGGACCACGAGTGCTGAGGGAAGGCTTACAGCAGTATCCTTGGAGGAGTAGCAGAAATGGCATCTGAACTGAAATTGCCCCTCAAGCTCTCTCTATGCAGGCCAAGCTCTGACCAGGGAGGACCCCCAAGGCCAGGCAGCCAGGGGTGGCCCACAGCTGGCCAGGACACTTGGTCCCAGTGCTGGCCTACCTTCACCCCTCCTAACTGTCTCTTCTCCCTGCATTTGGATCTCTGGGGCTTGCAGTCCCTAAACTCTGGTGGGAGTGGCACCAGAGTTCATCCCCTGACTTGAAATCCAGGGGTTCCCCACATGCCCAAACATGCCATGACCGTGTCCCCAGCCTCAGTGAGTGCCAAGTTCTGCTGAGTCTGGGAGACACGAGGTCAAGGGCACAGACCCTGAAATCAGCCAGGCCCAGGGTCCCACGGACAAGCTTTGAGTTTCAGGTTCATCCTCTCTGCAACAGGGCTGGTGTGAGGACTAAGGGAGATGGTTTGGGGCAGGTGCCAGGAGGGCAGGGGGCACTCGCAGTGGCCAGGGAAGGGTAGCTGCAGTGACGGCTCTCACCCGGTCCAGAGGATGAAGTCTGGCTCTGGCTCGATCTCCTTCATGGCGTAGATGGAGGAGTTGATGAGGATCCAGGGAGAATCGCAGAGGTA